GCCTCCCACTGCTGCCGTGCCGCCGGAGCACGATTTCTGTTCTCATCCTGAAGCAAAGTTCTTAACTTGAAGCACTATTTCTGGGTTAGCGGAGTCTGTAACCTGAAGCGTATGTAACCTGAAGCGTATGTAACCCGAGGTACCACTGTAGTTCAAATCCTGCTCACATATTCATCATACTAAGATTATTATTTTTAATATTCAAAAAAAGGTTTCCATTCTTCCACAAAGAGTCCTCATTAAGTTCTGTAATTTTTGTTGTGAGTTCCCCCAATTCCACATAGTCCGTTGCTTTACATATCTATTCTTCTTCTGTAGGAACTTCTTCTTCCTTCCATTTTTGTGCATAGAGAATCCTAGCTGCTGTTGTTACATACATAAACAGCTCAATCATTTATTTATTTTTTTAAAAAACTTCTGTCACTATATTCCCTAAGAGAAGAGCTTCAGAGCTGTTTTGTTTTTAGTATAATCACTTTGAAGATCTTTTTTAATTGCTTTGGTGGACTTTTTATCCTTGGTTGCAGCTTCTTTCTCTGCTTCAGTAAGTCACACAGGTTACCTTAGCAGATGTGCTCCAAGTATTGTTGGTCTGTAACTTCCATGGCTACATTTGGCTGAGGGTGAGGGACTCCCAGCAACATCTAGAAAGAACTATATTGACTTCTCCTGCCCTAAGGTGATTAGGGAACATGCAGTTAGCAAGAAGAGTGGCTTGCATTATTTAGCCAGTAAGATTTGGCAACACGATTGCATCACTGAGGGCAAATGAAGTCAAACGAGAGAAAGGGCAATATAAACAAACAAACAAACAAACAAACAAACACAAGAGTGGTGTGTTAGCACTGCAAAGAGAGAATATTTTTTCCCTCCAGATTGCAGAAAAACGTTCCTGGGGGAAAAAAACCTAAGTAGCTGTGGTTTAGCCCTACAATTTAATGTTCATGTCAGTTCTGTTTGGCCAGAACAGACAGTACATTTTTTGTGGTGATACTGCATGCTCTTGAGCTCTTGCTCATTTGAAAATATGGCCCCAACCACGTCCTTGCAGAAAATCAATTATATGCAGTATAAAAATTTACCATGAAGTAATCATTTCAACAAGCCAGTATTACCATATATAATCATAACTGCTCCAATACGTTCAAGTTTTTAATATCCTTGAACCGACCTCATCTAATTTCATACGTCATTTTAAAGCAACTGATAACAACCCAACATTGCTTCCCTATTTTTAAATTGACTTTTTAAAGTACAGTGGTACCTTGGGTTACATACGCTTCAGGTTACATATGCTTCAGGTTACAGACTCTGCTAACCCAGAAATAGTGCTTCAGGTTAAGAACTTTGCTTCAAAATAAGAACAGAAATCATGCTCCAGCGGCGTGGCGGCAGCAGGAGGCCCCATTGGCTAAAGTGGTGCTTCAGGTTAAGAACAGTTTCAGGTTAAGAACGGACCTCCGGAACGAATTAAGTACTTAACCCGAGGTACCACGGTAGTGTTGAGCTTTTGACAACTTGCTGCTTTGATAATGTGAAATATTGTTTCATTACCAATAATATGTCTGTGAAACACATCCTTAGTATTTTTGGACATTGCCATCATATGTTCTATCATCAGTTTTTTCCAGCTTGATATCCTTCAGATGTCTTGGAATACAACTCCCATCAGCTCCAGCCAGCAAGGTCAGTGGCTGGGAATCATGGGAGTTGTGATTCAAAACATCTGGGGGCGCCAAGTTGGGAAAGGCTGTGTTATTATGTCTTTCCTTGCATGACTTCATAGGTAGTAAAATGCATCTACATTAGACTGAACGTTCTTCAGCTTCTGTGGTACAAAATGCCAGCAAACTAATAGTTTATAATTTTCAGGTTAATAATTTAATTCCCTATGTTCATAAATATTGTCGTATATTTTCTGAGATAATTTCCCCCCAAACCTTTCCCCCCATCTAGTGCACAAGGAAGGCTTCATTGCACAGTTTATTTATTTTATATAGCATCTTATAAAATTTGGAATTGCCAATTAAATCCTCAGAATTAGCCTGCTCTCTTGAAGGATTTCTGTTACTGTTTTATAAACCCACAGCTGTAATTGAAAGGGCTGATAACAAGGGAGGCAACAGGTCTCATTTAAACTGAGCTTGTAGATCAGATCTCTCTCCACCTAACGATGCCCCAAATCTATTGCTGCACTGTGGCGGCAAACCTATATATATCCATTTACCTGGATGTAAGCTCCGTTTGTTTGGGCTGACCTCTAAGCAGACATGCTTGTATATGCACTGTTAAGTCTCCAAGTTGAGCCACTTCTGTCAATGAGAAGCAAAAACCATATTTTAGTTAATCTTTGCAAGGGCAAAAAGCAAACATTAAGAAGCGTGCACACAAAAGGAGGGCCTGGAAGCAAAAGCTATTCTCAGGCCCTGCTTTGTAAAACAAACAGAAGAGAACTAAACCGTAGGCAGGCGGACCGTGCAACCCCTTTGGCTTGTTGCTGCACAGCAAACAGCAGCTCTGGAACTCTTTTCATTTGGCAAAGTTCTCATCTGCACTTTTGTAGCCTCTCATCCAGAGAGAGGCCTAAATAAACTCGCATCACAATGATGTCTAGAATGAAGTCTAGACGCCGCACTTTTCGAAGAAGGAAGTATGACAAAGCATGATAATGTCTATGCCATGGGCTGGCTGCCCTCCATGGAACCATGTGGGCTGCTTTATGTCAGCCTTCTACAACCTGGTGCCTTCCAGACGCTGTGGACTAAAACTCCCAGCACAGCCAGGCGGGCTGGGGCTGTTGGGAGTTGTTGTCCAAAACATCTGGGAAAGTTATTCTAAATGATGGAGGAGGAGGAAGATGAGATGACAGTGTAGAAGAAGAAGAAGAGTTTGGATTTGATATCCCGCTTTATCACTACCCTAAGGAGTCTCAAGGGACACGGGTGGCGCTGTGGGTTAAACCACAGAGCCTAGGACTTGCCGATCAGAAGGTCGGCAGTTCGAATCCCCGCGACGGGGTGAGCTCCCGTTGTTCGGTCCCTGCTCCTGCCAACCTAGCAGTTTGAAAGCACGGAAAAACACGGAAAAACTGTCTGCGGACAAACGCCGGCTCCCTCGGCCTATAGAGCGAAATGAGCGCCGCAACCCCAGAGTCGTCTGCGACTGGACCTAATGGTCACGGGTACCTTTACCTTTAAGGAGTCTCAAAGCGGCTAACATTCTCCTTTCCCTTCCTCCCCCACAACAAACACTCTGTGAGGTGAGTGGGGCTGAGAGACTTCAGAGAAGTGTGACTGGCCCAAGGTCACCCAGCAGCTGCATGTGGAGGAGCGGAGACGCGAACCCGGTTCCCCAGATTACGAGTCTACTGCTCTTAACCACACCATACTGGAAACTATGATTTAGAATGGGGCATGAGTGGCAGATCTTGCGGTGTCATATTTCAGTGGTGCCATGTGCAACGTTAAAATGTGGTGCCCCTCCGCCTCTCACGCCCCATTCTAAATAATAGTTGCGGAGTCCCCAGGGGCACCCCAAGGCTCTGCACCAGTGCAACCGAACCAGACGTGCTCCCCTAAATCCTTCTCTGGGCAGTGGAGCTCATGGAAGAGTAGGAGGCGAATTGAAGCAGAGAAGGCCGGAAAAAAATCCCTAGAAACAAGATGGGGGGCATAAAAGTTAACCAATATTGAACCCTCTCCCCTAAAAAATATTATACAGTAATAAAATAGTTCTGCATTGTGCTTGTGGAGCCCAGGAACAAACAAACACACCAGGAGAGGCTGCCAGCAGTCGAGGGACTATGTCTGGTCCCTGGTAACTTCTAATCTGGCTACTGGCGTTCGTCTCCCCATAATGCAACTCAGTGGATTGTTTCCAAGCTATGAACAGCAGCAGAGGCTCTGGCAGAGTTCTCCCTTATTTCTGCATCCCGACTGCTGACACAACAGAGAGTAACTAACAGATCTCCATCAAAGCCTGAAGTTAGCATAGACCAGGGGTCAGCAAACTTTTTCAGCAGGGACCCGGTCCACTGTCCCTCAGACCTTGTGGGGAGCCAGACTATATTTTGAAAAATAATAATGAACGAATTCCTATGCCCCACAAATAACCCAGAGATGCATTTTAAATAAAAGGACACATTCTACTCATGTAAAAGCACGCTGATTCCCGGAACCATCAGCGGGCCAGATTTTGAAGGCAATTGGGCCAGATCCGGCCCCTAGGCCTTAGGTTGCCTACCCATGGCATATAGACAATGCTGCACTAGATCAGGGGTTGTCAACCTGGTCCCTACTGCCCACTAGTGGGCATTTCAGGATTCTAGGTGGGCGGTAGAGGGCTCTACGGCACAAGCTGAATCCTCCTTCCATCGAGTACTGGTGGGTGGTAAGGAAATTTTACCATCAAGAAAGATGCATTAGTGGGCGGTAGGTATAAAAAGGTTGACTACTCATGCACTAGATGGACCATTGGTCTGGCTCTGTATAATGCAGTCTCCTATGTTCCCACATTAGTGATCTCTCCGGTTCCCTCTCCTTAATCCTTAGCTGCTGCTGTCCTGGGCAGACTGCAATATGCTCAGCTACGCCCCATAACGGGAGGTTTCCCATACAGTATCGAAAGGCCTGCTCCTCTTCATGTAGGCATGCAGTCTTAATCACATTCCTCCTGGCAGTAGCTTGTACACTAAGATTTAAGAGGAAGCGTTGTCCATGGTGGCTGGGAACAAGACAGTGTCTAAGGCTCAACACTGCCCTGCCTAGTTGTGAAATAGGAAGGTGCAACAGTCTGTTGCCTCCACAGATGTAGCGTAGCCCACATGTGTAGGAATGGGTGAATCACATCCTAAATTTACTCAATATAATCATGCTAAAAAAGGAATCACTTAAAACTTTTACGAAATAAAGTGATGGAACTTTTTGTATGAAACTCCTGCAAGATCAAACATGGATTTACCAACCATAGATATTTTGCTTATGCAACCAAGGTTGTTGTGAGGGCGACTGGGCCATGACATTGGTCAACCTACTGATCGCCAGGGTTGATTTGGCTGCTCTGGCTGGCTAGGTGGGTGCACTCTCCCTCCTGGTGTGTCCCTCCTGGAGCTGCACACCTGGTGGAAAACTCTCTCAGACAGGATAAGATGGTTTTAAATTGTGCTATGTTTAGCTTTTGGGGGGATTTGATTTGCTATTGTAGTTTTGCCGCTTTGTGGCTTGAATACCTGGATATAGATCATGGGTAGGCAAACTAAGGCCTAGGGGCCAGATCCGGCCCAATCGCCCTCTAAATCTGGTCTGCGGACGGTTCTGGGAATCAGCATGTTTTTACATGAGTAGAATGTGTCCTTTTATTTAAAATGCATCTCTGGGTTATTTGTGCGGCATAGGAATTCGTTCTCCCCCCCCCTTTCAAAATATAGCCTGTCCCCCCCCCCTCAAGGTCTGAGGGACAGTGAACTGGGCCACTGCTGAAAAAGTTTGCTGACCCTGGTATAGATAGTATTTGGTACAGCCTGCCTTGGTAATAAGCAGTATATACATTTATGAATGGGGCGCGGGTGGCGCTATGGGTTAAACCACAGAGCCTAGGACTTGCTGATCAGAAGGTTGGCGGTTCGAATCCCCGCCACGGGGTGAGCTCCCGTTGTTCGGTCCCTGCTCCTGCCAATCTAGCAGTTCGAAAGCACCTCAAAGTGCAAGTAGATCAATAGGTACCACTCCGGCGGGAAGGTAAACGGCGTTTCCGTGCGCTGCTCTGGTTTGCCAGAAGCGGCTTAGTCATGCTGGCCACATGACCCGGAAGCTGTACGCTGGCTCCCTCTGCCAATAAAGCGAGATGAGCGCCGCAACCCCAGAGTCGGCCACGACTGGACCTAATGGTCAGGGGTCCCTTTACCTTTACCTTTACCTTTACCTTTACCTTTACATTTATGAAATAATAATACAGTAAAAAAACTTGCAAATGACTAGTTAATACTGATGAAATAGGTGGTATGGAATTCCTGTTGGATCATATACGAGTTTACAGACCAATATACTTGTGCGAAAAATAACCGAAATACACATTTGCTTAGATGCATTTGACCTGCTGCTCTTTTTTCAGCAACATTAAATGTATAGCATAATTTATTATGCTCTTGTAAGCCAAGTGGACATGGTATGGTTTTGTTTTGCATCCTGTGTTGCCCGATTATGGTCTTCTTTTGCCCAAACTTACTTTTCCCTGAGGTGGCAAATCTCACCAACACTCAGCCTAACCGACCCCACAGGGTTGTTGTGAGAAAAATATGAAGAGGGGGAGAACCATGTATGTCACCTTGTATTCCCTGGAAGAAAGCTAGGGTTTAAAATGCATTAATAAATAAATAAATAGTTGAATGCTTCTCCATACATAAAATAAAATAAAAACCATTCACACAGAAAACAAGGGTAAAGGAAGAAAGTTTGAGCCCAGCTTTCTCCCTGATATGCCAGTTTCTTATATGTAGGGGATTTATTTCATTTATTACATATGCACAATATTTAAATTGTGAAGCCTCCCACCTCTGATCTGAGGCAGAGCAGCCCTGTTAAAGCCTTGGCGCCTCTGTGAAAAGTAGGCCTCTTTAAGACAGGATGTTCCTTGATAACACCATTCTATAGATAAAATAATATGTGGACTGAGATGCTGAAGTATGACAGATTGACAGCCTGGTATCTGAAAAATTTCTTAAGGCATTTGTCAGATTCCAACTGGAAGCTTGCCACCACGGCTTCCCGGTCAACCTATTACAGCCACGGCACGCCTCTTTGGCATCACAGGGCAGACAGTAAATAAAAAGGCAGTGGTAATGCAGCCAATGCTAATGGTGGCACCTGCAAAGGGAACAGCTGTCCTGGCTGGGAACAAGGACCAAGTACAACAACGGCATGTTTGTATTGCAAGGTTGCAAAGTACCCAGAACATGACCAGGGTGGCAAATAATAAGTTAATTGACAGTATTTCAGGAAGGCAAGCAGGTCGCTCAAGTGCACAAATCAGAGGCTTCTTCAAAGCTGAATTGAGCCCCACCGCCTTTAAGATAAAGAACCACATAACTTTTAGAAGACATCTGAAGGCAGCCCCGTACAGTGGTACCTCTGGTTACATACGCTTCAGGTTACAGACACTTCAGGTTACAGACTCCGCTGAGCCAGAAATAGTACCTTGGGTTAAGAACTTTGCTTCAGGATGAGAACAGAAATCGTGCTCTGGCGGCAGCGGGAGGTCCCATTAGCTAAAGTGGTGCTTCAGGTTAAGAACAGTTTCAGGTTAAGTACAGACCTCCGGAACGAATTAAGTACGTAACCAGAGGTACCACTGTATCAATTCAAAGTGTTGGTGCTGACCTTTAAAGCTCTAAACGGCCTCGGTCCAGTATACCTGAAGGAGCGTCTCCACCCCCATTGTTCAGCCCAGTGCCAAGGGCCTTCTGGCGGTTCCCTCATTGCGAGAAGTGAGGTTACAGGGAACCAGACAGAGGGCCTTCTCGGTAGTGGCGCCCACCCTGTGGAACACCCTTCCTTCAGATGTGAAGGAAATAAGCAGCTATCTTCTTTTTAAAAGACATCTGAAGGCAGTCCTGTTTAGGGAAGTTTTTAATATTTAATGCTGTATTGTTTTTAACACTTGATTGGAAGCCGCCCAGAGTGGCTGGGGAAACTCAGCCAGATGGGCGGGGTATAAATATTATTATTATTATTATTATTATTATTATTATTATTAAGTTTTTAATGACTGTTTTACTATGTTTTTATATGTGCTGTATGCCAGCCAAAGTGGCCGGGGAAACCTAGCCAGATGGGTGGGGTATAACAACAACAACTCGCGTGAAGAGAGATCTATTAATACAGCACAGTTCTCAAGAAGCAGAGCTATTGCTGGGGTCACCTGTTGTACTTCAGATGGGAGCAACTCGTAACTACAAAAAATAAGGGATTATTTCTTTATTAACCAGTCCACCAAAATGATAGGAAAGAAGCATGTGGAAGGAAGGTCTTTATATCACACCGAGCCCTGCCTGGTGGGGTGAAGAAATACGGTACATCATATCTTCTGCAGGATCTCTGGCCGGTGGGAGTTGTGCCTCTCTACAGCAGGGGTCAATGGGAGCTTAGCCCTCACAGTAAGGTCGTCCAGAGCAGGAGAAAACGAGCTTGCTCCATCTTCAGTGTGACAGCTCTTTAGATATTTGAAGGTGGGTACCGTATTTCCTCTCAGTCTCCTCTTTTCCTGGAGAAACATACCCAGCTCTCTCAACTGTTCCTCATAAGGCTTGGTTTCCAGACCCTTGGTCATCTTGGTCACCCTCCTCTGAACACGCTCCAGCTTGTCAATATCCTTCTTAAATTGTGCTGCCCAGAACTGGACACAGTATTCCAGGTATGGTCTGACTGAAGTAAAATAGAGTGCTACTATTACTTCCCTTTAGGGACGCGGGTGGCGCTGTGGGTTAAACCACAGAGCCTAGGACTTGCTGATCAAAAGGTCGGTGGTTTGAATCCCCACAATGGGGTGAGCTCCCGTTGCTCGGTCCCTGCTCCTGTCAACCTAGCAGTTCGAAAGCACATCAAAGTGCAAGTAGATAAATAGGTACCGCTCCGGTGGGAAGGTAAACGGCGTTTCCGTGTGCTGCTCTGGTTTGCCAGAAGCAGCTTAGTCATGCTGGCCACATGACCCGGAAGCTGTACGCCGGCTCCCTCGGCCAATAAAGCGAGATGAGCGCCGCAACCCCAGAGTCGGCCACGACTGGACCTAATGGTCAGGGGTCCTTTACCTTATTACTTCCCTTTATCTGGAAACTATACTTCTGATGATGCAGCCTACATTAGCTTCTTTTACTGCTGCATCACACGGTGGACTCATGTTAAGCTTGTGGTCCACCAAGACCCCTAGATCCTTTTCACATGTGCTACTGGCAAAGATTGTGTTTTAGCGTGGCCACTCTGCAGATGCATGTAGTGCTGGTCTGATATCCATCACTTCATTGCCAATATATTTCTCTAGCCATTCATTTCTCTCAGGGGAGTCTGTTTCTTCATTAAATTTTACTTACAGCTGCAACTCGACCAGAAGATATTGGCGATGCCAAGCCAAGGTTTCCATAGTCATAGCGTGTGAGCTCTAGCCTCTCAGTGGAGCCCATTAAAAAGGGGGGGAAAGACAGGGGCACCCTGACTCTTCCCTTTCCAGTCATGCCATCCTTCAGATCACCAAACTGGCAGGGCAAGAGCAAGCTCAGATTTCAGCTTGTCAGCTCATTTGCATGCATGTGAATGACCTTTAGCTGAGGGAAGGTTGGGAAAAGGCTGATGGCAACCTGCAGTCAAATCCAGATTTTATTTATGGATTCACTGGGCAACTGCCCGCCTCCCTCCTTTCTCCTCATTACTATTAATCTACAATCTCACAGTAGCCATGTCTGTTTACTAAACTCTGGAAGGTTGGGATCATGTGTCATTTGGCTGTTCTGTGGCATGCAGCCCCTAGCAGGCTACCAGTACTCAGTTAAATGGCATCCCCCTTCTAGGACTAATATTAGGATATTATTCTTCGACACTAGACAAAAAGTCTTCCAAACTGACATGGAGGAAAACTTCCTAGACAAAGTGGCATGGCCATTTAATTGCCAAGCTGATGCAGATATCAATGTGTTTATTGGCTTTCCAATGTTATTAATGCCACTGTATTGCTGCAGCCATCGTTTTGTTACATCTCTCAGTTGAGCAAATGGGCGTTAACACCGCAAATACTGTTTCATGTAAGCAAGTGAGTTATGATATATTAGGCAAGTTTATGAGTTTTGCAGCATTCTTCCTCAGACATGGTGAGAAAAATATACGTGCAGTGCGTGTGGCTACAGTGTAGATCATAAGATGGTGTTTTCCTGTGAGGGTTTCCTGCGCAGACAAGATTGGGCAGATCTCAGACAGATAACAGGTTGGCCTAGAATGAAGCACTGAAGGTAACAGACTGTGAAAATATGGAAATCAACAATAATCATAATCTGTCTCTCATTGCTTCTGTTTAATTAGCCCTTCCATGTACAGTGGTACCTCAGGTTAAGAACTTAATTCGTTCTGGAGGTCTGTTCTTAACCTGAAACTGTTCTTAACCTGAAGCACCACTTTAGCTAATGGGGCCTCCTGCTGCTGCTGCACCGCCACTGCACGATTTCTGTTCTCATCCTGAAGCAAAGTTCTTAACCTGAAGCAATATTTCTGGGTTAGCAGAGTCTGTAACCTGAAGCGTATGTAACCTGAGGTACCACTGTATATGCACCATAACTAATATAGTGACTTTATTATACTTTCTGTTTTATATTCAGCCCTTTTCCTAATAATTTCTAACACTGAAATGGTTTCAGTTTTGATCATGTAATTTAAGGTTCTCTTCCCTGGATTGGTTAAAGCCAATTTAGATCTGGATAACATACATTTTTTTATTTGTGGCACTGTACCTTACAGAATGTCAGTGACGCAAAACAGGCAGTTTCGTTGCACTGTGGAATGCCCTTCTATTTGAAACGCATTGTGTCAGACATCTTGTAATGACATATTCTCCCCCAACCTATCAGATTGGACCATATTATTATTGAATTCTTGACTTTTATCTGTTTTTTTTCTAATGCCATTGTACTGGTTATTATGATGTATCTGTTTTTATTATACTGTTTTTATGTTGTATTTTTGTATACTGCTTCGAGTTTTTTTAAAAAAATATTAAGTGGTTTAGAATGCTTTAAAACAAATAAGCAGCACAGTTAAAATTAGCAGTGGTGAATCATACTTTATTAATTTTGTAATAGAGGTCAGAACATGGTATTCAGTGGAACTGTTTGCATTGCATTGGCTATTGAGTAACCTGGCTACTAGGACTTTGCTACTGCAGTGGTAAAGTAAATAAATCAGGTAAGAGACAAAATAAGCATAAAAGCAACCACACTTCTTAAAGAGCTTTAAAGGGAGTGTGTTTTAAAGAGTCCCACGAGTGAAATAGAAGCTGTGCTCAAGCTACAGTCATGGGCCACTGGTAATGGTGCCAGTTACAAATCTCCATTTGCATCCACAGATGCATCAGATCAGCAGACATGGCTACTGCTATTTCAGTGGGGATGTGCATTCAGTTTATTGGCATTTGGACCTGGAGATGTGACTCAATGGCCTGGTTTGCTTATCACTTTACACCAGTTAAGTTCAACTATGACTTAATTGTGACTGTGTAATGTGCTGCTGAACAGGAAGAAAACTGTGGCCACTCCTGGTGCTACCACACTAGTGTAAGCTAAGCCATGGGTTGGCTTAGCTTTACATCCCAATGGGGCTTGTAATAAACCACAACCAGTAACCATGGTTTGTTCTTGACAAACCATGAGCCTGGGCTCAGACATAATACTAAACCAAACCATGACTTAGCTCCTTGTAGTGCAGCAGCAGGAGCGGAGCGGGGACAAAGTGACTGCAATTTCAGCAGCATGCACTATCACACTGGGCATTCACCTTGAAACCACAGTTAAGTTGAAACCATGGTTTTAAGTGAAGTGTGAATGAGACCATTGACTCATGTTTGTAGACTCTATTGAAAATTTAGGACACAGTCCCAACAAAGTTAGGCATTTTTATATCCTTCTAGATGCCCTCATTCACTGAAGCCAGTGGGACTTAAATGCTTAACTTTGGCTGGATCAGAACCCAAAAGATAAGAATTTTGCAACAGATTACATAAAGACTACCCTGTGGCAAGAGTTCTTTTTTTAGCCTTTATGCCATAAACCTTCCGCAGGCAGGTGTCCACGTTGGCAGTCTATTACCTTGTTTACCAAAGTTTGAGAACTTTGTGCTTACCCTGAACGTAATTTATTGGGAATGTCTGATAATTCCCAGTTGGCAGTCTTGTTCTCTTGTTCCCCCTGCCTTAATACTGTATGTTGCCATGCTTCACTTGAAAAAAATTAAGTCCCCTTCATGCAAGAATGTTCAAGGGAACATCAGGGGCTTTACACTGTAAACATAAGAACTCAAGGACATAAGTAGGGTCTTGCTAGAGCAGTTCAAAGGTCTAGTCTAGCATTCCACAGTGGCCAACTAGATGCTTCCAAGACCACAAACAGGGCATAAAAGCAATAGCTATCCTCTATATTAATGATTTCATTATCTGAGTTTGATCCTAGCTAAAACAATGCCATTCATCCACAGGAGGGAGGTATCAAGTATTTAAAAAATGGCGGAGAAACCCTGGTGGGGAAAATCCCAGGAACAGCCTAATGAGGACTGTGCATGCTTAGTGGGAATGGGATGCTAATGTTGGGATGGGGGGAAATCAGAAAGCCAGGAAGAGGGCAATGGCTGGCTGGGGCACTAAACAGGAACACTGCACTATATTTTGTTGCTGGTCCCCCTTATCATGCCTAATAGCCAATATGTCTATCTCTCCCGTTAAAAGCCATTTAACCTAGAGGGCATCACCACATTTTGTGGCATGAAATGTACAGTGGTACCTCGGGTTACAGACGCGTCAGGTTACAGACTCCGCTAACCCAGAAATAGTTGTTGTTGTTTAGTCGTTTAGTCGTGTCCGCCTCTTCGTGACCCCATGGACCAGAGCATGCCAGGCACTCCCGTCTTCCACTGCCTCCCGCAGTTTGGTCAAACTCATGTTCATAGCTTCGAGAACACTGTCCAACCATCTCGTCCTCTGTCGTCCCCTTCTCCTTGTGCCCTCCATCTTTCCCATTCATCTTTCCTGCTTGGCAGGGGGTTGGACTTGATGGCCCTTGTGGTCCCTTCCAACTCTATGATTCTATGAATCAGGGTCTTTTCCAGGGAGTCTTGTCTTCTCACAAGGTGGCCAGAGTATTGGAGCCTCAGCTTCAGGATCTGTCCTTCCAGTGAGCACTCAGGGCTGATTTCCTTCAGAATGTAGAGCTTTGATCTTCTTGCAGTACATACCTTGGGTTAAGAACTTTGCTTCAGGATGATAATAGAAATTGCATGGCGGCGGCAGGAGGCCCCATTTGCTAAAGTGGTACCTTAGGTTAAGAACAGTTTCAGGTTAAGAACGGACCTCCAGAATGAATTAAGTTCTTAACCTGAGGTACCACTGTAATGTGAAAAGAAATATTTGCTGCAGCAATAGCAGACAAGCTTCTTTGAATCAATTTATCAACATAAAAAGTCAATAGCTGGTAGTGTGATGCATCTTTAATTATTTTAGGGCTTGAGATGGGTTTTTATTTTATTGGCTTACCAATGTCAGTGTTAGCTATCATATTTGATCTGCAACTCAAGGTAACATACGCCTCTCATGAAGTGGACAGCAAACCAGGACAGCTTATGCCATAATAAAATGGGTTAGTCTTTAAGGTGCCACAAGACTCTGTTGTCTATGAATTCATAGCAGATGATGAGTACCATATTTTTCCGTGTATAAGATGAGGTTTTTTGACTCAAAAATCATGTCAAAAAACTGGGGTCATCCTATACACGGATAGTGGGGGCAGGGAGCTGCACGCCGCCAGCCTGCAGGTTGGTGTGCATGCAACTCCACCCCATGCCGCTGCGGGAGGTGCGCGCTCTAGGGAGCGTTTCCCGCAGCAGTGTGGAGGGGAATCTGCGCACAGCCAGACAGCTGGTTGGCAGCCCGCACCCTGTTTCCTGCCCACAGTGGCGTGGGGAGGGGGAATGGCTGCCCACTTTGCCAACCCTCCGCAATGGCCCTGCTGGGGTGATGGCACACATGCAATTACCCTAAAAAAGCTCAACAACTTTGGGGCAGCTCCCCTCATATTCTTTAAATTTAGTCCCCCAAGATACGGGGCGTCTTATGTACGGGGGCATCTTCTACACAGAAAAATACAGTATTTATGGAGTTACTGTGACTATGATTTAGCTTAGAGTTTATTTGAGGACTTTTATGTATTTTGCACAACAAGATAGTTATAGCCCAGTAATATTTTGTACAGGATATGAATTATCTTTTGTTTTGGTGTACAGTAATCTTGCAACTTATGCACGTTTAACTTGGGCACATTCAGCTTTATGTGTTTGGTAATCAATCAATCAATCAATCAATCGCTAGCTAGCTAGCAGGCAGAAAGGAGCGGGCATCCAGGAAAAGACTTTGGCAATCCCATCTGCTATTGAACCCATTGTTTTTTTACTACACACAATCTTTGCTTTAGACATTATCCCTGGAATGTGACCCACATGTAAGTTGCGGGCTTACTGTATTTTATTGCTTTGGATGGTCTTTCTAATTTTTTTGAAGTATTAAACAAATACCATAGACTGTTAAACATTATTGTGAGTTTATCTACACGTAGAACCAAAAACCCAGTGCAGGGAAATGGATAAGTGTTGGAAACTGAAGACATGGGTTTGAATTCATGCTCAGCCCTGAAGAGCCTTATGAAATCTGAGCTACTCAAACACTCTTTCTGGGTTGTTTTGAAGATAAAATAGAGCAACGTGCATATAACCAAATCAGAGCTACTTGAGAAGGGGAGGATAGTTCAAAAGACAAGCATCCACTCATCAACACAAGATAAAAAACATGTGCACTTTTATGTAATATTTTATGTACCAATAGAAACTTGACTTGAATTTATTATGTCAACATCAAAACAAAGCTTTATACACTTTGCAGGCTGTTTGGCATAGTTATATATGTAAGAGTTTGTCTTTGGTCATAGAAATAAACTTATGCAATAATGACATCAAATCCAGATCTTATTAAAATATTGTGGAAATAAGCTTCTCCACTGATCCTTTTACAACAGAGGTAGAGTGGTTGAGTAATCAAACCAAACTATTTGATTCATAATGGAAGGAAGAAAAATAAACAGAAACCCATTCCAGCCAAAATCAAGCCCTTTCTAGTTCCACTTATTTAAATGGGAGAGCATAAAGCACATGCTAAAGTCAACAATTTAAGGTGTCTAAAAAGTGCTTAATTTTGGGCAATTAAAGGCCTAAACATTTCTGAATACGAAAAAGAAAAACGTTTGTTATTACTGTATGAAATTGCTATTAGTTGGGCTAAAGCCAGGCAAACTTAAAAACTGAATCTCCCTCTCCTGGAGAAAGACTTGCAAAAAGTAACAGGTAAGTTATGAAATATGAGCAGAAGGTAAAGTCAATTTGGCCACTGTTTCACAAAGTCAAGCAGACCCTTGTATGCTACAAAAGAGATACAGCACATTCAATGGTGTTGTTCAACAGTGTTGCAATTACCTATTTCATATTGAAGGAGAAAAGAACGGTATTACACCTGTGGACTCAATTCTATGCTTCTAGTTTTGACTTTACATTTTACAGAAAGCCATCTTAACTACCTGGATATTTTATACCAAACCTAGCACAACGAACCGAGGCGGCCATAAAAACAACCCAACATTAACACCAGTGGTTTTGTGACAAATTTTAAATTCCAGTGAGTTGTTAAACTGGGAAACAGATACCAGTTTTTAAGCTCCTTGGAAGTCTTTTGAAGTCCTAGCGTTCTTGGGTATGGTCCTCAACGTAATGTAACTCAATGTTTAATTTTTATCGTAAACTTGGCATTAGTGGTACAGGAGCTCCCTCTATTGGGACAGTGGAGGAGACAGTCAGTAACAGCCCACCATGCAATCTTTCATTCACCCGAAGCTCACAACCATCTTGAAGCATACGTATTGCTATGCGTGCAATGTTCTTAGAGTCATCAAGCCCACTGTGAGGCCGTCCATCATAGTCCATTCCCAGCTTTTCAAGCATGGTTGAAAGTCTAATTTGGCTTCTTGGAACCTGATAAAGAAAATAAAAGATACTAAAGCAGGAGGAGGTAGGAAAGAGAACCAATATGTATACACCCACCTACATTATTATTGTTGTTGTTATTAAATTGTTCAGTTGCCTAATGCCACAATACAAACAAACAAAGGGTTATATGCAACTAAATTCTATTGATAGTAGACCAACTGAAGATAATAGGCCTAAATCAGCCATATGCATTCATTTCAATGGGTCTACTCTGGGTATGACAAATATCAATACAACCCAAAATAACGAAGATTATACCCTTCTCAACCAATTTAGAAGAGCTAAAGGCACAGTAGGCAACAGTTACAGGCTGGGTTGCCGTTTGCTAACGGTTTGGCCAGAGGTATACCTCACCTGGAACAGAGCTTTGATTAAACTGAGTTCTAGCCAGCTAGGACTTGATGTATACATTCCCACAAATTTTGAAGCCATGGAGATAGAAATGTGGGGGTTTTTTGGGGGGGGGGGGATTTGAAATATATGCAACACTTATTTTCTGAGAAAGTAATAAACTTACATTTAGAGCTTAAGAACATAAAATGCTTCCTAGCTATAATACTGAAAAAGGCATATTTTTGTTTTTGCAGAGAGGAAAAAATAAATATTGAAAACACAAATCATCATCATTACAGGAAACAAGTTATCCCTACAGGGATAACTGTAACAGCAAAACAAAAACAAAAAACTAGCAAGGAATGCTCCCTCTTTTAAACAAACTTAAACAAATTCTCTGAACAAAAAATGATGTATGTCAGATCATATTGATAATATAAGTCTACAATATACTTAAATTTTAAATACCTAGCATTGAGTTTCAGGCAATGTAAGTGACAGAGACACAAACCTTGTAGAAGTTCCCATAGGATTTGCGAATATTGATCCACTTCTTAGCAAAAGAAGGATATTTCAGACGGCTAATGCGACACTGGATATTCAAAAATTTACTCATATCCCAAGATCTTTAAAAAAAGAAAAAATATGCATAGTATCTTAAGAGTGAGTTAGGTGTCCCTTTCATGCTAATAGGACCAACACATGAGGATCTCCCCTGTGTGTCTGATTACATGAACTTTGGAGGTCATCTTCTGGGCACCTTCAGAGGCTGGACAGGTGGCAACCGGTCTTCTCCCCTTTCCTTTTATAGAAGGTTGGGGAAACCCCTAGAACAGATTTAGTGGGTATGCAGGGAGGAGAGGAGGAGAGTATTCCACTGCACAAGGATAAATCCTTGCACTGGCAAAACTCCTTTTAACCAACGAGTTTTGAGGCCAGGTAAAACCAGTTCTATTTGCCTGATCTTTTAATTTAACAGCGAGATAAAAATTGCATTTATGCGCTGATGTTTTATGTGACTCTGCTGGATTTTTAAAATTTCTGTCACTGTATTAACTAACTTTGTTTTTGTAACTGTGCAATGGTGTTTGACATTACTTTATATAGAATCAGTCTTGCTAGAATTAAAGAGGTAGGACTCAAATAGCAAAATTGCAACTTTTATGCAGAAGAGTTTTTTTGTGTTTTTGCTATACTAATTATGGGTAGGAACATAATTCTGGATATGGATAGGAACATAATGGAGCATGGTTGCGACCAGCACACTAGCTGTAAGAACCACTTGGATTAAATACTTACATATGAATACTAACATGCTTGAAATAGTTACACATATTATCCCCACTGAATTCAACTTTGTTTGGAAGTCCTTTTACAGAACTATTCATCATGACATGCTATTCAGATAAAAATGCAAAAACAGCTTCAGTTACCTGAATAATTCCAAAGATGCAACATAAAACAATAGCACAGAGTTAAGATTATCAATTTGGCTTAATTTTTACAATATATGTTTCTTGATTGGAAATTAATGGTTTTGCAATGTTAAAAATATTATTTTTAAGCAACTGAATACATACCCATCAGTTAATATGGAATAGCTATATTTGCTTCCCAGTTCTTTCTGTTTCATCCAGTCCACAGCATGTTGCAGAACCTTTGGAAATTCATCTGCTTTATCTACAAGGTCCTGAAAATATGTAACAACAGCAATGAGCAAAAATAAAAATATTGTACAAGGTATGATCTAAAAAAACATTGTGCAAGAAACTGTGAAAAGCAAGATTAACACAAATTGGGATAAATCTTTAAAAGCTTGCTAGCAAGTCTACAACAGATTTCCAAAATACAAAACGTAACTAAAAACATTATTGTTTTCTATTGCATTCAGTGGATAGTAACTACTTTCAACCACTCCCTGCACAACAGACTGACAACATTAGATGGAGCTGCATTCCTAACACTTATACTGGAAAAACAAACTTTAAATCAATCCATCAACATAATCCCCATAGAATTTAAAATAGTAGCACAATCTGAATATACCTTATAGCTGGAGCAATACATTTCCCTTTTTATCTCACAGAACAATGCTCTTTAACTTTCTTTTAAACCTCTGTCTGCATAGAAACCATTATACACCTGCTGATTAACTCTTACTTTGAGGCGCAGTCTAGAATATTCTGAACACCATCCAGGGACAGTTTCCAGCACATTGTGTGGGAAAATTCAGAATGATACAATATCATTCAAGCTACCTTTTAGGGAATCCTATCTTCCATCAACGATCTTATTGAGAAAACCCTGATAAGGACCTGAAGGAGCTTTAGGAATCCTAAGAACACAGGCTGAAAATCATGGACACATAATTAATGTACTTGAAATATTGATTTTCGAAATGTTAATCTGGAAACAGGAAAGGAAGGGGGATATTGTTGTCCTAAGCACACTTAATTAATCATCAACATACCCAATAAATATGCTTGGAACTAGGAGCCAAGACTATTATAACAAGCACTTGCTTCATTTACACTCATAACTGTGGTCAGCTGCAGAGAATGTTACCTGAGAAATTCCTGTCAAATTAATGCAGAATTCTGAAAGCTGAGGATTAATCTCTGGTTTCACATACTGTTGAAATGTGTCCTCCTATAATATTAAAACATAGTTCACTTGGCAACAATGCAAAAGAATCACAGAAAATGTATAATGTTTTAGAAGAAAAGAGTAATAATTAAGGTATTAACTAGCATGCAAGCAGTCAACATCCAAGCTTTTTTATATTTGAACACAAGCAGTGAAATGGCAACATTTTATGAAAGAGAAAACCTGACACCCATTTTCTTATGGACAGGGACATTCTCAACAGCCTCCACTTTGGGTATCTTTGCCGGCTGATATGTAGTGCTGAGACCTTTTTAACATACAGTAGCTGTTAAAGAACTATGGACACATCATCAGAGCCACTGAACACTTGTACAGATGTGATTTTTTGCACTATTGAGGACAAACTTACATATGTGTAATGAAGCTCAACAGATCTTTGAAAAATGAAAAGCAGGATGCTGCAGTTTTTAATATAGGAGTGGCAGTGTAATAACTTAACATTTTTCTTGCTGGCTGCTTTTCCACAAAAAAACCCTGAAGGTTCTAGTTACCTTTGTTGCAGGAACAAACATGTGATTACTTTTAAATTCCTGTAAAAAGCTTTTAAACTGAAAGCTGAACAAAAACTAAAAGTTATTTTTAAGAGGTTAAACAATATCTGTAAGAAAAGGATATACAGTGGTACCTCGGGTTATCCCTCTGGATACGTACTCTTCGGGTTGCGAATGCGGCAAACCCAGAAGTGTATACTTTCTGTTTTGCCACACGCACATGCGCAGAAGTGATCTACACGCAGAAGCGATCTGCACGTCACGTGTGTGTGCTGAAATGCTCAATTGCGCCGCGCACGTGCCCAGAAGGGCGCCTCCGGTTACGGAGTTTTGGGGATACGGCCGGGCCTCCGGAACAGATCCCGTCTGTAACCAGAGGTACCACTGTATTGCCCAAATTCTCCTTTACAAAACACACTGTATCTAATGTTTGCTACCCATAAAAAAGTAAGAAGAAACAGGGTCACTTACAATTTCTAATGTCCGAGTGTTTAACAAGACAATAGGAAATTCAATGATTTCATGTGTAGATTCAGGAGGATTTCCTTCTTCACATGTTGCTTCAAAGTCAATAACACAGATGTAATCGTAGTAATTATCTGCATTCATAGTCTGGTTTTGCATTAACTTTTCTTTCTTATAGTAGTTTTTCAGTCTCTTTTTCAAAACATCTTTCACTCCTCTGCCAAAGGAAAAAAATATATCATTGCTTGACCATCACCTAAGGTTTATTCAGCAAAGTGCTGAGTGTAGAAATGCCATGGTATTTGTAGAATACAAAGTGTAGAAATCTCATGGTCTATTTGTTGGTTGGCTCCCTCTGCAAACTTTAGCCCTGCCTCTTGTAAATGCCAATGCCTAAAAGGTATTACAATGAGCTGTTCTGATCCACAGGCCACACAAAGCAGTTGCTCCTACAGTACAGTCTTCTCTTGAGAAAGGAATAACCACCTTAAAGCAAGTCCAAAAATCTCTCTAGAAGAATCAGAAAAATCGCAAGTCTTCGAAAATGGAAAGACCACCTTATTCAGAGTTACCCCAGTTCTTTACAAAGGAAGTCAGCAGTGAAATGGAAACACTTAAAAAAATAACAATCATTTGATTCATGCTTCATATAAGCTTAAGCATATCCAGCCAAGCTGCAGTGATAGATAGATGATAGGACAGGAATTAATCGCAAAACAGGAATAGTACCAATTATGTACACAGCTAAGAAGTTTATTTCAGCTAATCATAGCTCATTAACCAATTTAGGGTTTCGCTATAATGCTAAACCACCAATCCCATCCTAGTGCCCTCCAAATCCTTTGGACAGCCCCCATCAGCTCCAGCTAGCATGGGTAGTATAGCGGAGGAGCATGCAATTCTGAGACTTGTGCCCACAACGGTAAACTGTTTATAATTACATCCAAACCATCCTATTGAGTTTCTTCCTAGCTGTCATTCTCCCTTCAATTCCCTTTTCTTACCAGGTTAACCTTTCAGGAAGGCTATATGGAAATTCTCTTACATGTTCCTTTTGCTGTATAACTGAAGAATATACAGACTTATAACTTATATTGCAAACTCTAGAATTACAAATTATGCAACAAGTCATGTGTTTAGAAATTACATTACCAGTAGCAGCTGTAACTATCAAATCCTCAGTTTCTCCACAAGTCTTCAGTTCCATTCCATTTATAATGTACTCTAAATAACTAACAAATGACAAACTTTCCCTCTAGTTTCACTTACTCTTCAGGCTGTAAAAAGCTTGTGGGAATAGGGATGCATAATAGGTGACCATTCCAGCCCTGCTCAGGGTAGTTTTTAATGGTTGATGTTTCGTTTTGTTTTTAAATACAGTCGTACCTCGGAAGTCGAATGGAATCCGTTCTGGAAGTCCATTCAACTTCTGAAATGTTTGGAAACCAAAGCGCGGCTTCTGATTGGCTGCAGGAAGCTCCTACAGCCAATAGGAAACCCCATCAGATGTTCGGCTTCCAAAAGAACGTTTGAAAACCGAAACACTCACTTCCGGATTTCGATTGTTTGGGAGCCAGAACGTTCAACTCCCAAGGCGTTCGGGAGCAGAGGTCCGACTGTATTTTGTTAGAAGCCACCCACATTGGCTAGGACTAGGGCAACCCAGTCAGATGAACGTCATATGAATAATAAAATTATTATTATTACTTACATATGAAATCAGAAATGCATATGTATCCTCAAAAAAGACAAACACCTGACAAATGCTTACCTGGTGTCAAGCTTGAATTCAGCAAGTTTAGCTCTAAGTTCATCTCGGCTCATTCTGTTGATATGGCCATTCGTCAGAGAAATCTCTTTGTAAACTGGGTCGCTGAAGTCACTTGAACCAGACATGGTTTTCTTTTCTTGACAGTAATATATATAATGCCGCTTACTCTGGAAGGCTATGTGATAATGATACAAAACAATCAAGTTTTTATCAGTCGACCTCAACTTCCAAAGCTTAAAATAAGTATTTTATTCAACACATTCCTGCTGATTTGCTGATCCATATATAAACTAATAACACTTTTTACCTGATCCAGGGCATTATATAAAGAAAACCCCAGAGTTGTAATAGTCTGGAACCTCTCTCCCCCTCATAGATATGTAACTTTTGAAATCATTTTTCTTTTATGAAGGAAATGATGGTCAATATTGCTTTGTGGGTCGGATTTAGTCTACCAGTCAATAGTCTGAGATCTGCTGGGGAGTTCTTGCTGATAGTTCCACTGTGGCTGGTGCCACAATATCATAGCAGAACCTTCTTGGTCACAGTACCCAAACTTGCAAATATCAGATAGGCTTAGGATTTAAATATGTAATGTGATGAATTAATATGTTTAAAGCCAAATTTGAAAGAAAGAAAGATGATAAGTAATGAAGTTCATGTTAGAAGAATATTGGTTTTGGAAAACTGTTAAAATGATATACACTGAAATTCAACCAGGGGGATACGAGGAAGTCACTTAACAATGTTACTAAGATTGGTTTAAATACAGCTGAGATTTATGTTTGTTTGTTTGAAAAATCTTTTGGAAAATTAATAATAAAAATTTGGAAAAAATAATAGAGACCATTCAACAAAATGGGGGGGGGGGGGGATGCTACCAAAAAAACACACCTTGCCACACACAAGCAGCACCAGAGTCTACAATTGTAGCCTTTTCAGGTTTTGCCCTCGGGTGGGAAGAGAACTGTGCCCGGGACAGGGAAATGGGAATCAAACAGACACTCAAGGGACAATTTTCAGAGAAAAAGCTTTATTTCTACCATCCAGGCTTGGTAGAAGGAGCTAGTGTGATAATTTCACAAACAAGCACAAGTTCACAGCCCTTTGAACAGAGCATATATTCCCCTCCAGTTCCCTCCCCTTTCCCCTCCTCCTCAGGAGCCCTGCCCCATGATGAGTTTCCTGAGCATGAACAGAAAGCTCCTGTCTTTGGGACTCTTGGCGCCCTTCCCAGGAAAGGGGGATGAGGAGCCAAGGGGGTTGAGGAGCCTTGCGGTCCAGTGTCCAAGATGTGTTGCAACTAGAGTGAGATAAGACTCAGTTCCCAGGCTTGCTTTATGCTTGGCATTGACAGAGCCTATTCATTCGCCTTTTTGAAGCTCTCTCGTACTGACAAAAGTAACATTTTGCCGATGCAACAGCATCTTGTGAGAAAGCAGAGAAGAGCAGAGAAAAGCTATTTTAGAAGAGAGAAAGGGAATTTGGGACAGTTTGAGGCTTAGGGTGACTTCGGGCCTAGGTGGGGCACCTGTCCTCACCTCCTTCACAATAAACATGCACGCTGCTCCACCCACTTCACCCCATATTTGTTTACCCTCCAGCCTGACGAGGAGCTCTGGAGAACCCGAAACCTTGCGGGATATGCTGTGGCATTTTGGCGGACTTCATAACGGTGCTGCTCTCACGAGTATTAATGGAAGCACAACCCTTTCAAATGTGTTGTGGGAGTGGTTATTGGTTTGTTTTTATTATTTTGTGTGGGATTTTTCCTAGGGCATTTTTATGTTGTGAACCGCTCTGAGAATAATAATAATGTGAAGCACCACAAGTCTGGCCCGGGGTGGTGGTGGTGATTTGAGACCGTTAAACAGGACCGTTCCCGTCCCCTCCCCCTCGCGCGCGAGCGCCATTCCTCCTTCAAACGGCTAATACCGCCTCACGTGACTTTCGCCGGGCGCCGCGCGCGAGCTGGACCAATGACGCCACAGTGGGGAGGAGGAGGAGGAGGGAGGGCCATTCCCATTCTGAAGCCTCTCCGCGGCAACGCTCACCCGCAAGCCGGCTTCTGTCACTCCTCCGTTCTCTTCTAGCGCTAGCGGCTGCTGCTGCTGCTGCTGCTGCTGCGACGTCGGCACGTTCGCGTTCCGCCGCTCCCTTCTCTTCCGCTGTAGCGCGGGCGGGCGCCAGAAGATCAAAAGCAGCAGCGGCGTCACAAAAGGGGGCGGGATAAGTGACGCAAGCTGGCCGGAGAGCCTCTGCTCGCACGGCTCCGCCCACCCGACCCTGACGATTGACGCGTAGGCGGGACCTAGGATAGGAACGCCCCTCCCCTGATCTTCACAACTCTTAAGACTGAGAACGCCTGGAGGGGGAAGTGCGCGTGCGCGCCGCCGCTGCCGCGCGTCTTTGTCCGGCGCCCCGCCTCTCTTTTCCTCCCGCCCATTTCAGAACGGAAAGCGCCCGTTTGGCGGCTCCTCCTCCAATCCGCGGCCCGTCTAGTGTCACGTGGAGAACTCCCGCTCTCCGTGTTTAGGCAATGTGCCTCGACGTCAGGGGGCGGGGCCTTCCTCTCAGACTCCCGCTTTGCCCCGCCCTCTGCCCGGGCTCGGAGTTAGGGGGGTTGCAGGCAGTTCCCTCGCACAGGGCGCAAAATAATAATATAGCAATGACAATATCAATAAAACCAATATTTATACGAAAATACCCATTAAAATATATATCAATAAAACCAATATTTATACGAAAATACCCATTAATATAGAGATCGATAGATATTATTATATATATTAATGGGTATTTTCGTATAAATATTGGTTTTATTGATATTGCCATTGATATATTGTTATTTTGCGCCCTGTGCGGGGGAACTGCCTGCACCACCCTAAATCCGAGCCCAGGCATATGTGTATATATATATATATGTATATATATGTGTATATATATATATATATATATGTATATATCTCGAATATACCTTTATTAATTTTACTTCCTTTCCAAAACTTGGTGCCCTGAATCCTTAATAACAGCAAGTACAGTCATACCTCGGATTACAGATGCTTCAGGTTGCGTGTTTTCGGGTTGTACACTGCGCCGAACCCGGAAGTACCGGGTTTCGGCACATGTGCAGAAGCACTAAATTGTCATGTGGCCAGCATGACTAAGCCGCTTCTGGCGAACCAGAGCAGCGCACGGAAACGCCGTTTACCTTCCCGCTGGAGCGGTACCTATTTATCTACTTGCACTTTGACGTGCTTTCGAACTGCTAGGTTGGCAGGAGACTCCTCTGGTACTGTCATGCTATCCACACAAGAGGATTGCTGATCTTATGTGTACAAACTTCAGAAAACCTATAGCTACCTAGGAGAGCTTTCGAAGTATGGCACTGGCTTCTTTTTTATCTCCATTTTTAATGTGGCAATATCAAATACAGTTTCTATTTCATCACATTCTCATAATTATAGTAGGGTACAAAGCGAGAATCTGGAAATGCCATCTTTCCTTCTGTGGCTTGTGCCTTCAGTTTTTGCACTGGTAAGCAATGTACTTTTGGTGGCTGGAATGGTTAAATGGTTTCCACTTTGGAGTGCTGCATATCCTGAATGATTTTTTTTGCACTGTCTCTTCACCTGTTAAGAAGTTACATAATTTGTTATGACTTCCTTGAAAATAAACGTGTCCACTGATCTGCTCTTAAACAGATCCATAAAATTTAAATAAATGCATGTTACCATGTTGATATTTATCAACCAATAATTTTTGCATTGCTGGACATTAACATCCTCTAGCAATTGGAAGACTGCTTCGAGTAAGTGGGTGAATGTAGGTTTTTTTCTTAATATATCAATGATGCTCCTTTTGATAGTTCCTTTGGAGCATGGGTAGGCAAACTAAGGCCCGGGGGCCGGATCCAGCCCAAACGCCTTCTAAATCCGGCCCGCAGACAGTCCAGGAATCAGCGTGTCTTTAGTAGAATGTGTCCTTTTATTTAAAATGCATCTCTGGGTTATTTGTGGGGCCTGCCTGGTGTTTTTACATGAGTAGAATGTGTGCTTTTATTTAAAATGAATCTCTGGGTTATTTGTGGGGCATAGGAATTTGTTCATTCCCCAAATATAGTCCGGCCTCCCACAAGGTCTGAGGGACAGTGGACCAGCCCCCTGCTGGAAAAGTTTGCAGACCCCTGCTTTGGAGAAAGTGGTTTCCCACAGGCAGGCTGTGGCTTTGTGCCTGCGTTGGAAAAATCCTTAAGGAAAATCAGTGTTTTAAAACGTAATGGCTAAGCCACAGCACATGAGCCGTATCTGACACCCTTGGAGTGTTTTGTGGCCTGCAAGTCCTTTTTCCTAATTTGAAAGGATCTTTCAGGTTGGTTGGTTGGTTGAAGATATTGACTGATTCTATAGGTCCCCTGCTGTAATACCATGGGGACAGTTTTTTGTGATTCCCCAAGGGCCCCTCCAAAATGTTGTAATTTTAAAAATAATATGTAGATTTCTTGCTGTGATTTCAAGAGGTGCTTTCTCTGACTAGTCAAGATTTCACACATTCTCCCATTTTCAGATTTAAATATGTATTACTGGCTGCTCCTGCAGGTGCTATGACAAAAGGTTTTTGTGTCACCACCTTATCTCACCAAAATGTGTCCTATAAAAAGAAAGTTTTTGCCACATCAACTTTGAGATGCAGCCTTCAGTGAGGTCACCATGGGGCATTTTGTCTCCCAAAAGTAATGTACAACGTAATAATAAAATAGTAAATAAAAGATAAAATGGTCAAAGAATAGGAATTGTAAGGCAGAGCTAAAACACGGTGGGGAGTGTTTTTCACCTCAGTAGGTCACATTCCCTTGTGAGTTACCTTCTGCCAGTGGTGGCTGGGGTCAGAGGCAACAGAACTGAGAAGCAAGATAAATTCTAGCCATGCAAAAGCCAGAGGTTTTTACGCATATGTGCATGAACACGCACATACAAGACGCATTCCAGCTAGGTAAAAGCACCCAAGGAGGACATAGAATCAGGTCAACAAGTACAGTAGTGGGTGACTGGGGTATTAAAGTAGGTATTAAGATACAGTGGTACCGTAGGTTAAGTACTTAATTCGTTCTGGATGTATGTTCTTAACCTGAAACTGTTCTTAACCTGAAGCACCACTTTAGCTAATGGGGCCTCCTGCTGCTGTCGTGCCGCCGGAGCACGATTTCTGTTCTCATCCTGAAGCAAAGTTCTTAACCCGAGGTAATATTTCTGGGTTAGCGGAGTCTGTAACCTGAAGTGTATGTAACCCGAGGTACCACTGTATGGGGAAATGGGGCATGGCCCGGGGATAATCTTGAGGGTCACTTTTGGCTCCTGGGCCTGAGGATCCCCACTTTGTAGTGCATTAACTAGATAGCAACAATCTAGCAATGGGTAGGAAGAGCAGTAATCTTAAATCAGAAACTGGCCTGCGTTTTGTGTGTGTGTGTGTGTGTGTGTGTGTGTGTGTGTGTGTGTGTTCACTTTGCTTCATCAGATTTATTAAGTGTTATCCTTAGTTGGCTGATGTGTGTATGAAATATTAAACAGAGAAAGTATAAACATAGGTGAAATGGCTGTGGAATGCAAAGAGAGTCTGAAACAATTTATGTACAGTACATTTTAAAAAGAGCATACAGTATTCAGGCCACTTCCTGCTCTTAATATTTTCCACCTTCTTGCCACCAGAGGGCAAGCAATGCAGCACATTTGGGTATGAAGAATTGCTCATCCATTACTGTACTTCTTAACATTTATAATAAAAGGTTTTCAAAGCAAATGTGAAACCAATCATTTTTCTTCTCAAAGAGTGCCACTTACTTCTGAGTGCTGAGTGAAACATCTGATTTTGGCTTCAGGGTGGCAGCGTAAGTATCTGCAGAAAACGTGAACATGGAGCATAGATGTTGTATTTAGGCTGCAATGTCATTTAATGCCTCATTGTCCTAGTTTTGCTCTGTACATTCTAGTGGTAACTTGGTGTGGCAACACTCTCTGAACTGAAGGGAAGGGCATCATAGGCTCTGCCCAACTTGAGGACCAAGAGACAGCACCCCAGCTCTCAAAGGAGAACATTGTGGCAATATGGAGACCAACACGGCCCCCATCTGTAGGCTAGAAAAGGAGCAGATGCAAGGAACGCCCTTCTCCCTTCCTTGCCAGAAAGTACTGTACACTGGGTTCCAGCTGTCAGTTGCTCTGAGACTGCAAAACTGAAGAGAAGCCATCAGTCAGGTAACTAGTAAGAACTGCTGGATTGTGTGTGTGCTTAAAAGAGAGGGAGGGCCACACGTCCAGGGCAGATGATACTGCTGAGATGATGTAACTTCAATAATTAGTGCCTGGACTCGTTTACTTCCCTCTTCCCTCCCTATTCTTGTCTCCTCTAGTCTCTCCTTGACTTTTAGATTGAGTGCCTGCAGGCAGGGACTGTCCTGTCCTTTAATTTCCGTACAGCACCTATAAATATTTAGGTGCTTCGTAAGTGACAAATGACAGCAACTTATTCATTAAGACACTCATTTCAAAGCACTTTTTAATTAAGTGCCATTTTTGTCTGGGGCGAAATATTTCCCAGGCACAACAAGCGGACCGCTTACCTCTGGCGATAGGAGTCAACCTTGAAAGATAGTGGCATACAGAGTGTTTGATCTCCTTTGGGATGCCATTGAATGGATGTGTCGACTCCAAATCCAACCTGTCCCTGAGCTCCTGAAGAAATAGGCATGGTTTCCTCATTGGAGATGGTAAAGAAACAGAAATGTCTCAGCTAGATGTGTCCATACCAAATACCTTGATGTTTTCTAATTTTTCTTCCTGTTGCTCTTTCCACACTCTTTGGAATTGCCAAGTAGAGTTTAGAGTTTTATCTTTCTTCTGGCTCCAGTACCTGCTTGTGGCCTTGTTTGTTGTGGTAGCCAAGGAAACAGTGACTCGCTTGCAAGCAACACACACACACACACACACACACACACACACACACACACAGAGAGAGCAAGCATTTTTCAGTCCAAAAATCTTCAGCTACCAAGGAAGCTAAATCCGTTATTTTAACTCTTCTAAACTTCACTGCACAGAAGGAAACGCTGCGTTTTATTTTTCGTTCTCAAGAGATAATGGCCTATAGGAATCCTCATTACATTTGCTCGTGTGCATTCCTAAAACAGTTCATGGCAGTGGCAAATCAAGAAGATAGTAGCACTTCTTCGATTGGCTAATCTGTCTCTGCATCTGCTTGTAATTGCGGAGCGCGAGTTAAGAAATAAAGCACATTCTTGACAAGGAATGGAATCCAGTGATAATGGTGCCCATAGCAACAAGTATAGGCAAACTCATCTCCCCTCCTCTCCCCTCCCCGCGGCCCTTATTTTATTTCTTTAAACACTTCGATCCCTTGCAGGCATTGTGTAGAAGATCGTATCTCCCTTCACAAGTAGTTATTAGAGCCAGTTTACACAAGCAGAATCAAATCCTGTTCTGTGTAGCATGTAGGCGGCAGATGTGCCCACGAGGGGAATTGTGTGTTGGAATAAACCCCTTTCCCAAACTTGCCAGTGGGAATGAGAGAAAGCTAATCATCCATCACTTGATAAGATAATAAGCTTCCGCTGGAAAATGTTTACTACACCACCCACTTTTACAGCAGTAGGTGAATGGAAGGCTTTAGGTAACCTTTATGCATGTGAATGTATCCTGGCTTTGGAAAACCCACAGCTGCTGGGAACCAGCTTTCCCCACCCTTCTAGGAACAACACTGCTACAACTGTCAGTTGCCCTGAAAAGACAAGGGGAAATAACCATTTGTTTCTCCACTACCACCACTGTCTAGTTGCCAGGTGTTATGTACTGAAGTTCTCACCCTGGGCCAGCGGGGGGATACTGTAGATAGTTCAGGTCCACATATGCAAATAAGGGATTGAAAGTGACGTTCAGTGATTGGCTAGTTACAGAAAATGGTTACTGTTGCGTTCTAGTGGAGCTCTATATAAGCAGGCTGGCTGAACCCTTCAGTTCAGTTCTGTTCTGGCCTGAGAATAAACAAGAGCTGCTTGAAGAATCGCTGTGTCGTCTGCTATGTCCACCCACAACTTAACACCAGTGTCCTGCCAAACTTGGAATATGCATACGTGCTGCAAAAAGTAAGGCAAGAACTGTTTTGGCTGACAGAAATGTTAGAAAAATGCTGCGAGTGCATGTCATCTCATGTTTTCTTTTCCTTGTAGAACGTATTAAGAACCTCCTCAAAACATTCCCAGCAGGGTATGCACTGCCCTGTGCTCCTTTCCTTCAGGAGCAGAATTATTTCAGTGCTTAATATGCAAGCTTACTGGAGCAATCCAATTATTTTCCTTTTGAGAAAAGCACCACCTGCCTCATAACTTGACTCCCTTCCAGTATCTGAGCAAAAAGCCGAGTGACTGTGTGTTTTTGCAAGCGGGGTTGGGCTGAGGGGGAATGGTTTGCCTAAAGTCACCTAGGGAGGTCATGGAAGAAATGGGGACTTTCTGATTCATGGTTTGTGGCTCGGGCTCAGTCGTTCTCTGCCTGCAGCATCTCTCAGTTTTAACTGCTCCTCCAGGCCTTCTGGAAAATGCCAGAAATTTTTCTGGGTGGGTTTGCTGTGGGGAGAGGAAATTGCTGCTCAGCAAGAAATTTGTTGATTGGGCCCCAGAACTCTTATAAGAACATGGAGAGCGCCTTGCAGTTGGGTCAAGGTGATGTATGGAAGTGAGAGCTGGACCATAAAGAAGGCTGATCGCTGAAGAATGGATGCTTTTGAATTATGGTGCTGGAGGAGACTCTTGAGAGTCCCATGGACTGCAAGATCAAACCTCTCCATTCTTAAGGAAATCAGCCCTGAGTGCTCACTGGAAGGACAGATCCTGAAGCTGAGGCTCCAAGACTTTGGCCACCTCATGAGAAGAGAAGACTCTCTGGAAAAGACCCTTATGTTGGGAAAGATGGAGGGCACAAGGAGAAGGGGACGACAGAGGACCAGATGGCTGGACAGTGTTCTCGAAGCTACCAGCATGAGTTTGACCAAACTGCAGGAGGCAGTGGAAGACAGGAGTGCCTGGCGTGCTCTGGTCCAGGGGGTCACGAAGAGTTGGACACGACTAAACAACAACAAATGGGCCTATATTGTACAGCACTCTGTTCTTATAGGGAGTCAACCAAATGCCTCTGGCAAGTCAGGACCTGAGTGCAACAGCATTTAACAGAGGAGGCAGAACATAGGCATCATGGCTGGTAACCATTGTTAGCCTTCTCATCCATGAACTTGTCTGTTCTCTTGAAACATCAATTCTAGCTGGTAACCTCTTCAGCAGTGAGAAAGAGAAATATAAACAGTGATAAAAATGCCATTGACGGACAGGAGTCTAGATTAAAAGGTAAAGGGACCCCTGACCATTAGGTCCAGTTGTGGCCGACTCTGGGGTTGCGGCGCTCATCTCGCTTTACTGGTCAAGGAAGCCGGCGTACAGCTTCCGGGTCATGTAGCCAGCATGACTAAGTCGCTTCTGGCGAACCAGAGCAGTGCATGGAAACGCTGTTTACCTTCCCGCCAGAGTGGTACCTATTTATCTACTTTGACGTGCTTTCGAACTGCTAGGTTGGCAGGAGCAGGGACCGAGCAACAGGAGCTCACCCCGTCACGGGGATTCGAACCGCCGACTTCAGCAGTGAGAAAGAGAAATATAAACAGTGATAAAAATGCCATTGACGGACAGGAGTCTAGATTACAAAGAGATAAAACCAGGTGAACAATGACATGTCTGGTTTCTCTAGCAACAGGTTTTTACTTTGCCAAGGCAACCATGATTGCCAATGTCATTTGCTAAAATGACCTCAAATAGCTGAAGAGATTTTAGCAGTTATTGGCTGGTGTGGAATCAGAGATTTCCTCTTGAGGTGCAAAGGTATAACCAGTTCATAAAACACAAAAAGCTTGTGTTAAGAGTGTAGCGACTTTATACACTTTGCTGTATAATGCAGAAAAACCCTGCTTGTTTGTTTTTTATCTCACCGTCAATTTATAACCCATAAATATAATAGCTTTCCCACTAGATGCTTCTTTTAAAAATTTATGTTAGTATTGCTTGGGGTCATGTTTTTCATCAGTTTGTAGAAGATCTGCAATGTAGGGAATTTAATTCCATCTTTCCTGTCCAAACCGACAGGGTTGTCTGCATAAGGCTCTGATCACAAAAAATCTGGAGGGCATATGATGGTATTTGGGAATCTCGTGGAAGGGATGCATGCAACAGCACTGCGATTTGGATTCACATTTATGCAAGCCAAAAACAGTAGTAGCAGGGCATTTCTCCAACTTCAGGAAAATCTAAACTGTCTCTCATTATTCAGTGGAGTCCTTCTCCTCAGATTTACTGGTGGAAGTCTCTTGAAAACCACGTTTTGTAATGTGGATGTTTGCCTCCACAAAATTAATTTTTCCGTTCTGGATTTGTCCCATCACTTCCTGTAGGCAACAAGGAAAACCTTGATCTCTAGAATGCAGTTAAAGGGCAGCTATGTACTTTAAAGTTCAGTAGCGACCGCTTCCTACAAAATTACATTTTCCATATGTGTATTCCTAGAGAGACATCTGAATCACTGCTGGTTTTTGTATTATCAAAGGGAATTTCCGCCATTGCTCCTTTGCCCTGGCAGGACTTGGGCTGCAAAGCCTTTCCTCCTCCCAGGAGGGGAGGGGTTGTGAGCGGGAGACGATTCCCGCGTCATGCAGGGGGCGCTCCGCCCCCTGCTTCAACTCCAGGGCTGGCGTGCCACGCCCCTCCCCGGTTGGGCACCCAATAGGGAAGCTCAGCGGGGGCGTGGCTTGCTGCTCAAACGCAGCCGCGCCAGCCATCCCCACCATTGCACACACATTTTCTTCGAGTCACCCACCCTCCACTCCCTTTAGATTAGCTGTTCCTGAGACTTTGCTATGGACCTCTGGTTGGTCGCCCTGTTTAACCAGGGGGCCTGGTAGGAGTTTTTTCCAATTGGCTAAATTGGCCCGGCCTCTTGGTTTTTTCCGCCTACCTCGTAGCAACCGTCACAACTTTCGTGGTATTTGGCAGTTAGGCATTGGAATGTGTTGTTGGTGTTTCGGGGGGCAAGGTGTGGCCATCGCCTTCCCCGACAATTTTGGGTATTCCGCTAAAGGAATCCGGCGGTTGTGGATCCTGTCCGATGCCCGTGTCGCAGGGGGCCATAGCATGACCCTCAGTGACATCAGGAAGAGAGCCTATAGTTGGATTAGCATCAACAGGCTTCCCCTACTGGTGGTTAACCCCTCCTCAGACTCACCCCTCTACGAGTGGGTGGAGTCTAATGTTCCGTGGTCCAATGCCTAAGCCAATACCTTCTCACATGCTGTAATCTATAAAGTTGTGGCGTTTACCTTACCCATTAACCTTACATTCTGTGTCCACTTGTCTTTATTCCCCAAGCGGGGATCGGGTCCTCGAATCACAATCTGTGATCTTTCTGCACAGAGTACAACCTAAACTAGTGTAAGTCTCCACAACACCTCAGGCATTCCAACAGCAAACTTTGCGTCATGCCCATCATTTCTTTTGGTTAACGTGCGGCCAAAACAAGAGTTCAGCTTGAAGTCAAAAGCTTGCTTACTACTATGGCTTTTAAATTAATCCCCCAGTAAAGGTATTATGGTACTGGTTGTTTTATTCTAATTTTATTGTGCACACTGCCTAAGAGTTTTACAATTAAGCCATCTGTAAACCTTCCTTAATAAATAAAAAGTACTGCTGTTCACATTTTGCAATGCAAATTTGGAAAGCGGGGAAAAAGAAGCCTGCTTCAACTTATTTATTTGTGGCCTGCACAGGCAAAAATACAAATTACAGTTCAGTCAATAAATAGTCAGAGAAAACTCAAGTTGTAATATTACTTTTATTCTCAGGTTTTCATCTTGGTGAGAATATTTTTTCATCTTTTTTTCTTTTTTCTTGTAAAAAAAGAAGTCTGTGCTGTAATATGGAGAATTAACAGATAAGCTATAAGTATAGCCGCCGCCCCCCCCCATGCCCCTTGCTGAACAATCACCACCCATGTTACACCAAACACCCCTTTTTTTTGGCCTTCCAGAAGTGAATCAAAGATGGGTCAAAGGGAAGAGAATCTTTTGAGGAATTAAAAACAGCACACGTTTTCTTTGGCAGCACTGTGGTGCATATCCAGGAAACAGCTTTTCCTGTCATGGAACCTAGGAATAGAAAACGTGACTGATTCCAAGGGCAATTCTCCAGCAGTTTTAAGAGGAATAGCTTGATTGATTTTTTGTGCCTCACAGAGCAAAACCTCGCCCTCTTCCCAGAAAAGCTGGCAGAAATCTTCCGCCGATACTACCACAACAGGATCTTGTCAAGACACTCTGCCAGCCAAAATATCTTTGTCTGGCTGCAGTGTCTGTATTGAAATGTCCTGCATAGCAAAAAAATGATTTTTTTAAAAATTATATTTGCTCTTAAAAGTTCTCAGACAACCGCAGCAAGTGTTTCGCCTCAGCTGTTCCAGTGCGATGTTGCTGAGCATTTTTAGCAAATAGCCTGAAAAACATGAATGACTGAACGCCACCCATGTTTAGGCTGACATCAGGAAAGAGTCAATCTCCCATTGCTGGCAAAGATCTACTTTAACAGGTGCAAAAAAACCCCTTCATTTTGGCCTTGAGAGGGAAAACTCATGTCAAGTTGTGCTCCTCCTTACAGAAGTCAGAGCTACCTAGAAAGTTGCACTGAAGGATGAAGGTACACTTAGAAAACTCATCTCAACTAGTATTTGCCAGAAATTCAGTGGTGCTGAAGCCTGGTTAAGCACTGCTGTTTTGGCACTTTCCCACAGAATGACCAAGTTTTGCTCAAGCCTACTTAAGGCAAACCTAAACAATACATTTCTGAAGCCCAAACTATTTTACTAGGTGATGTGGTACCGAAATCTGCTTGGGAACGTCTTCTTAGCACATGCCCCTGATGCGCTAAGGTAATTAAGATCTGGGAATGTTCCACTTAAATTCACACTAGACCTGAAATGGCCCACAAGACCCAAAATACAACAGAAAACTGCAGCTAATCCCCCAGTTAACCTTCTTGTACACAAGTTGTCGAATGGAGTGACTCTGAAGCGGGGGGGGGGGGGGGACATCTTTCAACACACACCGACAAAAATTAGCCACTGGGATTCAAAAGCTCACTCATAACACCAGACACATTTGTTGATTAATGTCTCCTTTTCAACCACTTTTCAAATGAGGTATATTTTTTCCTCAGCTAAACTTAAAATTCAACAGCTGTTTTTATGATTTCCCCATGGAAATCCACCTCCAAGTTGCATGTTAAAATGCCCAACATTTTTTTAAATGTGATGTTTACTTGTAAGAGTGTATATTACAGATTGTTGGCTGCATTCTTCAAACAAGGGAATAATCTTGAGGTCTGAGAAGTGTGGTTTCCTCTGCTCTGTGGCTTTCCTGAACCATTCCAGTAACACCAAAATCTTCCATCGATGCGCTGAAGGTAGACTGTGCTGTAGGTTTGGATGGTGGTGTCGTAATTAAGTTTCCTAATCTAGCAAATGTGGCACAAATGCTGCTCTAACCATATGGGCAGAAGGCGCTACCATTATCAGAATGGCTTAAAGTGTAGTGCCATAACTATACATAACTCAGGCGATGTTTAAAGTGGGGCCCAGACTAATACATTCTTTTGAAAACAAACCACGTTTCGTAGGACACTGAACCAATCCCCACCCCAGCATGATGGACATCATGAATAAAGCCAGCGTGATCCATAGTCGAGAAAAGAAAATTCTGGAACTGAGGTGGTCAACTTCGTTGCAACATGAGCTGCATTTTAGCTGCTGGTATTCCAAGTGCTTAATTTCAATACACCGAAGGTAAACCGGGTCTAGCAATAAAGCCCAATCTTTGTGGCACATTGTCACCAATAGCTGAATTGCTTTCTCTTGGCTCCCAAGTGGCTGGAGGACTGAGGTGTGTCCATCTCCACGCTGCTCTTTGCTCCTTGTCAATCATGTCTGCCTCAACTCAATTATTCCATTTTTTTTCCTGGTCAATTATTCTTGGCATTGTTTAGGGATGAATGATTCCTGGCTTACTTCACGGCTGTCCACTCTGCATACTCCACAAATAAAATTTAACTAAAGCTGTCTTCCCCTTCTCCACCACGTTGACATGTTCCACGCACAAGAGGGAGAAAACTCAAAACCACATTTGCTTCTTTCAAGTACGGCTTCAACTGTTGCGTGGAGGCAGAGACATTCCGAGAAGAATCTGTGCTAATGTTTATTTAGGTGGATTTTACCATGAAACTGCAGTGAAATTGAAGATTGTGTGTTTGTCTTTGTGTGTGTGTGTATCTGTGTGTGTGCGTGATGTGTGTGTATGTGCACAAACCAGGTGTTTAAACAATAGAGACCTACATGCATTGTTTTGACATCACATCCAGAACCCAGCAACTGATTTAGCACAATCTCCATGCTGACCTTTGTACCCAGTGTCAAATTAATTCTAAACTGCATAGATAATTAAAAACTTAGAAAAATAAAGATTAACACTTAAAAAAACCCACAACAAACAAATTGCTGAACAGCAGTGAACTTCAGCAGTGATCCTCTTTCACATTTGACAGACTTGGAAACAGAGAGCCCCCCGATACTGCTGTCATCAACGGCAGCTGCGGCTTTTAAACTGCACATCGAACATAATCCCTGAGAAGTTTTTCATCCTACTCTGTTGGCAAGCAGCTCTTCGCTAGAGAATGATCCTGAGGCTGAGGGTCGAGTGATGAATCCTTTAGTCCACCATTCATCTGCAACTTAATATATTACTTTAAAAACCATTTCACTTCTGGGGTTAAGTTATATGCTCAGTCCCTGGGAAAGCATCCATCTGAAGAGGTATTTTCCAGTTTTGATTTTGTGTCCTTTTCCACAGCACATTACAGCCACAGAATTATGAATTTCTTCCTTTGGGGAAACTAAAAGAAAGAACAAGAGGAAGTTTATATACAAGAAGCAAGTCATAAACATTCCACATATTCATAATTGTCTTCAGGGCTGTCTTTAGCAGATGTGGCGCCGGGGTGCAAATATCCACTCAGAGCCCCCAAATTACCACAGATAGTGTTGGGGTGGCCGTAGCTGCGCACTGCCAGCCATGGGGGGAGCGCAACCCTCCCCCATGCCTCTGTGGGAGAGTGATCCCCACAGAGGCTTGGGAGTGAAGTTGCGCCTCTCCCAGGCCTCCTCGGGAGGAGAGTGATCCTCGCAGAGGCTTGGGAAGGAAGCTGCACGCCCGCCAGCCTTATGGTTGGTGGGGCGCAGCTGGCAGGCGTGCAGGGAAAGGGGAGGTCCCCGGCAAAGCCACGCAGTTCCCCCACTTGCTGGGGCGCCCCTGAGAGGCTGGCGCCCTGGCGCAACGCACCACTAAGCCCTATGGGAAAGACGGCTCTGATTGTCATAAGCAGAGCATTGCCTTTGAAGAGCAAAACTTCTCACATTATACTTCTCAAAGAAATTAGGGGGTCTATCCATTAGACAAGGCTAATGTCTCCATTTGTACAAACTTGGGAAGTTACCAGGAAGACTCAGGCAAACACTCCTATTACAGTTCCTATAAAACAGCGTTAAGGAGATGGAAACCAATTCAAAACACACACCTCTCCAAAACCACTTTTTTGTTTTTAGCATTCTCAGATAATGCTCACAGATCCCAGTTGCAGTCTCAGCTAAGGGTGCGTAGGGTTGACCATCTTGAGTTTTAAAATAAGCCCTGTAATACTCTTCCGCCTGTTTGTGGCTGGTTATCAGTAGCTGGAGTGCAACTCACTTGCTGCTGGTAGATAGCGATGAATTCTCTGCCAGGCCTGGGATGACCCAAGTCCTTTAGTAAACCACTGGCATATCTAGTTTCTGCTATCTTGGTAACCAATGTTTCCTGGATTTCCACATAGCTCAGCAGTCTTGTTGGCGCTGAGCTGCTGACTCAAGGAAGTTCCGAACAAAACTGACAGAGGGCCCAATAAAGACTATTCTCAGCGAAGCAGCAAAAAGAGAAGAAGTCATCGTTTTCTCCCCAGGCCTCTAGGACGGCCAAACAGAACCCAACCAACAGGAGGAAGGAAGAACGCTTCTTGTCTGCAGAGCAACTAGCCTACATTCCATAGCAAGCATTTTCCTTTCTCCAAAGAAGCTCAAGGGGCTTTTAGGAGCTTATAATCAATATCCAGCTGATCCCTGATCCAGACCTTCTTATCCAGATTTTGTGGTGTTATAACTCTGCCTTGCTGAGATTTACTCGACTCCCTCCCTCGCTCCCTGCTGCCTCCAACACATTGAAGACAGCAAGCAGATGGAAGCCAGCCTTCAAATTCGCCTCCAAAGCAAACCGAAAGGAAACATAATTTGTGCAGGAAGAGATTGTTCCCTTCAGATTAAACCGAAGACAGGAGAATGTTTTTTAATAGGGGAAAAGACTGTTCATACAGTTGAAGATACTTGAATATGAAGCATATAGTTTGTGGCTAGCTGAAGCTCAGAAACTGGGATACAGATTTGTCCCCACTCCTGCTCACCAGATCGTAGAGTTGGAAGGGGTCCCGAGGGTCATCTAGTCCAACCCCCTGCAATGAAGGAATCTCAACTAGATGACACATGACAGATGATCACCCAACCGTCATGTATCGGCAGATATGGCGAGCCTGTGGTGCTCCAAGTATTGCTGAACTACAACTCCCATCTTCCCCGTCCATTTGCCATGCTTGCTGGAACTAATGGGAGTTGCAGTTCAGCAAATATCTAGTGGGCCAAAGATCCCCCAGCCCTGCTCTCCTGTCACCCATTTCCCTCTGCTTCAGGAAATCAATTTGCCGTAATTTTCGCTCTATAAGACGCGCCAGACCACAAGACGCACCTAGTTTTTGGAGGAGGAAAACAAGAAAAAATATATTCTGAATCTCAGAAGCCAGAACAGCAAGAGGGATCGCTGCGCAGTGAAAGCAGCAATCCCTATTGCTGTTCTGGCTTCTGTGATAGCTGCGCAGCCTGCATTCGCTCCATAAGAGGCACACACATTTCCCTTTACCTTTTAGGAGGGAAAAAGTGAGTCTTAGAGAGCAAAAAATACGGTAAGTATTTCTGTTCCAAATAATTTATGAAGGAGGGAGGGATGCAATTTATATACAAATATTACTTTCTTCTTCTTCTTGCTGCTATGTGATATTAGTGTGTTGGTTTTATATTTGATTGGATTTAGCCGATTATGCTCGTGTGATTTTATATGCACTTTAATCTACTGTAGAACCTTTTTAAAGGCAGAAGGGCAGGGTGCAATTTCACCATTGTTATGGGTGAGAACCTCATGATTCATCAGTATGTGCAAGTAAATGCTTAGAGAAAGGGCACGGTTATTTTTCAACAAGCAAAACTAAGCAGTGAAATCTGCATTTGCTGCGTTTCGGTGAATTGATGTCAAGCATTTATTAGTGAGAATTTTCTCCCCAACTCACCTGCCAGCTCCACCGCCCTCCCCACAAACGAAGCCAGGCTATACGAAACATTGAAATTATTCTCGAGGACAAAAGAGATCCACTTCTGTCTGCAGACAACAAAGGTTTCTGATCCCCAAGCCTGAGCAGAACCCAGACCTATACCAGGTTAACAAGACAAACTAAGCTTGCAGCTAAACTAGCCAGATAAGTATCTGCACACAAGCGCAGAATAAAAAGGCTGAGTAGACTAGCTGACATTTTTCCTTTCCTTTCATGTGAGCAATTTCATTACACAGTAATGAATTTTTCTCCAACGCAGTCATTTCCCCTCCCTCAATTGTACTGGTTATAAAGCCAGCGTCTAACTTTCAGATAATAATTAGGAATTATTATAGGTAGGGTTGTAAAGTTGTATCCATCTCACTTAATCAACAAATGCTTTAATTAGTAGGTGGCAATGTTAAGCGAAAGGGGCGGCACATTTTAAATGGATGGGGCTGCCTATTAGGAAAACTGTGTAGAGGTCATTTTGCTTTTGGCATTGCTATCATACGGATGCTCTTTCTTTTCAACACTTAATAGCTTTTGCTCTTTAACCCTACTTTTTTTTTACTTCATTATCTCAAAAAGCACTTAGTGAAGTTTCAGTAGTATACAAAATTAGTTAAATGTACTAGATTGTAAGTTTGTGGGCAGGGATTGCCTTTTGTTTTTAATTTTTGTACACTACCTTTGTACATAGTATTATTATTAAATTGATGACCTAAGCAGCTGGTCATTAGAAGGCAGACAATTAAACAACTAAAATGCTGGAATCTGTGAGATGGAGGATGTGGCATTCAACAATATGTTGGTTTTCTGTCTATTTTGAAATAAAAAGGAGAAAATTTTAATCAAACTGTGCCCCAAATTGAGCTGTTTTATGGTATGAAATGTCTATGCATTTCTCCCTTTTACCTCAACCAGTAATATATTTGTAATAAGCAGCAAGCCATGACAGTATCAAAACAAAAGACAATCGTTTAATTTTGCTAAGAAAGATTAATTTGGGAACAGATTTTTTGTTCTGCTGCTACTTAAAGAGTTACTATAATAATCAATGTTATCCCTAACTGTAAAATTTGCCAAGGAATAAATGTTATGACCAGCAAAGGTATTCCTCAAGGAAATACCAAGAGCTTGTGAGCAAACCAAAGAAAGCAATCACTAACATTACTAGAGAGAAAAATTAACTGAAAAGCCAGAGCCAGTTAAATTGTGGTAACTTTGGACCCCAGTTATTATCCGACAGAATATTTTATCTCAGGCTCGTTCACACATCCACGTATTATCACCTGGACTCTTATATGACTCTTTAGATAAAATCATGAATGGACTATTTCCACTGAAAAGTACTTTTAGAGTTGACAATGGTAACATGACAATTTCTACCTGCAATTATTATCTCCAAGAGCTCACACACACAAATAAACAAGTGTTCTTTCTATGTTGTATGTAAACTTGCCCTGGAAACGAAGTGCAACCCTTAAACCCAGTGGCATAGTGGGGGGGGGGGCAGAGGGACAGTTGTCCCAGGCGCAAAATTGTTAGGGGTGCAAAATTTCAACACCCAGTGCTAGCTCCATACAACTGTGTGCTTCCATTGCTGGGCTCTGTTGAAAACAGCTTCTCCGTGTGAACCAGGAAGTGACCTTTCCAGACAAAGGGAATGACTCTTCTTTTCTTATCTCTGTGGTTGTAATCTCCTGGGTGGCGCTGTTAGGCAGTTGAATGTGCATGCATACTCTGTCCTCTTCCATCCCTCCCCCACCCACTCCCTGTGGCCGCGGGCACTGGCAACCCACGCTACACCACCACTGCTTAAGCCATCTTTCATATTGCTTTAATGGCAATCAAGAGATCAGCAGAGAAACTAAGGATATTGTCATTGCAAGAAGGGCAGGTCTCTTCCCTGCAGAAAAGGCCAACTGGAGGTGCCTTGCCCTTGCAAACCCAGAGTAAGCCCTGAGGAACACAATGACAAAGTCAAAACTTACCCGAGTTACCAACAGTGCCTTTTCAGCAGATATATCTTTCAGCTGCAGCTGAACAGTGACCACACCGAGAACAATCTTACATTCACCAATGGGTCCAAACAAGTGCACAATACGGGTCCACAAAGTTCTCAATCCCAGCGCATCGCCGTCAGTCAACAATGCTCTTGTTTCCGTGCTTACGAAGCAATTAAAACCACCCAGAGTTTTCAGACTGTCGTGTATAAAAGTTCCAAGAGCAGCACAGGATGAGGATGCTTTGCTGTGTTTCTTGCTTCAATAAGCCTCTGGACAATGTTCTTGGAAACACACCACTCCAACCCCAGCCGATGGTAAGGATCAATTCAGGCAGGCTACAGATTTGTGTCCACCCCAGCGCATAGCCTTTCAGCACACCTGCTCCCATTAATCTGCGTGTTTGAAGAAGACAAAACAGAAAGTCTCAAGGTTCATGGCGCTAAGGATCCACCTTCTCTGTACCATAATATACTTATCCTGCATCTATACATGTCTATCATCTTCATCTAATACTTTGTTTGTTGCTTTATCTAGCCCGGGGCAACCCAAAGCGACTTACAACCAGACAGACAGATAATAGATCCTACATAAAGGTAAAGGGTAAAGGGACCCCTGACCATTAGGTCCAGTCGTGACCGACTCTGGGGTTGCGACGCTCATATTGCTTTACTGGCCGAGGGAGCCAGCGTACAGCTTCCGGGTCATGTGGCCAGCATGACTAAGCCGCTTCTGGCGAACCAGAGCAGCGCACGGAAATGCCGTTTACCTTCCTGCCGGAGCAGTACCTATTTATCTACTTGCACTTGACGTGCTTTCGAACTGCTAGGTTGGCAGGAGCAGGGACCGAGCAACGGGAGCTCACCCCGTCGCAGGGATTCGAACCGCCGACCTTCTGATCGGCAAGTCCTAGGCTCTGTGGTTTAACCCACAGCTCCACCCACGTCCCAGACCCTACATAGATTCATTAGAGAAATACATTAAAAACATCCCGCCCACTTCTAGAAGGCCACAGACAGTTAAAGGACAGAGGCCTGGTCATACAAGAAGGTTTTTAGGAAAGTATTTAGGAAAGCTGTTTGTTTGCTATGCATCTGGACATGCCTTTAGATACTGCCAACCAAATTTTGCATCATGGTTTCTGAGCTCAAGGAGTATGTTTCTGCCTGTTTGGATATAATTGGACACCATTTTGAATAAAGATTGTGGGCTGGACCTTTCAAAACTGCTTTCTTAAAATTTCTGAGCAATTCCAGGTACGAGGTTGCTAGTGTCAAAATGTATTTGACAGGCAAATCTACCGTGAATCTCAGCGGAGGTTGTCTGAAGAATAACAGGACAATGTATTGGTTGATTTTATTAAAACCCAACCTTACTTAAGCTTATTAAAATCTAAATGTGCACAAAGCCATTCCATAATGTTGCAATTTGAATAATGATCAACCATCAAGTTGCAACATTATTTTTTAAATTCATAAATAATTTTATTAGGAGGATTTTATGGCTTGGTGCATCGAAAACACAGAACACTAGTAGCATCTTTGGACTTATTGACAGTTAAAACTGAATGTAAATCACCTAGAGACAGCTCTGTGTTAGGCAATTACCAAACTTATTATTTACTTAACAATGGCTTCATAATTTATTTAATAATGGCTTTAATAGCTTAATAAGTCCTGGTACGTTATGGGAATGAACAAACATTTATTATAAATGAGCAGTTGAAGCAAACAAACCTACGTTTGCTTTGGAGGATATTTCGAAACCGTTTGCAGAACTGCAACTTGCTTAATCCCAAATCTAAACTGGACGCTACTCGTCTGCTCTGTGTATTACTGACATAGTTCTTTCATGCACATGTCAGCAGAGCAGTGTGGGCGCTGGTTCTCATGCAAAAATGAACCATGTGCTGCTAACTGCGAGATGCTCCTTAGTGAGGCTTTTTTTCTGCCGTGGTTGATGTTTGCCCAGAACAGGAGTTGCAAGTGGATTTCAAAAACACAGACAAACGGAAGCTTTTAAGGTGTAAATTCTGCAACATAAATCAATAAGCAAAACAAGGAACCCTCGTAAAATACTCACCCTCCACCAAAATTCAGCTTTGCTGTAGCAATCTAGCCTAAAAACCCAACGCTGCAAATACCTTCCCATTCACTAAAGGAAAACAACATAGCTGTACCTTTATTTCCCAAGCTGTGTTGTCCAGGTCCCACCAGTAATCATCTCTGGGCTGTACATTTCCAAAAATGCTTAGGAAGGGCTTGTTCGATTAAGGGGTGTTTGGTGTGTCCTTATATGGGGGCAAAGGCAGGTGTCTTCCAGATGTTACTTGGAACAAGGGCTGATCACTGTCGGCGTAGGGGGGTAAACCAGAGCCACATTCACTCGCTCGTTACCGTTCTTCGGACAGATGATCTCAGTCACTCCCTCTGGCCTGGGCTGACTCAGCAATTCTCCTGCGGAAAACAAGGTTGAGGGTGTTAAGACAGCCACGACACATCTTGCTTCAGGTCTCGAGTCACAAGAAGGGTAAGTTCCCAAGCGTGAATAAGGAAAACACAACTCAAGCGATCATTAACTGCTTGAAGAGAAGTAAGGTAAAGGTAAAGGGACCCCTGACCACTAGGTCCAGTTGTGACCGACTCTGGGGTTGCGGCGCTCATATTGCTTTATTGGCCGAGGGAGCCGGCATACAGCTTCCGGGTCACGTGGCCAGCATGACTAAGCCGCTTCTGGCGAACCAGAGCAGCGCACGGAACCGGCGTGTACCTTCCCGCCAGAGCGGTACCTATTTATCTACTTGCACTTTGATGTGCTTTCGAACTGCTAGGTTGGCAGGAGCAGGGACCGAGCAACGGGAGCTCACCCCGTCGCGGGGATTCGAACCGCCGACCTTCTGATCGGCAAGTTCTAGGCTCTGTGGTTTAACCCACAGCGCCGCCCGCGTCCCTCTTTTGAAGAGAAGTAGCATAATGCAAAAATGTCACCCGACACAATTATCGTATTGACAAACTGAACGTCTGAAGGATTATAAGCAAGACAAAAGCAAGCAGCTGTCATCGCTTCCCCTATCCAATCACCTGCACCACCAGACAGACGGACTCTAGAGATCTTTATCTAGAATCTGAACATTTAATACGTGCACTCCCAGAATCTAATGAAAGAAAGCCTACAGAGAAAAAGAGAAATTGCCATTAGGTTTTAGGGGTAGATGGGCTCTGACTCAATGAAGGCTTTAATAAATGAATTAAACTACACCTGCCATGAGCAGAATTGGTAAGAGCCAGACACACAGTCACACTTTAAACCCCTGCCTAGGTATGTTCCAGTGCAGGGGTGCACTGAATTCAGTCTTCCTTCTCAACGGCCTTGGAAGAGAGCCATGGAAAGTGAGAGAGGCCCTCCACAGACCCTCTGCACATGGCCTTTGGATGCAAGCGCTTTCCCTAAATTCTTCTAGGGATCAGACATTTGTAATTTCCCCATGGAAATTATCTATTTTCAGCCCAGACCTTTCTGTGCTAATGGCTTGCAACCATTTCTCCTCCTCAAATTATTGCTTCTTCAGTGCCATCACAGAGTACCGCATTTTTCGCTCTATAAGACGCACCAGACCACAAGACGCACCTAGTTTTGGGAGGAGGAAAACAAGAAAAAAAATATTCTGAATCTCAGAAGCCAGAACAGCAAGAGGGATTGCTGTGCAGTGAAAGCAGCTATCCCTCTTGCTGTTCTGGCTTCTGGGATAGCCGCGCAGCCTGCGTTCGCTCCATAAGACGCACACACATTTCCCCTTACTTTTTAGGAGGGAAAAAGTGAGTCTTATAGAGCAAAAAATACGGTGAATAAAAAAAGGCAGTTGCCTGTTTCTAAGGAGCTGTTGAGCACCTTTCAACGGTGTGGGAAGATAACAAAAGGGGAAAATAAATGAGAGAGTCTATGGTAACGAGATAGGTGAGTAAATGCAGACAGAAGAGGTGATTGTTGTTGAGGAGGTTTTCCCAGGTAGGCCTGGTATCCAGATACTGACATTTCCCTCCTGGAGATATTTAATAATTCAAGGTCTTGATCTAAATACCCCCAATAACTGTAGGCTCTCATTAATGGATTCCAAAACTTTTGTTGTATCAGTTCTCCTCTGGAGTCTCTTTAGCTTCTTTGGGTTGCGTCCAACACTGTTGTTACCTGTACACCCTCAAAATCTGCTCCAGAGGGCACAGGAAGAGGAGAGAATTAACACAACAACTCTTCAAGTCTTTCAAATGTATTTCAAACAATGTTATATAAAAAATACAGTCTTATTAGCTGATAATGTCAACATTTAGATCAGCTAATAATAACAACAGGATACAGTATGTGTACAACGCTTCCAAGTGTACATGGCACTTTACAAAATAATGCTAGCAAAGAAAAAGAGGGATTATGACGTAATAGCTCAGTCATGAGTTCGAGTCCCATGGGGGCCAACATTTCCTGCATTGCAGGGGGTTGGACAAGATGACCCTTGAACTATTAAGTTCTATGATCCTATGACCTAATGAGCTTACAACCTGAAGTACCATATTGGTGAATACAATGAAGGGAGATTACAAATTAATGTGTCAGACGTCAAGTCGGGGAGACTCAAGTTCAAATCCCAGCTTTGACCATGATCTCACTTTAAGTTTTTTGGGCCAGTCAAGGTCTCTCTGGCTAACTTACATCACAGAGTGTCATGGGTGTAAGTGAGGAGTGGGATGTTGGGTGGGGGGGGGGAAACATGCTATGTACAGTGGTACCTCGGGTTACATACACTTCAGGTTACATACGCTTCAGGTTACAGACTCTACTAACCCAGAAATATTACCTCAGGTTAAGAACTTTGCTTCAGGATGAGAACAGAAATCGTGCTCCGGCGGCGTGGCAGCAGTGGGAGGCCCCATTAGCTAAAGTGGTGCTTCAGGTTAAGAACAGTTTCAGGTTAAGAACGGACCTCCGGAACGAATTAAGTTCTTAACCTGAGGTACCACTGTACACTGTGTTCCGTTTGTTTGAGGAAGGGTGGGACACAATAGCATTAAATAGCACTGTTACGAGAAGGGGGGGAAATCCCCCCTTATTCCCCAAGGAAACAAAACAATAAAGACAGCAATATTCAGAGTTTGAAGATTCTTTAGTTTAAAGGATGGAAGTTGCCGTTCACACAATTTCATCTGATGTTCTGTGCTAAACAGGCCAGAACAACATCCTCAGCAATTCCTGCATCCAGCCCCACAACTTCCAGGCTGTGGAAACTTTTTTTTTTTTAATTGAAGAACGCAAACAGCAATTTAAAGATTTCAAAGGATGGAAAATCCTTCCACCTAATTTTCCCTCCAGGAGTTAATTACTAATTTGTTGAGACTACTGTGACATTTTGTTTCATGAAGCAATAAGTAGCTTTACGTAGGGTTTGTTATTGCATTTCGTCACTTCTGAATAATTCCCACCCCCACCCCCCCACCACGTAAAACGGACATGCTTTACCCAAGGCAATATGAACGTTAACAGGTTGTAGACACAGCCTGCACTTTGGAGTCCCCATGAATAGGCGAGAATAAAGAGTTCAATAACGTGCATTCGTCTTTAAAATAGCAAGCACATGCAATCCTAAAGGAGCATGTCACACATAATAATAATAATAATAATAATAATAATAATAATAATAATAAATTTTTATTTATACCCCGCCCTCCCCGGCCAGAGCCGGGCTCAGGGCGGCTAACACCAGTAAAATTACAATAAAAACATAATGGGGGGGGGGGCAATTTAAAATACAGGTTAAAAATACAATTTAAAATGCAGCCTCATTTTAAATGTAGCCCATAGATCAAAACCATAAGGGGAGGGAAACATAAGGGTCAGACTGAGTCCAAACCAAAGGCCAGGCGGAATAGGCCCTGTGGAAAGATGTCAAGTCCCACAAGGCCCTAGTCTCTTGTGGCAGAGCGTTCTACCAAGTCGGGGCCAGTACTGAAAAGGCCCTGGCCCTAGTTGAGACCAAAGCTCAAAAGAAAACTTGAAGCGGGTGGGGACAGTTGTGGCACGTCATAGATATTAACATGGTATGTGGCCACAACTTTCCCCACATGCAACAGTCACCACTGGAACTTATTATCTGTCTTTCCTACTGGGGAACTCTGGTTTGCTCTCCCTCTTCTGCATTTGCAGCCTCTCTTTTGTTCTTGCTCATGTTACTGACATAAGCTGGCCTTGCAAAGAAGCCCAGAGAGGCTAGAAGCCGACAGAAATTTTAAAAATCACTGAACTCTCTACATCGCCTGAGTTCAGGGCTGTGTGTGTGTGTGTGTGATGGTAAGATCCCACAGGAATGCAAAGGGGGGGAGAGCACAAAAAATAGCGTTGGGTGCACAACTTGGCTTCTCGCGACACTCAGCAACAACACCCCAAATTCCCAGGCCTTGCAGATGTAAAGATATGCTTGAAAGTGGTCCCTCCTCCAACTCTACAATTCTGTGATTCCGCACGCACGCATGCACACACACAACCTTTCCAAAGGTCATATTAATCTCAGGGTTGGGAAGGTCACATCACTTTGGGTGGGGCGAGGCTTGTGTTTTGACAAGATGATCAAGGGTCCTCTGAGCTCTGTCTCCCTCTTAATTAAAAGAAAAATAAACTGCAGCTTCAAGCAGCTGATTGGCTGCACTCAGAAGCCTGGCTGCCTTTCTTTCAAAAATGTGGGGCAATGGGAACAATGGTAGGTGAGGATATTGCATTGGGGGGGGGGGAGATGGCTGCCCCACCCCCTGGCCACTTTGTCAAAAGGTATGTCTCCCCTCCCAAAAGTGGAATTTAATTTACCAGCCCACTCTCCCAAGTCTCTGATATTCTCCTCTGGAGTGAAGGCCCAAGACAGGTATTGATCATGATGTGAGCTGCGCACAGGTGGTCTGAAGCAAGCGAGCTACTGCCATTCCTGTGGAGCCTCCTTTTATTGAGACAAATATGCAAGCTAGGCAGATACATTTTGGGCTGTGACCTTTACACATCTTCCGTCCCGAGATCGTGGGCTGGTACAAAGCTATTTTGGCACCTGTTTTCCACAGCGTCATTTTCCCCTTGCACAGTGTATGACGAAGGAGACAAAGGTCTCAGGGACAAAAGGTTACAGACAGGACACCGCTGACTGCTGAGACCGCAAAAGGTCAGACATAGGGGACGATGTTCCGACAGCCGTGGCTTGTCTGAGGGGGGGTTTTCCCTGCACCCCAAGGTCACGCGTGCAGGCAGACTGTGGCTGCCTGCTGATGGAGAGTGTGCTCCCTCCGGACCTCACTGTCCACTCCGCGATATCCCTACACTCCTCCACTAACAGCTTGGAGAATAACAAATGGTCCTATGAAAGGGTGGTGGTGGTTGTTTGTGATTATCCTCCGTTTCTCTGAGCAAGATTTTCCGTAGTTAATGTAGTAGACTCACCCTCATCCCTACTTGCAGAAGCAGAATAATATATTGATTCATTTCCGCAAACAAGTTTTAAAATGTATAATAAATTAAGCAAAATCAATAGTGCGAATCTGCCCAATCTGCATCATTTATACTGGGGGTGAGGAACCTGTGGCACTCCAGATGTTGCCTCATGCTGGCTGAGGCTGATGGGAGTTGCAGCTCAACATCTGGAGGGGTATAGCTTTCCCACTCCCAATTCGCACAGACCACAGAAATCCATTTCTAATTTGCAGGATTTTTATATTTGCAGCACGGAATACTCATAACCCTGCCTACCTTTATATTATGCCTAATAAACGACCCCTGACAGTTAAGTCCAGTTGCAAACGACTCTGGGGTTGTGGCGCTCATCTCACTTTACTGGCCAAGGGAGCCGACATTTGTCAGCAGACAGTTTTTCCAGCATGACTAAACTGCTTCTGGCGAAACCAGAGCAGCGCACGGAAACGCTGTTTACATTCCCACCAGAGCGGTATCTATTTATCTACTTGCACTTTGACACGCTTTCAAACTGCTAGGTTGGCAGGAGCAGAGACCGAGCAACGGGAGCTAACCCCGTCGCGGGGATTTGAACCGCCAACCTTCCGATCGGCAAGCCCAAGAGGCTCAGTGGTTTGGACCACAGCGCCACCCACGTCCCTGGGCATAATATGGTTTAGTGTTACATATAATCTGTGGTATGAAGAGAACACGGGTGCAGATTCTTCTCCTGCTGCCATGTTTTTGCATTATTTTTTCTTCTATTTCCCTTGCAATTCTGAAAAGTACACTTGGCACCTTGGCCAGAGTTTGTTTGCTTATTTGATTTTCATACTGCCGCTCCTCTCAGCTGGGAATCTGGACATGTCAGTGACCTATATGCTGAGGATGATGTTATGTTCTGGTGGCGGACGCCACATACAATTTAAGACGAGTTTAATAACAGCCGCAGCAGCAGTGGCGTCTGGGATGATGACCACAATGATTACATTTCTGAGTACATGCAGCAGCCTTATTTGTTTCTCTGTGGACCATTCCCCCAATCACATTATCAAGCCTACCACATGCCCGAGTAATCAGTGCCAAGCATTATATAAACTCATCCTTTAAGGGGGGGGGAAATAACAATTTTCCTGTTCTGCTGAATTAAGCCCCAGTGGAGTCCAAGAGGAATTAGAAATGTTCTGCAGATCAAAGTCAAGAAAGGTCACATTGCCAGAAGGAACTCTTGGCTCCTTTTCCTCTCATTGCATTAAGGGAAAGCAGGGGGACAGGGCAGGAAAGAGAGAAGGTAGCACACACACACACACACAAAACCACACACACAAATCCCTCCAGCTTTTTTCATCGACTATACCTTTTGCAACCCGTCTGTGTTTGGATAGTACATTCTTTCTGAGGCATGTCACACACAATTGGAAACCCCAGCTCCTGACGGCAAGCCGTTTCATAAAAATGAGAGATAATACAGAAAGTGAAGAAACTCTTCTATTGCCAAGAAATAGCCTCCTTCTAACCCACCCACAAAAACACCCCAAGAACCCAGAGGTACAGACTGAAATTTTATTTTTGCTCTTTCAACACTGGGATGCCAAATTGTTTTACTGCTTTTATTTTTGCATGTGGAATTGTACTGACCTTTTAAACTGCTGTGCCTCTCATAAGAAAGGGGGGACAGAAAGAAGTATTACAGTAAGTCAGGGTTTCCTAAAAGGGTCAATACTGATCCCCTGGGGTTGATGGGACTGTGCAGGGGATGATTAAAGATCTGGGGCTGACAAAGGCTGAGGGGTGGGAAAGAAGTTTACGAGGTATACTGCAAAAAAATTAATTAGAGATTATGAGCCTCGGGCATGTACAGAGTTCCTTCTCAACGAAGAACCTCTGTATTTCATAAGATGATTCCACAAAACAACCGCATCAGACCATTCTGCTTTGCTGCTAAAAAATTGTTTACACAGGTTCACTTTTACTTTTTATTATCCTATCTCACTTTTTTAACATTTTATGATTCCTAGTGATGTCAACTGGAGATTAGTAAATGTTGATTACCGTATTTTTCTGAGTATAAGACTAGGAGTTTTTCTTTAAAAATTATGTTAAGAAAAGGGGGATGTCTCATACATGGGGCAATTTCCCCCCATTTTCTTAATTTGGAGTCCCAAAAAATAGAGGGTGTCTTATACACGGGGGCGTGTTATACATGGAAAAATACGGTATATGCTGATATTCCTTGACTTTATTCCATTTGCATCCCTAAGATTCTGGGTAAAGGATGACTTTATCAAGGGGTCCATGAACTCAAAATTTTGGGAAACCCAGTTATAAACAAACAAAACGGGTGAGCCACTTCAGTGACTGACCTCTTGGGAGCTAGTTCATGCATCCATATTCAATACCTGTCTTACCAGCATGAATGAGCTCATCGCAAATCCATCGCCATAAACAGGACTTCCGTAGCATCACAGACACAGTACTTTCTCAATGATATTAAAAGGCATTTCAGTCCCTATCGACTTTTCTGGGTGTGGGTCAGAATATCTGCACTAAGGCCAACCACATTATATGGAGCACTGAGAAAATGAGTGTCTGAACTGCATGGCTGTAGCCAATACTGAGGGCTGTTTCAACTAACTTGTGGAGATTCAGCATATGGAATGGAAAGGGCCTGTTGCTGGTTGTAATACAGCAGAAAAGTGTCTGTACAGGAATTATAACTTAGAATCACAGAATCATAGAGTTGGAAGAGACCACAAGGGCCATCGAGTCCAACCCCCTGCCAATCAGGAAACACCATCAGAGCACTCCTGACATATGGTTGTCAAGCCTCTGCTTAAAGACCTCCAAAGAAGGAGACTCCACCACACTCCTTGGCAGCAAATTCCACTGTCGAACAGCTCTTACTGTCAGGAAGTTCTTCCTAATGTTTAGGCGGAATCTTCTTTCTTGTAGTTTGGATCCATTGCTCCGTGTCCGCTTCTCTGGAGCAGCAGAAAACAACAACCTTTCTCCCTCCTCTATGTGACATCCTTTTATATATTTGAACATGGCTATCATATCACCCCTTAACCTCCTCTTCTCCAGGCTAAACATGCCCAGCTCCCTTAGCCGTTCCTCATAAGGCATCGTTTCCAGGCCTTTGACCATTTTGGTTGCCCTCCTCTGGACACGTTCCAGTTTGTCAGTGTCCTTCTTGAACTGTGGTGCCCAGAACTGGACACAGTACTCCAGGTGAGGTCTGACCAGAGCAGAATCAGTGGCACTATTACTTCCCTTGATCTAGATCTAGACTTACACACATAAGCACAAAGTCCACTATGACCCTCCTCTCCACCACACACACATTGCACTGCAAAATTATTACATTTTACAACTAGTAAACAGAGGCAGCGCAATCAGGCTGCCTCAAACCGTACTGCTTGTACCCACTTAACCCAGCATGCGAAAATGCCTTATCCCAAGGGAAAATGCTGTTTGAAAAGCTCTAGGCTGGACTTAAGGTAATTGCCAGGCCACGCAATTTTGCCAATGTTGATAATGTATTATGTAACTGATTTAGAAAGCACTTATTGCTGATGACTGAGCAAGGTCATCAGACTCTTCAGCTGAGCTGCTTCTGTCCTGCAAGAATGTCCGTACAGAGAGTGGAAAACAAGATAGAAATGAATTATGGGGAATATAAAATTAACGCAAAGAGGATAGAGATGCAATTATATTATCCACCCACTTATACAACAGGAACTCCACAAGTGCAATGAGACTTTTTCTCTCCTCTACCTCCTGCACCCTCCCCTGGCCCAAAAAGTGAACCAAAATTAAAAAAAAACCTGCTTCAGAGGTGCCCAAAGCAGAAGGTGCTCATTAACGACCATAATCACAGTTAATAATTTTACTAAGATCATAAGCTTTAATAATTGTGTACCTATTTAAATATATGTTTTTAGATGCTGGAAGCTGCCCAGAGTGTCTGGGGCAAGCAACCCAGTCAGATGGGCAGGGTACAAATAATAATTTATTTTTATTTTTATTAGTTCAAGATGGTGCTGACCTCCCCATGCAGTTTGAAGGAATTACGCTGACAGATGAAAGCCAGGGGTAGGGGGTATATTGTTTTACATCATGAATATTACCTCAGTGTATGATCAATTACTGCTCAGTGTCAGACACCTTGCCTCATGACAATCCTGGATTTCTCCAGGTGGGTCAAACCGAGGCGATCAGGGCTGGTTCCACTGTCCAAATCAGTGACATCTGGAACAGATTGGGCTGCCATCTTGACTCAAAAGGCTGTCCAACGTTACCAAAATGCAGACAAAAAATGCTCCAGTTTCTTCTCTCCTCCTACTCTATCTGCAGTCCCAGGTTTAGGTCTCCTCTTCCTGCCTTGGGACCTCTGTAGTCTTGGCCTCACCCTTTTCAATCCTCAGATGCACCTTGTTTCCACAAATTTAAGTTCCCAAAGCTACAGATGAAGAGTATGTAGTTAAAGCAATTATCATTTCAGGAATGTATACGGGCCCATTCAAGTCTAGGGTCCAGTAGAACTCATCTCTCTGAGCATCTCGCTTTTCATTTGTTTTGAAAGTTATCTTTTATGGCTGCACAGATATGCCTCCAGGTGAAACCAGACTACAGCTGATGAAAATTTCAAGTGAGTTTGGGCAACAGGGTCTTCAGTGCTCCTGTAAAACTGCTTACTCATCCTCATGTCTAGCAGCAGAAGAATTATTCTACAACTTTTACCATTTTGCATAAGTTAAGAAGGCTGATCGCCGAAGAATTGATGCTTTTGAATTATGGTGCTGGAGGGGACTCTTGAGAGTCCCATGGACTGCAAGAAGATCAAACCTATCCGTTCTTAAGGAAATCAGCCCTGAGTGCTCACTGGAAGGACAGATTGTGAAGCTGAGGCTCCAATACTTTGGCCACCTCATGAGAAGAGAAGACTCCCTGGAAAAGACCCTGATGTTGGGAAAGATGGAGGGCACAAGGAGAAGGGGACGACAGAGGACGAGATGGTTGGACAGTGTTCTCGAAGCTACCAGCATGAGTTTGATCAAACTGCGGGAGGCAGTGGAAGACAGGAGTGCCTGGCGTGCTCTGGTCCATGGAGTCACGAAGAATCGGACACGACTAAACGACTAAACAACAACATACTAAAAGCATGCATACTTGGTGTAATTTATTCAGAAGTCAGCTTTCCGCCTTGCCCTAATTAAGAAGAAGAAGAAGAGTTTGGATTTGATATCCCACCTTTCACTCCCTTTTAAGGAGTCTCAAAGCGGCCAACATTCTCCTTTCCCTTCCTCCCCCACAACAAACACTCTGTGAGGTGAGTGTGGCTGAGAGACTTCAAGGAAGTGTGACTGGCCCAAGGTCACCCAGCAGCTGCAGGTGGAGAAGCGGGGAAGCAAACCCGGTTCCCCAGATTACGAGACTACCGCTCTTAACCACTACACCACACTGGCTCTCAATATATAATATGTAATATATATGTAAATTACAGAGAATGCACGGGCCAGAAGGAATTTTTGCTGCACTGGACAGAGCAACAAGAAGACATTCTGGCACCCAGGGCAGAAATTCCAAACCACCATTTTGCCACAGTGGTAAAAAATAAAATCTAAATAAATGTTTTGTTGGCATTTAAAGGGTACCCCAAAATATCTATCTGCAGCAGGTCCCGCCTCACTGTGCCTAAAGATGTGATTGGTACAGCGTAGAGCAAAACATTGAAAGGAACTGTAGGAAAACAGGCAGCTCTTCCTCCCCACCAAATCTCACATATTGTCTTTGCTATATCTAGCTACAGCATCACTGAAACAAGTAACATCTGGAAACTAAATCAATGTGTCAGGGAACCTGTTTATGTCCAGGGGCACAGCTGCCCCTTCCAGTTTCAGCAAGTCATGTCAAGTTATCATCAGACATTCATCACTTATGACCAAAGTCGCTTTCATACTGCATCACCAGCTGTAATGTTATCACTGAAGATGAACTGGAAGGGCACAACTGGAGAGAGGGAGAGGATTCTGAGACCAAGCAAAATGAAAGTGGAAGGACCCACTGGACCTCACAGGGAGAAAATAGGTTCTGAGAGAAATCAAGGATGGGTTGCTCATCATCAAACACACCACTTTGACCACTGCTGCTTGCCTGTATGCAGCCAGTAAGACATCTATCTAACGAGCACTCACATAAAAAGGCAGTGTAAACAGAAGAGTCCATTTTGAAGCTATTTAAAAATTGTTTTTATCATTTAATGTCCTTGGGAAAAGAGGCCATTTTATGCCCCCCTTTTATAAGAGCTAATTTTGCTTTCCTTGAAGTAGTACTAAGAACTTCCAGCCTTTAAAGGATTTCTGCATCATAGTCAAGAGTGAGACAGATTCATCATACCTGAGCTCTTATCCACAAACTAAACCAGGAATTCATTCCAAAGTCTCCCTCTTTTCTCTTGGACGTCACCGCGGTTCAATCAGGGAGGACACAACTACAGTAGAGATTGAGTTCTGCTTCCTAATCTTTCAACCTCTGTTATCCAAGGTGAAAACCATCACCAAGGTGATGATTAGCACTGGATCCATGACTACGCCACACAGTTACCAAGAGACAAGATCTGTGCTCACCAAGACTCCAGAAATTGTTCTAAAGCTCATTATCTCGGAGAGTGACACTGGCATTGCAGGCCCCAGATGACATTTTCATGAGTTCTCCAGACATAAGGGAGGACTTGCATGAACACACCCATGTCTTTAAAGGTAACAGAAGCAGCAGCCCTGAATATGAATGGCAGATCAACTTTCTCCTCCAACTACCCTTTCATAACACGAGACACACTCTAACCTGCAGCACAACCATGCTACACAACTTTTATGAGACAGTTCTGCTTCAGATGACAGAGGACGAGATGGTTGGACAGTGTTCTTGAAGCTACAAACATGAGTCTGACCAAACTGCGGGAGGCAGTGGAAGACAGGAGTGCCTGGCGTGCTCTGGTCCATGGGGTCACGAAGAGTCAGACACGACTAAACAACTAATCAACAACAATAACCGCTTCAGACTGCAGATGGGGGAATGCTGGATCTGAAAGCCACTTTGGAAAACTAGCAAGTCATTGCCCAACCCCCACACAAACCCAAATTCCAGCCTGTGATTTCAGAACAAAGGGCAGCTCATAAATCATTTTCTATACAGATAAATGAAATTTCAAGACTGCCATGGCCCTGAGAGTTGCAGTATTTTGCAATACACATGGATGATGCATTCTTAGGGAGGCCGGGAAGAGAGACATTATGGTAGGCAGGAGTGTTTTTTCAAAATTATCTCACATGCACTTTCTATAACAGCCTACCCCAACCTGGTGCCCATCAGATATTTTGGACTACAACTCTCATCAGCCCTAGCCAGAATAGCTAATGGTCAGTGGTGATGGGATCTGTAATCCAAAAGCCACTACGACAAAGAAGATTGCTCTATACATAATGCAATCAATGCTGCTGCAGAAATAAGCACCACTATGCTTCTGCATTAGTGTTAGAGGACTGTCCAAATGCATGCAATAATATTGCCACTTAAAGGCCTTTCACATTTCTCATTGAGTTAAGTGCTCTCGCCCCCTTTTATCTGTACAGTCAAGTTAATGGAGCAGCTCTGTATTCTCTCTCCATACCATCTCTGTGTCATTTTGTACTCTGCACTGAATTCAAAGACTACAAGTTGGATGGTGGAATTATTATTGAAAGTGGTAACTCTTTGGTAACTCTCCAAGGATCCTTGGATTCCCTAGAACAGAGTTTGAAGAGCCACTGTTCTATCGTACTCTGGAAAGTCGGCATAGTTCCCACTGAGGAGGTAAAACCAGTACAGTTGTACTTCGGAAGTCGAACGGAATCCGTTCTGGAAGTCTCTTTGACTTCTAAAATGTTTGGAAACCAAAGAGCGGCTTCCAATTGGTTTCCAATTGCACAGGTGCGCCAGAGACAATAGGGAAAGCTGCGCCGGATGTTCAGCTTCCCAAAAAACGTTTGACAACTGGAACACTTGCTTCCGGTTTTCAATCGTTCGGGAGCTGGAACATTCGACTCCCAAGGCATTCGGGAGCCAAGGTATGACTGTATCTGTTCTGTACCACTTGCAGAGACCTGCTCTCCCCGATGCAAACCCCTGCACAGAAAGCTAAAATTGTTTTGTATGGAGGCTCATTCAGAATGATTCTACACCCCACTCCCAACTGGAAACTAGGAATTAATGTCTGGTACTCTATTTGAGAGTGGCTACATCTGAATCCCTTCCTTGCCATCTCTAGCCACCTGGAGCAAAATGAGAAGCAAATAAAATAACTGAGCCCTGAATTACCGGCAATGCTCTACATACCCAATAATGAAAAACACTGTGCACCATTCATTAATTATGGGTGAAGTACACAACTGTTTCCGCCTTTCTTTATTGTGGGAATGGAAAGGGAGAGAGGGAGTGCAGAAAAAAGCTTGCTCTTCAGTCACCTGTGAGGTAGCAAGTGATACTCCTAATAGGCCTTGAAAGTTCACACACAGATATTTAAACTTTAATAGAACGGTTACTTAAGCACAGGTAACATACACCTGCCTCAGCGGTTACATTTCACTTTCTTCAGGAAGCTAATGGATAATAAGAACTCTGTAATATTTCCTGTAAATGAGAGGGAATAGAAGAGCATGGAAGGGAAGGATGTGGGCATAACTCACGACGTGCTGGTAGTTTTTCACGCTACAATTACTGTTTTACGACTGGGATTTTTAATATTGTATTTTATTATTTTAAGTTCACAAAGTGCCCAGAGAATCATGCTACTGGGCAGCCTACATAAATATCACAAATAAATAAATCAAGGCATGGCACCTTACAAATACAGGGATGAACCCTGACCCTGCCTTTCCAGGGATGGGAGACAGGTTTTGGCATTGTGCTTGCCTCAAAAAAGATCTGCATTAAACACCGGTTGCATTCAGATGAACGTATCTCATCTGAATAAGCCAAGATATGTACGAGTGCTTTTGCCATACAAGCAGTCCCTTCACTTCTCCCTTCATACAAGCAAGCCACTAGTTGCCCAACCAACTTCTGAAACCATTAACCTGTTTGGGGAAAAACAAGAAGCTATAGTTTATGGAAGATTTCCCAGTTTGCATGAAGGGCCTGGACTAACCTCCCTTTGAGAAAGAAACACGAAAAGCTGCTCATTTTATCCACATTTGGTTATTATTACTCAGCTTTGAAGACAAACATCATTTTTCTCCAGACAGTTTCAAGGAAAGAGTTTTGCTTATGGCATGTATATTTCTCTTGCTTTTGCCTCTGGTAATCAGGTCTGGCAAGTTTTTGAACTGTTTCGATACGGACGTTTCATGTTGCCTCTGATAGACATCACGAGAAACAATGCCCCTCTCAAATTACTTTGAATTCTCTTTAAAAAAACTACTCAACTGTCTCTAGTAATAAACATAAGGTGAGATGTTCATGGTGGAATCAAGTGACAGATCTATTTTGACAATATAATACTGTGAGGAAGGAGAAGGTAAGAATCTAAAAAGATGCTCGTACAACTTATCAGATCACCATTTTCAGATTCTTGCTCTCAATGTATTCAATATGCTGGGAGCACTAATTCCAGCAGCCTAATCTCCAACTGATCCTGAAGCTGAGGCTCCAATACTTTGGCCACATCATGAGAAGAGAAGACTCCCTGGAAAAGACCCTGATGCTGTGAAAGATTGAGGGCAAAAGGAGAAGGGGATGACAGAGGACAAGATCGTTGGACAGTGTTCTCGAAGCTACCAACATGAGTTTGACCAAACTGCGGGAAGCAGTGGAAGACAGGAGTGCCTGGTGTGCTCTGGTCCATGGGGTCACAAAGAGTTGGACACGACTAAACGACAACAAAATCTCCAACTATGGAATATGGTCTTGAATAATTATTACAGAAGAGAAACACCAGCTGCTTATTGTGGGTATTCAACCCACCACATGTGAGCAATACACACTGCCTCCCAAGTAACAAGAGACACAAAACTCAAACCATCTTATTTACAAAATGTGACATTCATGCTGCATTCTAAACCTCTTCATCGTTCTCATATGGAATCAAGATCAGCTTAGCTCACAGATGGGGGCCAATCTTAATTAATGACGCTTGGCATTGTTCTATTATGTTTTATCACGTTACTGTTATTTATTGTTTGTAAGCCGCTTCGGGATTCATTTGAACAAAAGTGGCACAGAAATATAACAAACCAAGTCAAACATTTATAAGAGTGCTTTTGCATGGCTCCAAGTTTTCCTTCACATATTTTAGTAAACATTACAATGGGGGTAAGTCTGATCTCTAGACCACAGAAAGGGGGCTGTGACTGAGAGAGAGGAGCTTGTCTAGGGGTCAACTCAATGAAATCTGAACCAGATATTTCCTGGCTCCCAACTCAGTCTCTCAGCCCCCAAACTGCCCTAGTTCTCTGAAACAGCAACAGTACTAATAGCAGGCCCAAAAGAAGAAATCTGCTTCTCATTACATATGTTTGAATGGTTTTTGTAATGGAATGTATTATGAGGACGGAGCAGGCAAAGAGGTAGCGCTTGTCACCTACAGCATTTCAGTTTCATCATAAAGAGCAGCTTAACATTAATTAATGCAATTGCAAAGACGACAGATTCCGTGGGTGGGACCCAGTGTTTTTCTCCATGTGTTTAAGGATCTCCTTATCTCTGAATGTAACTCTCCTTTGATGAATTGAGGTTCTTCCCATGAACCGAGCAAAACATTGTGGTAGGAGATAATGCCATATGCCTGCAATAGATGTTTTGCTTTTTTAAACAACATTGTGACTTCCTAATGAATGTTGATTGCTGGGGAAGAGCTTTGATTCCCCCCACCCTTGTAAGCAGCAAGGGAGTGTTTCTTCCCAGAGAATGCTTAGAAGGCACATGACGAAAATCTACTGCTGAAGCTAAGCAGGACTTGTCCCATATGCTGCCCGGATGGGAGACCACCTGGGGTGCTGCTTGCATGCAAGGCACTTTCTGAGCTGTTCAAACATGGGCAGGGGTTGAGAAGTGGCATAAATAAAGGCAGTTCTAAGTATACAGAACCAAAATAATTGTGTAGGAAGTCTTCCAAAGTGATACTTATTGGAATGAGATCAACATTACTTTTGTCATTGCATTTCCACCTCCATCTGCCGACGGAAAATGTAGTGTGTTGCCTGGGCTTTCACAGATGGGCTTTTAGAGAAATGCTAGCAAGCAAGAAATCAGTGAATCTTAAAATAGGGAGGAGTGTGTGCATAATCTAAAAGGGACGCGGGTGGCGCTGTGGGTTAAACCACAGAGCCTAGGACTTGCTGATCAGAAGGTCAGCGGTTTGAATCCCCACGACAAGGTGAGCTCCCGTTGCTCGGTCCCTACTCCTGCCAACATAGCAGTTCGAAAGCACATCAAAGTGCAAGCAGATAAATAGGTACCGCTCCGGCGGGAAGGTAAATGCAGTTTCCGAGCGCTGCTCTGGTTTGCCAGAAGCGGCTTAGTCATGCTGGCCACATGACCCGGAAGCTGTACGCCGGCTCCCTCGGCCAATAAAGCGAGATGAGCTTTATGAACACCAGAGTCGGTCACGACTGGACCTAATGGTTAGGGGTCCCTTTACCTTTTTATGCGCATAATCTAGTATGAATGCGCAGAATGCAGGTTTAGATGAGACCGCAAAATTTAGAGGTAGCATAGAACAGTAGACATGAACATCCCACATGAAGTTGGATGCCACTGGCCTGCACATTTAGTTTCAGTCAATGCCTTCGTCTCCTAACCAAATAAAACCAACAGGCACTGGGGAGGTCTAAAAGGGGAGTTGAGATTTAAAAGCGATTTAGACGTTTACAATGAAAAAGTGGCAAGTAATAGGAGGCATTTCAGAAAATGGCATTAGAGAGAACAAAACTGAGCATAGTAATACAAGGGTTTCTTGTTTGTTTTTTAAATGACTACTGCCCTCTCATCATTGTGGTATTATTGGTAAGGGTAACCTCGTTCCTTTATACAGTGGTGCCTCGCAAGACGAAATTAATTCGTTCCGCGAGTTTTTTCGTCTTGTGGGTTTTTTCGTCTTGCGAAGCACGGTGTCGGAAAAGTTTTGGAAAAGCTTCAAAAATCACCAAAGTCTTCAAAAACCTCAAAAAAGGCTACCACACCGCGTGCTATGAGTCGCTCCTCGAAGTCAAGTCACCACTGTATTAACGGTTTTAAGAAAAAGGAAACAAACTTGCAAGACGTTTCCGTCTTGCGAAGCAAGCCCATAGGGAAAATCGTCTTGCAAAGCAACTCAAAAAACCAAAAACCCTTTCGTTTTGCGAGTTTTCCGTCTTGCGAGGCATTCGTCTTGCGAGGTACCACTGTATTTGAATAAGCATTTAAGAGTCTGCCCCACGAAGCCCCATAAAAATGAAAGTAATCTATATGAAAGACAATATGAAATGCTTTGAGCAGCAAAAAAAAAGCAATATAAATGCCAAGCATCACCTCTCATGTGAAGCTTTAAAAGTATTATGACTGCTGACTACTATTTTAACCTATTTTGGTCTATTTATTCAGATTTATTACCTTGTCACTCTCTCTCCTCTCTCTGAGACAGTGTCAGCAACAACCATTCTGGAATACGAAAATCATGACATTTAAAATACATATTCTATTATTTATACATCCCAGTGTCTTCAATCTTTTCATTCATATATATGTCTCTCTGTGTAGAATTTTTTTAAAAATTTAATTGAAGTTTTCACAATACAATTAAAAGAACTAACCTACAAGAAATACAGAAAAGAAACTAAAAACTGTTTTTTCCCTGTTTATATATTACAATGCTATAATTAAAACATCTTGCATCATTTCCAGAAAATACCAAGCTCAGATATTGGCTAACTTCCAGAGACAATGAACTGAGAGCTGAGCAACAGCCACTAGGGACACTTATATGCCTCATGATTCTTATTCGCTGTATAAGAATCGCCTGCAAAAGGAGAGGAGAGGTTTCTTTGCTATAAAGATTCAAGTTCCTGCAAGTCTTTGCAAGGTCAAAACCTGCAGTCTTAAATCATAGTCAGAACAGACCCTATAATCTACTGAAGCAGTGGCAGGAGACCATCTTTCAGGCTGAGGGCTTGTCCTCTCATCTGTGAAATGTTGGGGGACTACATGTCAACATGGGGCAAGGCCAGGGGCAAAAGTCAGCAGAGCACCAAATGGAAAACTGTACATTTGTACAAGTCTACTTTCTACACAGACTCACACAGCCCTCTTTATATTCCATCCAGGCAAGCAAGTACAGTGGTACCTTGGGTTACATACGCTTCAGGTTACATACGCTTCAGGTTACAGACTCTGCTAACCCAGAAATAGTGCTTCAGGTTAAGAACTTTGCTTCAGGATAAGAACAGAAATTGTGCTCCGGCGGCGCAGCGGCAGCAGGAGGCCCCATTAGCAAAAGTGGTGCTTCAGGTTAAGAACAGTTTCAGGTTAAGAACGGACCTCCGGAACGAATTAAGTACTTAACCTGAGGTACCACTGTAGCATTATAAGAAAGTGCTTGCAGTGATGCATCTAACCATGTTGCTCCCTTGATCCCTGTCCTTCATGGTTAATAAAATCTACCCAGCAGGGCATGTTTGGGTGGGTTTGGGATGTGGTGAAGGCATCGTTACAGGATGAGGTAGTTCCCACTGTTTTGAAATTGGTGGCGGCGCATCCACTCCTAAGAAAGCTCACCCAGGACTTCCTAAGTTATTGGCCGGTTTATAGTATCACTGGGTGTTTTTTCTAGAGTTTGGATGGATGGTTTTATTGTTCCCGAATCAGTGTTATTGTTCTTAGAGCTTGTTTTATCCTGTTCTGTTTTACTGTTTCGACGGCTTTATGCTCTGAGTAGCCTATACAATCGACGACAATGATGACAGTGATTCAAGGACACGTCCCAGCTAGGCAAAGCCATTGAAAGGGGATGAAAAGGAAGTCTAGTGAGGAGTGTGGCCTGGGAAGAACTGTGCATGAGGGCAGGGTGTCACCTGAAGAGAGTCCCGAGGGCCAGAAAAGAGATTCTGGAGGGCCACATTCAACCCCTTCGCCTGAGGCTCCCATGCCTGGACTAAAGGAGCACCTACATGATCAATATGGACTTCAAGGGCAGTACTGTATACAGCACATTGCGGTAGTCTAGCCTTAGAATTTTAAGTGATCCTGCCTCTTACCCTTGCTTAGAGATGTGAAGGCCTGGGGAAAAAAATCAGGAAAAAATGGGAAATAAGCAGTTGCAGCTTTGTTCTTTATTTTATTTTATTTTTACCTCCAGGCTTTCACATCTCAACCTTTGCCTGATCAACTGAGCAGAACTTTCTTGCCTTCTGCACTTCAGGCTTCAAGAACTGACTACAGTGGTACCTCGGGTTAAGTACTTAATTCGTTCCGGAGGTCCGTACTTAAAAATAAATTACACATAGTAAAGGTAAAGGGACCCCTGACCATTAGGTCCAGTCGTGACCGACTCTGAGGTTGCTGCGCTCATCTCGCTTTATTGGCCGAGGGAGCCAGCGTACAGCTTCTGGGTCATGTGGCCAGCATGACTAAGCCGCTTCTGGCGAACCAGAGCAGCGCACGGAAACGCCGTTTACCTTCCCGCCTATTTATCTACTTGCACTTTGACGTGCTATCGAACCGCTAGGTGGGCAGGAAAATTACACATACAACGGAGCAAAATAACACCTTACTCCGAATCTTGGCTGTCTCTCAGAGTGCACCAATATAAACACTGAACCAGATGGACCCCCAATGAAACATTTCTCCCAGTGAGAAATCATCTGTCATGTCACTGACATTTTCCTGTCAGGTATTAAAAGAGGAACTACTGAATAGTTATGCAAACAAGCTAGCATCTCAAGCAAAAACCTTTCATTGCAGTCACGTTATATGTAGTTAGGATATCAAGCTAGACAAGTCAAGTGTGGGCTTATCTGGAATACTACCAGTCAGCCCCCATTTTCAAATGGGCCAGTGGCTGCTAAAATGTTAAAGGAAAATACCAGTTTACCATCTTATAGATCAGCCTTCTGCTCTCTCTCAGTGGCAATGTTTTCCTTGCCCAATGCAAGAAAGAAGTGTACCAAACAAGGCAAATTCCTTTAAAATGAATGCATTTGATTAGGAGAATTTTAAATCTACTGGCAATGGCAAACAGATTAATGATGTCATGCATTACACAACTGTGGTTACAGCAGGATAAAAACCATATCCAAAGCAATTTCACACGGTCTTTCACCTCTAACTGCTTTCCTGTAAAATAACAGTCCAACTTCAGAGATGTTTATCTGGAAAGTAACTTTACACATTGTGCTAAGATTCATCCGGTTTTGCAAGTTACAATAATTATGCAATCATGTCATGGCGGTTAAAGTTAATACAGAGATAGAAGAGAGAAAAGAGCACTTAACTTTAAACCACACAAGGCATTCTTAAGCATCAAACACTGAGGTTTTTAATCCTCAAAGTGAAATGAAATTTCTTCTGTAATTAGTGGAGCTGTACATCTATTTCAGTCACTCCAAACCCTTCCCATCCACCAACCAGGTATTATATTTCAACAAAGCAATTTTCAAGGGAAAGACGGCCAGTATGCTACAAACAGGAGCAATGATTTAAAATTAACCACCACTTTCTTTCTTTTTAAGCCAACTTTTTTAAAAAACAAGCACCCAGGCTTCATTCATTCTATCATAGAATGTTGTGCATACATAGGAGTGAGAAGCAACTGCTGTCCTTTCCAGCTGTACCCCATATTACTTTTCCAACTGTACAGCCCATTTACTTTGCTGCATAGAATTCAATGGGGGCCACTGAGATCCAAGCCAGCCCCTCTTCCCATAGTCTTTCCCTTATTTCCTGTGCAGGTCATGTTCCTGTAATTTGTACTCCATGAGATTTGGGTGGATTACAAATTCAGTTCCCTTGTCTTTCCAGAATGTTTTAATTTGGAAAGAAAATACTCATTTCCCATCAAAGCCCTGAAGTGACCCCATCAAAAATAAAGACATTTGCAGCCACTGTATTAATGCTGCAAGGGACTTTTTTATGTGTGGTTATGACCTACTGGTGGCGGAAGGAGCGAGCCACATTCCAGTGAGTGAGCCTGTCCCTGGCTATAGCACTGGTGTTAGCCCTCTCACTGGTCAGAAGAGCTGAAGGAGTTAAGGGGCAGAGGGATTAGGAGAGGGAGGCTGGGAAGATGAAACAGGTTTGAAAAAGCAACTGAAACCAGCTTAGGTTAGATGCTTTTGAAAACTATTGGGAATTTTTTATAGAGTAAATGAAGGGATTTCACTGCTGAAATTCATCATTTACAACTTCAAAGGGGACACGGGTAATTTTAACCTGTGATCTCTTTCGTGGTTGATTATAAATACTGTGCGCATATATCTTAATCAGGCGTTTGTCCCTAAAAAGTGTTAGGAGAGACATTCAATTTTAAACTAAAAGGAAACTGAAGGAAAATAGAAGATCAAAGAAGACTTAATCCTAATAACACACGGACAGTAAATTGTAGACATATGATGGATCTTGAGGAAGTCCCCCCAAAACGAGTTTAGCCAAGCAAAATTTAAACTGAAAACTCAGAAAAATGCCAAGATAGATCAAGAAATCCATCAAGAAAATTAAAAATGGAAAAACCAAGAGAAAATGAAGATAAATGAAGGAATGTGAAGGAGCGGAAATCAAGTTTTATTTACCTTTCAAACTAATTAGTCTTTGGATGAAAAGAGGAAGCACATGAAAGGGTACATGGATATGAAGTCCGCTTAAAGAAGAGGGAAGATGAGTAGGGAAAATAGAAGGCTTTTCTTTTAAAAGGCAACTAGAGAAGTCATTTCACGAAGGGAAAATTTGGTGGTTTTATTGCTGAAGCTAGAAATGTGCAGGTGGGAAAAAAAGAAGACAGGGCGAGGACAAAACCATTTCTTCTGATTTCATGTTGGCTCAGGTTGCCTTGTAAGGAGAGAAAGACAGGTAAGTTAAAAACTTGCTGAAAAGGCAAATAAAGCATTTTGAGGATGAACCTGCTGATGGCGACTGGAAAGTGACTGCTCAGGGACATGGCAAGTCCAGGATCCTGGGGGAAAGTGCTTTCTCTGAGGGAGGTTCCTGAGAGTGGCTAGAGTGCTGGATTAGGACCTGGGAGACTCGAGTTCAAATCCTCTCTGCCATGAAGCGCCCTATCTCTCAGCCTAACCTACCTCACAGGGCTGTTGTGAGGATCCAATGAGGAAGCAGACTAGAACATCAACTCCACTAAGCCTTTCCAGCAGAACCGGCAAGATTTTGAAAAGAAATGGGAAATGGAACTCAAAAGGCAACTATGGAACAGGCCAGGCAAGATTACCCCGGATGTGTAACATGGTTCTCTGGTGATAATAACCAAGGTTTTTGCTGAAGGGGAGCTGCGCAGAGAGGGAAAGCTGCGCAGGGCCCTTCAGCGAAGCGGCAGGAGAAACGGAGCCCCTTCCATTTCCTGCCGCTTTGGTGGAGAGGCGCTGCGCAGAGAAAGAGAGAACATTTTTTTTCTTGTTCTCCTCCTCTAGAACTAGGTGCGTCCTATGGTCGGGTGCGTCTTATTGAGCGAAAAATACGGTATATTGTCTTCCTTCTGCAATTCTTTGTGCAAAGACTTTTTCAGGTCACAGGAGAAAGACGATCACACCGCCATGAACTCACTGGAGACAAGGTAGGTTATTGATGTAATAATACATAAAATATACAAGTTCCTAAGGAGCTTGCACTTGGCAACATTGGTCATTCAGTCATTTTTTTCAGATGAGCTGGGAACTGAAGACGCCAGGTGGCCGCCATTCCTGTTTCCAAGGAAAAATAGAAGGCTTTTCTTTTAAAAGGCAACTAGAGAAGTCATTTCATGAAGGGAAAGTTTGAGTTTTTTGTTGCTGAAGCTAGAAATGTGCATATGGGGGGGGGGGCAAAGAAGACAAGGAGAGCACAAAGCCGTTCCTTCTAATTTCATGTTGGCTCAGGTTGCCTTGGAAGGAGAGAAAGACAGGTAAGTTAAAAACTTGCTGAAAAGGCAAATAAAGCATTTTGAGGATGAACCTGCTGGTGGCGACTGGAAAGTGACTGCTCAGGGACATGGCAAGTCCAGGATCCTGGGGGAAAGCGCTTTCTCCAAAGGAAGTTCCTGAGAGTGGCTAGAGTGCTGGATTAGGACCTGGGAGACTCGAGTTCAAATTCTCACTCTGCCATGAAGCGCCCTATCTCTCAGCCTAACCTACCTCACAGGGTTGTTGTGAGGATCCAATGAGGAAGCAGACTAGAACATCAACTCCACTAAGCCTTTCCAGCAGAACCTGCAAGATTACGAAAAGATATGGGAAATGGAGTTCAAAAGGCAACTATGAAACAGGCCAGGCAAGATTACCCCTGATGCATAACGTGGCTCTCTGGTGGTAATAACCAAGGTTTTCGGATTTTATTTTATTTTATTGCTGCATAGCTCAGACAACACAAAGTGTTGACTCTACACAAAAAACTTGGTTCCTCCAGCACTGAAGGTAATGCATTTAAAATGCCAATTTTAAAACCAGGTCTAGCAGTCAGCTTCCTTTGCCAGTAACTTCACATCTGGAAATTAGTTCTGCAGTGAAGGAAGGTAACTATTAAATACTTTTGACTTTTCAAAAGGTGGCGGCTTCTAGGTGAGTATCTCGTGTTTCGCTGGAGAGAAAATCTCTTTTCCACCTGCAATTCTTGTGCTAAGACACTTTAAAGTCTTAAAGTTTTGTTTACCTTACAAACTAGTCTTTGGATGAAGACAACTCAGTGATCTTTTTCAGTGCAATGCTTTTGTACTGGTCTCTCCTTTTTAATCTCTTCATCCGCTTCTTGAAAAAATGACTGTCAAAATGGCACTCTTTGGCTGAACCACATCAAGGTGAGTATCCCTTGCTTGACTAGGGAGGTAATATCTAGTCAAAATGGTACTCTGTGATTCCTCATTCGTTTTAAGGTTGCGGCAAGACGGTTTGCGACTTTTTACAGCAAAGGATTCTTCTGTATATGTCAGAAGAGGCCCTATTCCGTGTCACCACATTGAGGCTCACCTGCTGATAGGATAAACTAGTGACTTTAGATCACACACCAACAGAAGGAGCTGCCAGACACATGAAGTCAAATGGACAAACAAAAGGGTGAGCATTGAGCAATCTTTCCTCTTTCCACATACCAAGCTTAATGGCAGAGATTGAAGTCTGAATTTTATCTCCCTTTTGTGCCCCTCTAGATCAATGACCTGAAGCTGAGGCTCCAATACTTTGGCCACCTCATGAGAAGAGAAGACTCCCTGGAAAAGACCCTGATGTTGGGAAAGATGGAGGGCACAAGGAGAAGGGGACGACAGAGGACGAGATGGCTGGATAGTGTTCTCGAAGCTACCAGCATGAGTTTGACCAAACTGCGGGAGGCAGTGGAAGACAGGAGTGCCTGACGTGCTCTGGTCCAGGGGGTCAGGAAGAGTCGGACACGACTAAACGACTAAACAACAACAACAAAGATGAATGGCTCATCCAGCTTCAGACAAAAATGGCAGTCAAAATGGTATTCCATTGTTCAAGGATATTTAGGTCAGTACCACTTGCTTGACTAGGGAAGAAATCTCTTATCGTGTTTCATCTGCAACTTTTTGCACTAACATTGTTTTCTGCTAAGACTCTTTCAGGTTGCAGTCCCTGACTCATCAGAAGTGGAAGCCTTTTGCAGCAGATTTCTTCATAACTCTTAAGGTTTTTCTTTTTCCTGAGAGAACATTCACAGAATGTTCTCTCAGGTTTTGCTTTTCCCCTTGTTGCATTGCTCAAAAAAAAAAAGCAAAAGGCACTGGTGGTCGGCGCTCCTGGTTCCCAGGACGGGGTTCAAATCCCTGCGGTGTCCATGCTTACTTCCAATGCAACTGCTATCGCTCTCTATCCCTCTCTCTCTATGTCTCGCTATCCTCTCTCTCTCTATCCCTCTCTATTTCTCTATCTCACACTGCCCAAATAACAATTGGCTCCCTTTTTCTTAAGCCAAAGTATTAGCATGGGAGGGTGGTGACTCCAGTGACTGAGCTTGATTCTTAACTCCACCATTGCACCTAAGGACCATTTCAAGCACCACCTTCAAGGTTTTCAGGTCAGGGTTCAAGTCCCTGCAGTGTCCTCGCTAACTTCTAATGCAACCATCATGCCTCTCTATTTTCCCCTATATCACTCAAATCCCAAAGTATTAGCATGGGAGTGTTTTTGTGTGGGGATTTCAATGAATAAGCTTGGTTCTGAACTCCGCCATGGCATCTAAGGACCAGTTCAAGCAACCTTTGCACTGTCCCTGCTGCTCTAATGATGCTCCCCTGATGCATCACCAGGTGTGTCTAGATAGGCTGGATCATGTGGGTGCTTCCTATCCTAGCATTCCCAGGTACTAAGGAGTACTACTCCCCTAGTACTTTTTTAAAGAGAGTCTAATTTCACATCTATGTTTGTTTAGGAAACAACACGCACTCCCAAAAATGCAACCTTTTTAAATTATGTGGAAAATGGACAAGGTCTCAATGACAGAGCAACTGGTACCACATGCACACATTAGCAGAACAAGCAGGGCAAAGACAGGGTGGTCAGTGTCCTCCTTTGGAGAAGACCTGTATCCATTTGAAGGGCTATCAGAAGGTTAGGATAAGGACAGGTGGCAGAATAAGGACAGGTGGCAGTTCTCTGTATGATGTCCTGTATTTGAATGGCTGTCCATTCCAAACCTGGTTTAAAAGTAAAGTAGGAATGCAGGAGCCCAGGAACTGCCCATCAGCAGCCAGCCCCTTGGCAGAAGACTGAGCACATGCACACAGGCCCTGGTCCTCCCCACTACAGTGAGAGGTATAGTATTCCTCTATAAAAATTATAGGGTGATATCTAACATTAGTCATACTCAAGAGTAAAATAATGCATCCAGCTAATTAATACTCAGACTCACCAAAACCAACGGGTCTACTTTGTATTACTCAGTAGGGCAGTAATCATTTTTACACGTCTATCTATATACAGCATTTGCAAATTAGTCTCCTCTTTCTTTCTTTTTAAGCCATGTGTCAGTGGCCACTATAAGCCAAGAGGCCAATTTCTGCAATTCAAAGAATCTAGCTGGAAGCTGAAGGGGCAACAAAGTTTAGTGAGCAGGAAGAACCTGTGGACGGAAGCAGTTCAGACTCCAAAGCTGAAGCAGAGGAGGGGCGTCAAGAGACTGCTGAGGAATCCAGGGAGTCTCCCTCTCCTGCTGCGACAAGCTCCCCTCCAGCCTTGTCTCCAAGAACGCACAGAATAATGAGGAGAGTGGAACGGAGGCCAAAGATGCTCAGATGCTGTTTGAGACTGCTTGGGAGAGGAGGAGCCTTAGAAGGCAGGGACCTCAGTCCTGACAACTGCTCCACAGGGGCAAGACCTACTGGGAAGTGTTGCTGAGTTGTATATTCATTTCCTTGAATAAAAAGTTGGCTGAGAACTGACAACTGGCCTTGCTTCTTTGTGCTGACCTGCATCTGACTCCAGCCCTGGCAGCCTGGCCCTTTGTTTTCCCCCTGATCATGGGAAGTGCAGTTTGACCCTAACTCTGCTTAGAAGGAAGTCCCAGTGATCCGGCCAGTGTGCTTTGGGGGCACAGCTATAACACAGTGGTGGAGTGTGTGTGTTGTAGGGAGGAGGTCACAGATTTCCAGATAAGGCTGCTGGAGGAAATCCTTAGAGAGACACTGTCAGTCATTGATACAAAGCCAGATGGGAGCACTGGCATAATTCAGCTATAAGGCAGCTTCCTTTGTTCCTACGCTTAGGGTTGCAGCCATGAAGCTCAATTCCACGGATGAATTTGTATACACAAGATGGCAGCTTTAGGCTTGCAGTCTAGGAGTAGCCACAATGGCATCATCCATAGAATCGCAGAATTACAGAGTTGGAAGGGACCCCAAGGGTCATCTAGTCCCACCCTCCTGCGATGCAGGAATCTCAAAATACATCCATGACAGGCAACCATCCAACCTCTTCTTCAAACCTCCAAGGAAGGAGAGCCCACCACCCTTTGAGAGAGTCTGTTCCACTGCCTTACAGTCAGAAAGTTCTTCCTACACTTAGTTGGAAAGGCCTCTATGGGCATATATGGGCATTGTTGGCAACCGATGCCACACAGCATGGCATTACCCTGGTCCCCTACTCTACGTAAGTTGATTTGAGAACAACAAAAAACAGGACATAAAATCATGCTTGCTCCTGGTTTATTTCACTAACTACAGTCAAACCATATACCTCTGAGTGTGGATGTAATGGGAAACTGCAGTTAGTTTGAAATCAAAAGCACGTATTTCTGATCTCTTCCAGTGGCATGCAGATGAAGAGAAGCAAACACGCCTGACACTTGTGCAGACTCATTCACGTTTTTGGAAAATGAGATGTTTTTAACAACTGAAGATGGGGTAGGTGCACTAAAGTTAAGTTGTAACAGCTAGCCAGTGCAGTTTTGGTTGGGAAGGGATTAACAGGGAACATGCTGTCTCCCAGCTTCCTGCTGAAACTTACAAATGATCAACAGTGCAACTGCTTGACCCAGCAACCGTGAACAGACGCTATTCTGTCACACAAGGCTGGTTACACTCTCCCCACTAGACATGTTTGGGAGCACAAATGTAAACGTGAGCTCATTAAGTATTGCAAATATGTGACGGCATTTGCAAATTTCTTTAGGGTCTTTTGTTTTAAAGTGGAAGGCTGGAGTATGATTTCCTTCTAACTGATACCATGCTACAAGCAAAACACTTGAGAAAGTCCTAAGAGCAGGGGGAACACAGGGGGTCTGGGATTGCTCCTGGGGAAGTCTTCCAGTGGCTCAAACATTACTAGTAAGGGCACCAGGGATTTTGAGTTGCAAAGAAATAATCTTACAAGAGTACTTGCAGCAGGTAGTGAGTGGTGTGCAACCTTACAAATGTAAACAAACACTTTTTCAAAGATCAAAACTGGGGTTTAAAAAACACTGCGATGGCTGCATTCCTAGACACATTTACTTGGGATTAAATACTACTGGACTGACTTCCAGGATTGTGTTGTGTTTATCACTTTAAAGTAAACATGGAAGTTGATGTTCTAAATTGGGGAAAATTATGCTAAAATGTTTTTAATACTGAATTTAACATTTTAAAAAGCTATAATACCTTTTAATCTAGTCTTCTTCGTGACACTGTAGTTTGTGTAGGATCAATTATTTTGACATACCGTATTTTTCGCTCCTAAAAAGGAGCGGTATTTTGACATACCGTATTTTCCCCTCCTAAAAAGTAAGGGGAAATGTGTGTACGTCTTATGGAGCGAATGCAGGCTGTGCAACTTTCACTGAAGCCAGTGAAAGAGCAAGAGGGATTGGTGAGCACTGATCCCTCTTGCACTTCTGGCTTCGCTTCGCTTTAGAGGCGCTGTGCAGCTTTCCCTCTCTGTGCAGCGCCCCTTCAGTGAGGCGGGAGGAGAAATGGAAGGGGCTCAGTTTCTCCCGCCGCTTCGCTGAAGGGGCGCTGCGCAGAGAGGTAGAGAATATATTTTTTCTTGTTCTCCTCCTCTAAAACTAGGTGTGTCTTATGGTTGGGTGCGTCTTACAGAGCAAAAAATACGGTACCTTTTTCTGAGAGGCCTGTACCATGTGATATTTGGAATGTAGATTAGACTCTTGAAAACTAAGAGATTTTCTTATCAGTATAGTTCAGTGTCATCTTTAGGCCTCAAAGCAGCATCTTTAACATTACAGGACCAGCATTCTCCTAGATATTTTTAGTCCTCAGCATCCATCTGCATGGCACTTCGTACCACTGGACCTCTTCTCCTTTCACTCAAAGTGGTATTTGCCTATTATGGAGGCTCTTTGGAGAGGTTTAGTTCTTCTGCCTCTTCCATGAGAGGCAGCAAAACACTTTCGAAGACTATGTTTCTTGTATTTCATAGTCAGCTCTCTGATGCAATGGCTGGATTCTCAAGTTCTAAAGATTGAGATGAGCTATATAGTATGAACAACTTCATTGATTGCTCTCATTTGGGAGAAAACAGACGTAGCTTCTCCTAAAGATGCAGTTCCTCATAAGTTGAACGAACAAACAAAGTAGCTTCATAAAGGCCAATGCTGTTTCCCCACCCCTCCATTGCTGTTGTATCTGAACAAATTGTGAGCACAATGCTCTAATTCAGAAACGATCACAACTGTTGACAATAATGTCTCTACCTCTCAACAATCCTGTAACTTTGCACGTCAAACTTGCATGTTTGATACCTCTGCGTGTTGTTTTGATACCTGCCCAGGAACCTTTTTTGCATGTAGAAAAACAATTCAGGTTGAAGGTTAGGCTAGAACTTTTCTCCCTTATGAGCTAGTTTTCTACTAATCAGATCTCATTCACGTTTACTCAAGAAATAACTTCACTGATTTCAGAAGGATTTATCACCAAATAAGCATGAATAGGACAGCAACACAAATTCAGGGAATTGTTTACAGAAGATTTTATTAGCATCTCAACAGAGCCAAACCACATAAGCATACACTAGAAAACGATCTGCATATTTCAAGAGGGGTGTTCACAAGATTCCATGACTTTAGCACAAATTAATTAATCTGGAAGAAACATAAACCCTAAATCCTACCCTTTTAGTCACTAAATGGGATTAGGACCATAATAACCATTCCACACTTTACAGAACTTTCTCAAAAACCACTTAACCAATCAGTTAACTCCTTAACCCACTACTCTTCCCATAATCCGGCTGACTGGGGAGATCCTGGAAGCCGCACTCTTTGCATCATTTAGTGACTCAGACAGCATGCATTAGATTCTTTAGTCTAGAATATATTCAGACGCACAATGAGACAATTGTAAAAAGACAGCAATGCAAATCCTCAATGGGGTATCCAAGAGAGTCTCTGAAATGTGCTTATCTCATCGGTAATCTTCTGCATGCTCCTTTATTGTCACATCATGCTGTCTGGTGTTCTTAAATTTACAAGGCATACCTAAAACCAGAACCCCAAGTTCAACATAAAAAGCTCAGGCCTTAAATAAACACTAAGGTGGTCTTTTTAACATAGAAGATCATTCTTAATCAGGGTGCTCAAAATCATTTTTCTGACCATTTCCTAAAATCTACACACACACACACACACACCCTGCCCCTGGTCCCATTGGCGAATATTCCAGTTGGTGAATATGCTTTCCCCACAGTGACCCTATAATGTAACACTGTTCCCGTAGGGCAGTGCTAACTAACTTGTGGCTCTCCTGTGGCTGTTGGACTCCAGCTCCCATAAACCCCAACCAGTATGGCTAACACATCAAGGATAGTGGGAAATAGAGTTCGACAACACTAGAGGGCCACCAGTGTTCAAAATTCATTTTGCAGCTGGCTATTGGCCACTTGTGAAGCGAAGATGCCCATTCACCAGGATGGCACATGATGTCACCATCTGGAGGTGCATGCCTGGGGATCCCTGGATCTTGACTGTTTTCACATACTAGCAATGCATCCTGTAAAATTACCGTATTTTTTGCTCTATAAGACGTACCAGACCACAAGACGCACCTAGTTTTTGGAGGAGGAATACAAGAAAAAAATATTCTGAATCTCAGAAGTCAGAACAGCAAGAGGGATTGCTGCGCAGTGAAAGCAGCAATACCTCTTGCTGTTCTGGCTTCTGGGATAGCTGCGCAGCCTGCATTCGCTCCATAAGACGCACACATATTTTCCCTTACTTTTTAGGAGGGAAAAAGTGAGTCTTATAGAGCAAAAAATACGGTATATTTTATCTGCACAGAATAAATTTCAGGAACCAATAACGCATATTGAAAAATGTGACTTTTGAGCTGTCTGGCCCCAAATTGGCAACCAGGCATTCCGTTTTGGCGGCTGTAACCCTGGTTTAATGAGCTATTTGGTGCCTAACTTTTATATCTGAGTTTCTAGCACTGTTAGCCACTCCCTGCTCTAGGGTTTTCTATACTGCAACACTCCAATGCCACGTAATAATGGCTCTCCAGAAAACAGTTTTTAAATGCAGCACCAGCTTTGAAAATGCAAGGCTCCTCTCCAAGTGATTTCCCTTGCCTCTTTTCCTTGTCAGACTTAACCTAGGTTTAAAGTCACCGATCCAAACACAACCCTAAATATAAACTATGGTTCTACCATAAACCTGAAACAGAAACCATTACTTTTAAGTGGATTTGTAAACCACGGTTGGCACTAACTGCTGGGCTTCACTACAACCAACTGCAAGTAATAGGTAGTCATGCACTGAAACGTATTTTTTCTTCCTTCTTTTGAAAAGGAAAGAGGAACTCATTTCCAAACAGGGTGAGAAATTCAGAATGAAACAAAGGGTGTCTCACCAGCTGAACTATTTAGGCCTGGACAAAACATATATGAACTTCACCAGTCTCTTCCCAGGAAGGAATTCCTCTGACCCTGCAATCTGTAACCCTTGAGGAAGGGCTTTAGCTCACTGGCAGAACATGCACTTTGCATTTTAAAAGCCCCAGGATTCAATCTCCAGCATTTCCAGGTAAGGTAGGAAATGTTTCCTGCCTGAAACCCAGGGAAGTTGTTCCCAGTCTATGTCGACAGCACTGAAATAGATGTCCAGTGGTTTGAGTTGGCATAAGATGGCTTCATCTGTATGTTTTTAATCCAATGATGAAGGTGACCTGAAAATAGCAGAGCCTTTAATCAGTATCCTCTGGGCTCAGAGCGCTCATCTTGTCCTTGAATGATTGCAGTGTGGTTCACATTTTCAGTAGTTCGCATATACTTAAAACTAAAATCTTGTTTAGCAGTTATCTGCAGAATTATTAGTGCCTGGATGCAATTTTTGTATCTATCAACAGAAAGCCAAATCGGAGGGGGCGCCCATTTCGAAAAAGCACTTTAGAGAGGGATAATGAACTCTGCTCACAAACAGATGCTCATTTTCTTTATGGGATGATTGGCTTGGTTAACAAGATACTATAAATTTAAGAATGGCAGGAACATAGCATTGGGCTGAAGGGATTCTTAACTGTGTTTTCTCAGTTATTGCCCCTTGTTATCATTGATGTCTCTGTCACAGTCAATACAGTGGTACCTTGGGTTAAATACTTAATTCGTCCCGGAGGTCCGTTCTTAACCTGAAGCACCACTTTAGCTAATGTGGCCTCCTGCTGCCGCCACGCTGCCGGAGAACAATTTCTGTTCTCATCCTGAAGCAAAGTTCTTAACCCGCGGCACTATTTCTGGGTTAGCGGAGTCTGTAACCTGAAGCGTATGTAACCTGAAGCGTATGTAACCCGAGGTACCACTGTACTCAGATTGTGACCACCCTGAGGGCAAAGAACTGTCATTACAGTTATACCTCATGTTACGTTTGCTTCATGTTACGTTCTTTCAGGTTGCGTCCTGCGGCAACCCGGAAGTACCAGAAAAGGTTACTTCCGGGTTTCACTGCTTGCGCAGAATCGCTAAATCGCGTTTTGCGCAGGCGCACAAGCACCAAATCGTGCCGCGCACCTGTGCAGATATGACGCTTCAGGTTGCGCTCTTTTCATGTTGCGAATGGGCCTCTGGAACGGATCCTGTTCACAACCAGAGGTACCACTGTATTGCTCTCTAAAGCACCCAGTACACTGATTAAAGGTAAAGGTAAAGGGACCCCTGACCATTAGGTCCAGTCGTGACCATCTCTGGGGTTGCGGCGCTCATCTCGCTTTATTGGCCGAGGGAGCCAGTGTACAGCTTCCGGGTCATGTGGCCAGCATGACTAAGCCACTTCTGGAGAACCAGAGCAGCGCACGGAAACGCCGTTTACCTTCCCGCCGGAGCGGTACCTATTTATCTACTTGCACTCTGACGTGCTTTCGAACTGCTAGGTTGGCAGGAGCAGGGACTGAGCAACGGGAGCTCACCCCGTCGCGGGGATTCGAACCGCCGACCTTCTGATCAGCAAGTCCCTGATCAGACCCTGTTATGTTGACAGCAGAAACTCTAACCTAAGAGCTTCACCCTGCAAATCAACAAGGGCCTAGTGCATTAACAGATGCAGGAAAGAGCAAGCTTTATGTCATGAATCTGACCACTGCGTCCTCTGAAATGACTTCTACTGGCGCTTACTTCCAGGTATGTAGAAGCAGCAGCAGCAGCAAGCCAGGTCAAAAACTAACCACAGTCTAAGAAAAATGCAAACGAGCCAAAACACACATTTGAATAAGAGTGAAATTAACTCATCCCCCCTCCCTCCATCTTTATGAAGTACATTCCCAAGTACTTTGTTGAAAGAAAAGTCCCATAAACACATTGCTTATTAAGGTCAGAAGTTTGACTTGATTTTATGCCAACATACGCTCCTCCTGCCAAAAATACTCTTCCGGCGTTCTGACTCAAGTCTGCATTACTAAAGCAGGAAAGTATCAACTGGTTACACACAAGTAATGAATTCAAAACAAACCATCATCAGAAAGTCTCCAGCTATCACACTGAAGAGAAGCTGTGAGTCACCACCACAACCACAATCTCTTTGTGTTGGCTGTCCCCTCGCCTGCTCCCACAATTGAAACCTAGACTAGGGGAGGAGAGCGAGGCAGTCATTTTGCAACTCTCTCTTGCAGTGAGTGACTCAGAATCACTCTTTGCTGGGGCTCAGAGGGGACCACAACAGTGGAAGTAGCTTTCATAATTAAGGAAGAAATCATTCCAGCAAACCAGTGCATCGTTTTTTTCCTTAATTGCCTCTCTGCATAAAGGTCATTTGCAGTGATGCAAACTTTCCGGAAAAAAGCTTGAATTGGGAGACTTTTCCTAGGGCAACGTGCACTATAAAATTTTCAGTTTTCACCCCAAAAAATTCAGATGTCCCTAGATAGTGTGTTCATGTTTATTTTTCCTGCATTTAGGAAACAAAACTGAAAACTAAGAAACTGTCAAGTTTCAAATACTGTATTTTCAAATGTTGTGCTTTCATTTGACATCCATTCATTGCTACTAATTTGTTATTTTTCTTATTGTTTATTTTTCCTGCATTTAGTAAACAAAACTGAAAACTCTGAAACCGTCAAGTTTCACATATTGTATTTTCAAATATTCTGTTATCAGCTGACATCCATTCACTGCTGCTAATTGACTTATGAAATAGACATTTTCCCATGGAAGTCTGCTGGGGTTATTTTCTGCTCCACATCACTGGCTAGTGTCATAGCGGGGGAAAAGAACCCCGGACAAGTTTATCCAAAGAGGGCCTGAGTGACTTATCAGTGGCTCCCTTTGAATTCTATGGGGATAAAGCAGGCTAGGACACAGTTAAAAGGAGACTAAACCTGAACAGTTTTCAGGATTGCCGGTGTATGGCTGCACAATAGCTTGGGAGGAATTCCATGTTGTTGTCCGTATAGTTAAAGCTATGGTTTTCCCAGTAGTGATGTATGGAAGTGAGAGCTGGACCATAAAGAAAGCTGATCGCCGAAGTATTGATGCTTTTGAATTATGGAGCTGGAGGAGACTCTTGAGAGTCCCATGGACTGCAAGAAGATCAAACGTATCCATTCTGAAGGAAATCAGCCCTGAGTGCTCACTGGAAGGACAGATCGTGAAGCTGAGGCTCCATTACTTTGGCCACCTCATGAGAAGAGAAGACTCCCTGGAAAAGACCCTGATGTTGGGAAAGATGGAGGGCACAAGGAGAAGGGGACGACAGAGGACAAGATGGTTAGATAGTGTTCTCGAAGCTACCAGCATGAGTTTGACCAAACTGCGGGAGGCAGTGGAAGACAGAAGTGCCTGGCGTGCTCTGGTCCAGGGGGTCACGAAGAGTCGGACACGACTAAACGACTAAACAACAACAGCAACAACAACAAAATGGCTCCACCAGTGAAAACATTTCAGCTTGCCCAACAGACCAATCTCCCCTCTCTGTCCTCCATGCTGTTCTAGGAGTTCTCCCGACACCCCAGAGCCGATCTGGGATGGCACCCAGGGGCTGGAGGGAGCCCCGTTTCACTAGGGCAAGGTGATCCAACACTTAACCTTCGAGGCCTTTTTGGCAGCCCTTGGCAAGATTTGATGCCCTTTGTACCACCTTTCCAAATCCGGGTAAGCGATATGCTGGGCTTTGGGAAGCTGTCAAATTTTGGCCTTGTTGGGGGGAGCATGACATGGCAAAGTGTAGCCCGTTGGTTCCATACTCTTGCGGCCCACTTGCTATGAAAAGTTGGACCGCCCTGCTCAAGCAGAATGTGTTGCCCTGGCTGCCATGAGCACACCTACATAGCTGGATCCGGCCCATTATCTTTAAGATAACTGATGGGGTTTGAGAGACGCACAGCTTCCCATAGAGGGCACCCCCAATATCACCTCTGGTCAACATTTGTATTGAAACAACACAGAAACCTACCAGACTTGAGGGGAAAGGGGGATGAATATACCATATTTTTTGCTCTCTAAGACTCACTTTTTCCCTCCTAAAAAGTAAGGGGAAATGTGTGTGCGTCTTATGGAGCGAATGCAGGCTGCGCAGCTATCCCAGAAGCCAGAACAGCAAGAGGGATTGCTGCTTTCACTGCGTAGCGATCCCTCTAGCTGTTCTGGCTTCTGAGATTCAGAATATTTTTTTTCTTGTTTTCCTCCTCCAAAAACTAGGTGCGTCTTGTGGTCTGGTGCGTCTTATAGAGCAAAAAATATGGTACATGCCATATGCAGTAATCCTTCTTGTTGGCCACTGTCAACATTAAGAAAACAAAAAAGCAATCACCTCCACCTAACATCCCCCCCCCTTTACAGGCAATTTTGATGAAAATTCTAACATCAGATATTATTTGGGGTTTTTTTATCTTAAAAGCCAACGATTGAAACACATTCCCTAAATCAATTTATTTTGCAAGTATTCCAAAGTATTAAGAATACATTCACATACTATTCATATTATTCTGCTCTGGTCAGACCTCACCTGGAGTACTGTGTCCAGTTCTGGGCACCACAGTTCAAGAAGGACACTGACAAACTGGAACGTGTCCAGAGGAGGGCAACCAAAATGGTCAAAGGCCTGGAAACGATGCCTTATGAGGAACAGCTAAGGGAGCTGGGCATGTTTAGCCTGGAGAAGAGGAGGTTAAGGGGTGATATGATAGCCATGTTCAAATATATAAAAGGATGTCACATAGAGGAGGGAGAAAGGTTGTTTTCTGCTGCTCCAGAGAAGCGGACACGGAGCAATGGATCCAAACTACAAGAAAGACGATTCCACCTAAACATTAGGAAGAACTTCCTGACAGTAAGAGCTGTTCGACAGTGGAATTTGCTGCCAAGGAGTGTGGTGGAGTCTCCTTCTTTGGAGGTCTTTAAGCAGAGGCTTGACAACCATATGTCAGGAGTGCTCTGATGGTGTTTCCTGCCTGGCAGGGGGTTGGACTCGATGGCCCTTGTGGTCTCTTCCAACTCTATGATTCTATGATTCATCAGGTCTGCACAATGCACAGGCCCACCAACCATCTATTGTGGCTTTCCCAAGCTCCCCCCCCCCCCGCTTTTTCCAATCCTCAGCATTTAGTCGCAGGCAGGGGCGGGAGTGGTGGGCGGGCTGGGAGAATACCAAACACTTGGCTGGCCGCAATATATGGTTGCTTTTGGAGGCTTGCTAAGATTCAGAGCCTCAACATATGTGAGCACACACATGCCGCACACATAGGAAGTTGCCAACCTGACTGAAGGAAGAACAGAATACGGAATCTAATGAAGAAACAAACATGAACTCTCTGTGAAAACATGTACCGGAGCCAGCAGAAGTAAATCAGCTCCTTTGGCTGTTTTGTACATCAGCATATGCAAAAGCCGCACAAAGGGAGGCAGGATTTTTTCACAATACTGCCTGCTAAACACAGCAATGGGTGGGAACAGATGATCCTTTGACCAAGTGATATAATTGTGACAAGGGTGCATGCTGCTGACAAAGTGAGGCTATAAAAATACGCCAGGTATCACTGTTATTCGGGCAAGATGCAGACAGCCATTTTAACCACATATCTGTACCTGATGTTCACAAAACACCAACTTATCACCTGACTGGAAAATACGGATGACTAATATGCTTCACGGCAACAGAGTTCGCTGGGGGTGTATTCTGTATGGACTTATTTGCACCACCATAGTAAGAATTTCACCGCCTACGTCAAAGCGCAGGTGAATCCTATATTCTGCCAAGTGCCGAGGGAGAAATTGACATTTTCAACCCTGGCCAGAAATCTGGGGGGAACAGAGAAGTGCAAAGATTCCTCGCTGCTTGGCAGGATGGAACACGGAGCACATACAGGTAAGCAAACTTATCCTGGGGTAACCTCTCTCACCTGGCGGTAGTCAGGTTTCCAGGTGAGATTACCTGCATCATCTTGCAACGTGGCAAGCAGCTGCGGAAAGACAGCTTGCATCTATCTATCCACCCGCTTACGAGGCAATTACATGCGCACACTCGATATTAACCCAGTAGCGCACGCATGCACACACACAAAAGAAACACCTGAGCATTAAAATATTCTTACCTGGGAAAGTATGCGGGTGGGGCGACCCTCTTTTAAGGCACTTGGAACAGAGGACATGCACAGTATAGTACAGGCCTGGCCATTCTTGAAGCAAGACATTCAGTTCTTCCACTAGTGGGGTTATGGCTTGCCAGGCTGTCCATATATTTGGTAAGGATGCATGACTAGCGATAGACAAAGTATCTGGCTGCTGGGTGCCTTTGGCAGGTCTGTAACTTACTACGACAGGTACCTTCCCCCTGTAGGCATAGATCTGGTATTTCCCATCAGACCGCTGAACCACGTGGCTGTTGATCTGGACGCTGTAGCGGGCGAAGAGCCCCGGGGGGAAGATGAAGGGGAAGCTGTACTCAATTTGCAGCTGTTCAGCGACAAAGGACTGCCCACCCAGGTTGGAGCCATTGATCCACGCCTCTGCGTGGGGCATCTCGTTCTTCACATAGCAAGGGAACTTGTACCATGCCGTCGCCCCGTTCAAGGGCTTGGACTTGGGCTTGTTGACGCAGTAGCAGAGACCCATCTTCTCCAACAGCTCCAGGATCAGCTGCAGGTCCTCTCTGCTCTGGATGTGGGGTTTGAGGAGCAGGCGAATGACATGGGCGGGGAGAAGCCCGTGGAGCAAAAAGCCTTCCACATAGTGGTGGAGCTGCGTGGCCTTCAGCTCGTCCACGTGGACATTGCCAAGCAGTTTCTGGAGCAAGACCGTGGCATCCCGTTGGCAGAAGACGTTGAGGATGTCAATGAGCCTGGGCAAGTTGTGGAAAACGTATTCCCGAAGGGTGAGGTGCTCCTCAAAGTAGAGCAGCTTGCCGCTTTCGTGCAAGTAGGAAAGAGCGCTCTGGAGACGGTCCTCCGTCAGCCCTGCCTGCAGGCCCAGCCGAGCCGAGTCCCACCAGCTGAGCCACAGCTGCTGAGCCTGCGGTTGGAAGTGCAGCTCCTCCAGCACCTGCCAGGACCTTGGCAGCACCCGGTGCAAATTGGGAAAGATGTCTCTATGCTCGGCTACCGAAAGGAGCTTCTCTCGCAAGCGGCGTACCTGGCAGCAATCCCAGCAGCTGATAGGCAGCACCGGGGAAAGGATTTGGGGCCGGTGGTTGAGCAAATACTGGAACTGAGCTTTCTTGCGCCGCAGGTTCTTGTCTGACACCCCATAGAAGGCGACGTGGGGGCTGGAGCAGCGCAGGTCGAAATCCTGCCCCAGGGCTTCGTCTACCTGCTGGGCCAGACTCTGCAGGCCCTCGTAGTCGCACTTCTCCTGCCGGGATATCTGGCGGTGGATGTCTAAGCACTTCTCTTCCACCTCCCGTTCAGCGCACAGGTCAGCGTGGGTGCCAACCATGCACACCACGGCATGGGGCACCTTTGCCCCCAGCCAGTGAAGGAAGTGCCCCACGGAGGGATAAAAACACTGCGGCACATAAGTGCTCAGGTTCACCACCAGCACATAGAGGGCTCCCGGAGAGAGGAAGAAGGGCTGGATCACGTCGTAACTTGGGTCTCCCGCCAACTCGTACACAATGAAAGTCAGGCCCCTTTCCACATCGGCAGTCCAGTCGGTCACCTCTATGCCTTTGCTGCTGCCTGGCAACCCTGCTGCGTAGGGAGCTGGGGGCCTAATGGGCCGTAGGGGAGGGTAATATCTTAAGTGCGCCTCCCCATTTATTTTTGGTGACGGGGCCAGCGGAGCATCGTCCTGCCGCTGAGCAGCAAAACATCCCACCTGGGTCTGCCCAGCAGCTTTTGGGGAAGGGTAAAAGAGCATGTCCCACTGCTCACTGGAGATACATCCCAAATGGGAACATTTCAGGGTTGAGGCTGGCATAGTGGAAGCCTCTGGCTGCTCGACAATGGGGCGACGGTGTGGCTGTGCTTTGGGGGAAAGAGGCTGAGGGGGCAGGTCTCTTAGGGTCTGCATGAAGCACCCCTTGGCCCGAGCTCTCCCAGCGTCCTTGCAGGCTGCAGCGAAGGACAGCTCTCCATGCCCTTGTCCCTCGTCCTCGTCCTCCACGAGGCACTTCCTCAGCAGCGTCTTGCCTGCGTTTTTCAGGCCCATCAGGACCAGCTTGAGCCGGGGCTTGAGGGCAGGCTGGGAGTGGGCCAGCTCCTGCTGATAGGCCGCGATGTAAGGGATGCCCTTCATGCAGACCTCGTAGGGTGGCTGAATCAGAGGGTTGTCTTTGATCTTCCAGAGGCTGATGCGGTTGAGTTGGCCAAAGCCCTCGGGCAGGATGGCGATCTGGTTGCCCTGCAGGACCAGCTCCTCCAGGTGATGCAGCTGGACGATGGAGTCGGGCAGGTAGCGGATGCGGTTGTTGTCCAGCCACAGGGTCCGCAGCTGGCCCAACTGGCACAGCCCAGCGGGCAGCAGGGTGAGTTGGTTGCGGCTCAGGTACAGCTCTTCCAAGCCAGGCAAGGCCAGCACAGCTGCGGGGAAGTCGGCCAGCAGGTTGGAGGAGAGGTTCAGCATCTTGAGGCGCTGGAGGCCGCCAAACCCGGCGGGCAGGCCTCTCAAGTGGTTCCCGTCCAGCATGAGGCTCTCCAGGGCCCCTAGCTGGCACAAGCCTTCGGGCAGGGCAGCCAAGCCTGTGCCGCTCAGCCACAAGATCTTCAGGCGCCGCAGGGCGGCGATGCCCTCGGGCAGGGCCCGCAGGTGCCGGTTGCCGGAGCAGTCCAGCTCCTCCAGGGAGCCCAGCGCCAGCAGCGCCGGAGGGAAGGCGGGAAGCTGGTTGTGGTCCACGTCGAGGGCGCGCAGCTGCTGCAGGCGGGCCAGGGCCTCGCCGGGCAGGCGGCTGAGGCGGTTGAAGCTCAAGTCCAGCTCCTCCAGCTGCCGCAGCTCGCCCAAGGCCTCGGGCAGCGCTCCGTCGCCGCCGGCGCCCAGCTGGTTGTGGCTGAGGCTGAGCTTGTGCAGCCCGCGCAGCAGCGCCAGCGCCGGGCCGTCGTCGCGCAGGGAGCGCAGGCGGTTGTGGCTCAGGTCGAGCTCGGCCAGGCGGGCCAGGTGCCCCAGGGCGGCGGCCGAGGGCAGCCTCGCCAGCCGGTTCCTGCGCATCGAGAGCACGCTCAGGCTGCTGCCCACGGCGGCGCACAAGCCCTCGGGCAGCTCCTCCAGGCCGCGCCCGCTCAGGTTCAGCGTCTCCAGCGGCGACGGCGGCTGCTGCTCCTGCTCTTGTTGCTGCTGCTGCTGCTGCAGCGCGGACTTGGGCTCCGGCTCTGCCTGCGGGCCGCTCTCCTCCCGGGAGCCCAGCTCCAGCTGCCCGAGGTCGCTCCGCAGCTTGCCGGCGCGCAGGGCGGCGTCTCGCCACAGCCGGGCCGCTTCCTCCGGCCGCTCCGTCTCGGCCATAGCGCCGCCGCCGCAGTCCCTAGGGCGCACCGAGGCGAGAGGAAAGATGGGCCCGGGCACCAGCGCCGCCCCCGCCCCCGCCGCCGCCGGGCTCCCCGCCGCAAGCCGGGCCTCGCCGCTGCAACGTAGCGCGGGGCTTCGCCATGGAGGAGGCTGCGCGCGTCTTGCGCTAGGCAAGGCTGCCGGCCGCAGGGATGTCCCGTCCGCCGCGCCTCTTCCTCCGCCGCCGCGCCCGGAGGAGCATCCTTTCTCCTGGGCGGCCGCTCCCAGCAAGGCGGCGCCGGCGGATTCCCGAACCGGGACTGAGGGGAGGAAACTGGAGGAGGTGCCCGTGGCGGCGGCGGCGGCGGCAACAGCAGCGCCGCCCCTCGGCACGTCAGGGCACGCCTGGTCGGAGCCGCCCTTGCAGGAGGAAAGGGCGCGCCAGCCTGGAGCGCCAGCTTTTCCTCGCTTCCCTTTGCTGCCGGCTCACATCCCTGAACGAGGCTCGTCCTCCTCACCCAAAGGAGGCAACTCCGAGGGGCCAAAGTCCCTTAGCACCCCCCATAAAATATTTGAGGGGGGCCAGGCCCCCCAGTTGATGGTCATTGCCATTCAAATGGAGTGTGCCTGCCCGAGCCAGGATTTATGTTGGGAGGGCAGGCTTTATGGGGGGGGGAGAACCTCAGTTAAGTATTTTTATTGATTTATGGGGGCAACTGCCCCCCTTCTCCCCTGGCTATGCCCTTGCGTGTCCTATGATTGATTAGGTGGGGTGGGGCTTATCTGCCCCACCCCCATATTTTATTCAAGTTGGCATTCCTGACGTCACCTAAGGTTCAGACCTGCAGGAAGCCAGGGTGTTCCAGGAACAGGTGTGCTGCAGTGTGAAAGTTCCATCTGTGTAAAAAAGATAATGATAATTAAGGTAAAGGTAAAGGGACCCCTGACCATTAGGTCCAGTCGTGGCCGACTCTGGGGTTGCGGCGCTCATCTCGCTTTATTGGCCTAGGGAGCCGGCATTCAGCTTCCGGGTCATGTGGCCAGCATGACTAAGCCGCTTCTGGCGAAACCAGAGCAGCGCACGGAAACGCCGTTTACCTTCCCGCCAGAATGGTACCTATTTATCTACTTGCACTTTGACGTGCTTTCGATGTGCTAGGTTGGCAGGAGCAGGGACCGAGCAACGGGATTCGAACCGCCAACCTTCTGATCAGCAAATCCTAGGCCCACAGTGCCACCCATTCACACATGCAAGGCAGAGCCAACCATTTAGTAGAAGTTGAGAGTTTTTAGATTCATTTCGGGGAGCACTCCATACCTCTCTCTGTGTGTGTTTGTGAACTGGTTCAATCCATGGGGGAAATTCTCAGGAACAATACTTAACTGCCAATGTGGGGGAACCTTTGGCCTGCTCGGTGCTGCTGAAGTACAGCTCCCATCAGCCCCAGTATGTGCAGCGACCAGTGATGATGGGGACTGAAGTTCAGCAACATCTGGCAGCCCAAAGATTCCCAACACCAGCACTACTGAAATAAATGAGAGCAACATGGGATCACTACTGCAGCTAGACAGAGGCCTCCTTGTCCTTCTCTAAACTGCCCAACCCAAGCTTCTTGAGTTCTATTCCCACTTCCTTGTGGAGGAAGAAAAGATAGCAGTTAACTATTAGAGACCAAGGTTCACACAGGTGTCTGTTTATTTACTTTTCGCTTTTGCTTTTGCTAACCCTTCCTCCAAGGAGCTCACATTCTATCTCACCCCAGCAGCCTTGTGAGGTTACCGTAGTTCAGGGTGAGATGTGTCTGTGATCATCCACTGATGATCCGCTGTGATCCTTGAATAGGGGAAATAATAACCTTTTATTTAGACTGGAAAGGGTTTCCAGTCTTCCTTAAAATATTCTAAATTTGTATGTTTTAACAGTGCCATCCATTTTGCCATCTCTGCAATATGCCAAGATTTTCATCAGGTAATCATATGAAAGGATATTGTGAGTTGGACCCACCCGCACCTGGAGATGCCAGAAATTGAACCCAGGTCCTTCTCAATGCTAAGCATGTGCTCTGCCCACTGAGCTACAGCCTTCCTTTATGGTGGACAATTACCAGGACACCCGGGGCCTTGACCAATAATCTCTCCTGCCTAAGTAAAGTTAGGGTCAAACTGCACTTCCCACGATCAGGGGGAAAACAAAGGGCCAGGCTGCCAGGGCTGGAGTCAGATGCAGGTCAGCACAAAGAAGCAAGGCCAGTTGTCAGTGCTCAGTCAACTTTTTATTCAAGGAAATGAACATACAACTCAGCAACACTTCCCAGTAGGTCTTGCCCCTGTGGAGAAGTTGTCAGGACTGAGGTCCCTGCCTTCTAAGGCTCCTCCTCTCCCAAGCAGTCATAGAGGCCTTTCCAACTAAGTGTAAGGAATAACTTTCTGACAGTAAGAGCTGTTAAGCAGTGGAACAGACTCTCTCAAAGGGTGGTGGACTCTCCTTTCTTGGAGGTTTTGAAGCAGAGGTTGGATGGCCACCTGTCATGGATGTATTTTAGCTGAGATTCCTGCATCGCAGGAGGGTTGGACTAGATGACCCTCGGGTCCCTTCCAACTCTGCAATTCTATGAATGATGCCAATGTGGCTACTCCTAGACTGCAAGCCTAAAGCTGCCATCTTGTGTATGCTTCCTTGGGAGGAAGCCCCACCCAATTCATCCGTGGAATTGAGCTTCATGGCTGCAACCCTAAGTGTAGGAACAAAGGAAGCTGCCTTATAATTGAATTAGGCCAGTGCTCCCATCTGGCTTTGTATCAATGACTGACAGTGTCTCTCTAAGGATTTCCTCCAGCAGCCATATCTGGAAATCTGTGACCTCCTCCCTGCAACACACAACTCCACCACTGTGTTATAGCTGTGCCCCCAAAGCACACTGGCCGGATCACTGGGACTTCCTTCTAAGCAGAGTTAGGGTCAAACTGCACTTCCCATGATCAGAGGAAAACAAAGGGCCAGGTTGCCAGGGCTGGAGTCAGATGCAGGTCAGCACAAAGAAGCAAGGCCAGTTGTCAGTGCTCAGCCAACTTTTTATTCAAGGAAATGAACATACAACTCAGCAACACTTCCCAGTAGGTCTTGGCCCGGTGGAGCAGTTGTCAGGACTGAGATCCCTGCCTTCTAAGGCTCTTCCTCTCCCAAGCAGTCTCAAACAGCATCTGAGCATCTCTGGTCTCTGTTCCACTCTCCTCATTATTCTGTGTGTTCTTGGAGACAAGGCTGGAGGGGAGCTTGTCGCAGCAGGAGAGGGAGACTCCCTGGATTCCTCAGCAGTCTCTTGACGCCCCTCCTCTGCTTCAGCCTTGGAGTCTGAACTGCTTCCTTCCACAGGTTCTTCCTGCTCACTAAACTTTGTTGCCCCTTCAGCATTTGTTGCTTCCTTAGATTCTCCGAATTACAGAAATTGGTGTCTTTGCTTATACTGGCCATTGACACATGGCTTAAAAAAAGAGAGAGAGATTAATTTGCAAATGCTGTATACAGATGCATATTTAAAAATGATTACTACCCTACTGAGTCATACAAAGTAGACCCATTGGTTTCGGTGAGTCTGAGTATGAATTAGCAGGATGCATGATTTTACTCTTGAGTATGACTAATGTTAGATATCACCCTATAATTTTTATAGAGGAATGCAATACCTCTCACTGTAGTGGGGAGGACCAGGGCCTGTGTGCATGTGCTCAGACGTTTTTTTTCAGGAAAAAGAAAAACCTTAAGAGTTATGAAGAAATCTGCTGCAAAGGGCTTCCACTTCTGACGAGTCGGGCTGCAACCTGAAAGAGTCTTAGCAGAAAACAATGTTAGTGCAAAAAGATGCAGATGGAACACGATAAGAGATTTCTTCCCTAGTCAAGCAAGGGGTACTGACCTAAATATCCTTGAACAATGGAATACCATTTTGACTGCCATTTTTGTCTGAAGCTGGATGAGCCATTGATCTAGAGGGGCACAAAAGAGCAATAAGATTCAGACTTCAATCTCTGCCATTAAGCTTAGTGTGTGGAAAGAGGAAAGATTGCTCAATGCTCACCCTTTTGTTTGTCCATTTGACTTGATGTGTCTGGCAGCTCCTTCTGTTGGTCTGCGATCTAGTCACTTGTTTATCTTACCAGCAGGTGAGCCTCAATGTGGTGACACGGAATAGGGCCTCTTCTGACAACTCTGTCACTGCAACCTGAAAGAGTCTCAGCACAATGAGTTGCAGACGGAACATAATAGAGATTTTCTCCCTAGCCAAGCAAGGGATTTATGTCATCTTGTCGTTGCTGCTGGAAAGGCCAGTCCTTTCAGTACAGCCCCACTTGCAAGACACATTGGAAACATATTCCAGAGTTAAAGGCTCCATTTTAGGATGGGAATATATAGAAGAATCCTTTGTGGTAAAAAGTCGCAAACCGTCTTGCCGCAACCTTAAAACGAATGAGGAATCACAGAGTACCATTTTGTCTAGATATTTCCTCCCTAGTCAAGCAAGTTATACTCACCTAGATGTGTTTCAGTCAAAGAGTGCCATTTTGACAGTCATTTTTTCAAGAAGCGGGTGAAGAGATTAAAAAGGAGAGACCAGTACAAAAGCATTGCACTGAAAAAGATCACTGAGTAGTTGGGAAAAACAGCATTTTACCTAATGTTGGACAGTCAAATTCAGGTGCCCCTCAAACATCTACTGCAGGGTTCTCCTTGATGTATCAAGAACTGAGCTCACGTTGCATTAACTGCTTTAGATACACGGAGCTCTTGGAGGGGTGTAAAAAGCAAGAGCTGGAGCAAAAGAATAAGTCAGTTTTCCCACCAGCAGATAGACCTCAGTTGGCAGTGACACAGGAAAGGATCTGTACTGTGTCCTGACTGCATAAGGTTCTTCCTGCTGGAAGCTCAGGTGGCAACCACGTGGAACTTGCTTAGCTCTTCTATTAAAAAAAATCATTAAATGACCAAAATCGCTCCATATAAATTCCTTGGCTGCCTTGGTTTGTATGTATTATTCCATTTATATTGTACATTTCCTCCAATGAGCCCCAGCTGCTGTGATGATCCCTCTCACTGAGACCTTAAAGTGTCTCAGCACAAGAATTGCAGGAGGAAAACAGATTTTCTCTCCAGCCAAGCACGAGATACTCACCTAGAAGCCCTTCAATCAGAATACATTTGCACCTGTCGCCACCTCTGAAAAGTCCAAAGTATTTAATAGTTACCTTCCTTCAACTGCAGCACTAGTTTCCAGGTGGGAAGTTACTGCAACAGAAGCTGACTGCTAGACCTGGTTTTAAAATTGGTATTTTGGTAAACTGGTATCACCTTCAGTGATGGAGGATCCAAATTTTTCTTTGTAGAAAGTCAACGCTTTGTGTTGTCTGAGCTATGTGCTAAATAGCTGTTCCTAGAAGATGGTTAGCAAAAATAAAATAAAAACCTTGGTTATTACCACCAGAGAGCCATGGGTCTTCAGCCCCTTTTCTCTCTCCTACAGAAACAGAGGAACAAAAACAGCAGGTTACCTAAAGCCGCGCAATCAAAATGCATATTTCTCTCAATAATACACTGCTGCAGGTTTTTACTTGATGTATCGAGAGCTCTTACTCACATTGCATCCTGGGAGTTAACAAAACAGCTCTGCCTCAGACACAGTGAACTCTGCGATGTCTGTAAAACAGAAGATCTGGAACAAAAGAAAGAGCGTTGTCCCACCCGCAAGTGTACCTCATTGTGGACTGACACAGGAAAAGGTCTTCTCTGCAGTGACATCTCGACAGTAGAAGTTCCCTTGGAAACAGGAACGGCGGCCACCTGGCGTCTTCAGTTCCCAGCTCATCTGAAAAAAATGACTGAATGACCAATGTTGCCAAGTGCAAGCTTCTTAGGAACTTGTATATTTTATGTATTATTACATCAATAACCTACCTTTTCTCCAGTGAATTCATAGCGGTGTGATCGTCCTTCTCCTGTGACCTGAAAAAGTCTTTGCACAAAGAGTTGCAGAAGGAAGACAATATATCGTATTTTTTGCTCTATAAGACGCACCCGACCATAAGATGCACCTAGTTCTAGAGGAGGAGAACAAGAAAAAAAATGTTCTCTCCCTCTCTGTGCAGCGCCTCTCCAGCAAAGCGGCAGGAGAAGCGGGACCCCTTCCATTTCTCCTCCCGCTTTGCTGAAGGGGCACTACGCAGAGAGGGAAAGCTGCACAGCGGCTCTCCAGCGAAGCGAAGCCAGAAATGCAAGAGGGATCGATCCTTCTTGCTCTCCTGGCTTCAGCTAAAGCAACACGAAGCCTCCTGAGCACAGTGGGAGCGCTCCCGCTGCGCTCAGGAGACTTTGGGCGGCTATCCCTGAAGGCAAGAGAGCAAGAGGGATCGGTGCGCACCAATCCCTCTTGCTCTCCTGGCTTCAGCGAAAGCTGTGCAGCCTGCATTCGCTCCATAGAATGCACACACATTTCCCCTTACTTTTTAGGAGGGGAAAAGTCCGTCTTACAGAGCGAAAAATACGGTAAATTTCCTTCCCAGCAAAGCAAGAGAGACTTACCTAGTGGAAAAGAGATTTTCTCTCCAGCCAAACACGGGATACTCACCTAGAAGCCCTTCAATCAGAATGCATATAACTGCATTGTTACATTAATTATGATGTAGCATTTCAAGTTTACTTGTTAGAGATTTGTGCCTTTTGCTACCTCTGAAAAGTCAAGAGTATTTAATAGTTACCTTCCTTCAACTGCAGCGCTAGTTTCCAGGTGGGAAGTTACTGGCAAAGGAAGCTGACTGCTAGATCTGGTTTTAAAATGGATATTTTAAATATATTACTTTCAGTGCTGGAGGAACCAAGTTTTTTTTGTTATTATTATTTAGAGTCAACACTTTGTGTTGTCTGAGCTTTGTGCTAAATAGCTGCTCCTAGAAGATGCTTAGCAAAAATAAAATAAAATCCAAAGACCTTGGTTATTACCACCAGAGAACCATGTTACACATCAGGGGTAATCTTGCCTGGCCTGTTTCATAGTTGCCTTTTGAGCTCCATTTCCCATTTCTTTTCAAAATCTTGCCGGTTCTGCTGGAAAGGCTTGGTGGAGTTGATGTTCTAGTCTGCTTCCTCATTGGATCCTCACAACAACCTGTGAGGTAGGTTAGGCTGAGAGATAGAGCGCTTCATGGCACAGTGAGGATTTGAACTCGAGTCTCCCAGGTCCTAATCCTGCACTCTAACCTCTCTCAGTAACTTCCCTCAGAGAAAGCACTTTCCCACAGGATCCTGGACTTGCCATGTCCCTGAGCAGCCACTCTCCAGTCGCCATCAACAGGTTCATCCTCAGAATGCTTTATTTGCCTTTTCAGCAAGTTTTTAACTTACCTGTCTTTCTCTCCTTCCAAGGCAACCTGAGCCCACATGAAATTAGAAGGAACGGCTTTGTGCTCTCCTTGTCTTCTTTGCCCCCCCCATATGCACATTTCTAGCTTCAGCAACAAAAAACTCAAACTTTCCCTTCATGGAATGACTTCTCTGGTTGCCTTTTAAAAGAAAAGCCTTCTATTTTCCATACTCATCTTCCCTCTTCTTTAAGCAAACATCATATTCATGTGCCCTTTCATGTACTTCCACTTTTCATCCTTCATTTATCTTCATTTTCTCTTGGCTTTTCCATTTAAGTATTTTTTATTTTCTTGATTCTCTTTAAAATCTCCATCTTGGTATTTTTCTGAGTTTTCAATTTAAATTTTGCTTGGCTAAACTCTTTTTGGGGGGACTTTCTCAAGGTCCATCATCTGTCTACAATTTACTGTCCCTGTGTTATTAGGATTAAGTCTTCTTTGATCTTCTATTTACCTTCAGTTTCCTTTTAATCTGAAATTTAATGCCTCTCCTAACACCTTTTAGGGACAGATACCTGATTAAGATATATGTGTGCAGTATTTGAAATCAACCACGAAAGAGATCACAGGTTAAAATTACCTGTGTCCCTTTTTAGAGTTGTAAATGATGAATTTCAGCAGAGTGAAATCCCTTCATTTACTCTAAAAAAATTCCCAATAGTTTTCAAAAGCATCTAACCTAAGCTGGTTTCAGTTGCCTTTTCAAACCTGTTTCATCTTCCCAGCCTCCCTCTCCTAATCCCTCTGCCCCTTAACTCCTTCAGCTCTGACCAGTGAGAGGGCTAAAACCAGTACTATAGCCAGGGACAGGCTCACTCACTGGAATGCAGCTCGCTCCTTCCACCACCTGTCGTAATGACACATAAAAAAGTCCCTTGCAGCATTAATACAGTGGCTGCAAATGTCTTTATTTTTGACAGGGGGTCACTTCAGGGCTTTGATGGGAAATGAGTATTTTCATTCAAAATTAAAACATTCTGGAAATACAAGGGAACTGAATTTGAAATCCACCTAAATCTCATGGATTACAAACTACAGGAACATCACCTGCACAGGAGAATAAGGGAAAGACTATGGGAAGAGGGGCTGGCTTGGATCTCGGTGTTACCCATTGAATTCTATGGAGCAAAGTAAATGGGCTATACAGTTGGAAAAGTAATCTGGGGTACAGTTGGAAAGGACAGCAGTTGCTTCTCACTCCTATGTATAGAGAACATTCTATGATAGAATGAATGAAGACTGGGTGCTTGTTTTTTAAAAAAGTTGGCTTAAAAAGAAAGAAAGTGGTGGTTAATTTTAAATCATTGCTCCTGTCTGTAGCATACTGGCCACCTTTCCCTTGAAAATTGCTTTGTTGAAATATAATACCTGGTTGGTGGATGGGAAAGGTTTGAAGGACGCCATTGACCAACCGTCTCTCCTGCCTGCCCCCATAAGCACTCTTATTTTAGTCAAGCAAGCGATATTCTCAGAGAATATGCCTGAGTGGTTCAAGGAACAGATTTAGAAGTGATGAAAAGGAAGATATGATTTAAGCTAGTTCCCCTTCTTGGAACTGAAGGCCTCAACATAATTAGCAGTGATGATTGAAAGCAAAGCCCTATATGGACATTCTGTTTGCTTTCAGAGATCACTGCAGTTCAGGTTATGCTGACTGGGAAAAGGTTTGAACTCGACCAGTGAATGCATTTTAAAGCCACAAGTCGTGCCTCCTGCTTGTTTGGTAGGAGTTACCTCAAGAAAAAGTTGTCTTGAGTCCTGTGCCTTTTAATAGTTGAACAGATTTTCTCTCCCCTACGTAGCAAGCTTTATCAATCAGAATACCTTCTTCTGTTCTACTATTAAGGAACACTGTCCTCTGCAATTCATCCTAGCGTATTGGTTTAAAATGTAAAGTATAGCATTGCTGACATACGGCCTTCAACAGCCCAGCTTTTCCATTCAGACTTGGTGGGTATGCAGCCTAACCCATCTGTAGCACAAAAGATGTTGTTGTTGTTTAGTCGTTTAGTCGTGTCCCAATCTTCGTGACCCCATGGACCAGAGCACGCCAGGCACTCCTGTCTTCCACTGCCTCCCGCAGTTTGGTCAAACTCATGCTGGTAGCTTCGGGAACACTGTCCAACCATCTCGTCCTCTGTCGTCCCCTTCTCCTTGTGCCCTCCATCTTTCCCAACATCAGGGTCTTTTCCAGGGAGTCTTCTCTTCTCACAAGGTGGCCAAAGTATTGGAGCTTCAGCTTCAGGATTTGTCCTTCCAGTGAGCACTCAGGGCTGATTTCCTTAAAAATGGAGAGGTTTGATCTTCTTGCAGTCCATGGGACTCTCATGAGTCTCCTCCAGCACCATAATTCAAAGCATCAATTCTTCGCTATCAGCCTTCTTTATGGTCCAGCTCTCACTTCCATACATCACTACTGGGAAAACCATGGCTTTAAGTACACGGACCTTTGTTGGCAAGGTGATGTCTCTGCTTTTTAAGATGTTGTCTAGGTTTGTCATTGCTTTTCTCCCAAGAAGTAGGCATCTTTTAATTTTATGACTGCTGTCACCATCTGCAGTGATCATGGAGCCCAAGAAAGTAAAATCTCTCACTGCCTCCATTTCTTCCCCTTCTATTTGCCAGCAGGTGATGGGCCCAGTGGCCATGATCTTCGTTTTTTTGATGTTGAGCTTCAGACCATATTTTGCGCTCTCCTCTTTCACCCTCATTAAAAGGTTCTTAAAATCTACAAAAGATGTAGATTTTCCCAATCTGGAATCATTCATGCTCATCCCCAACATGCTGCTTTCAATTTAGAGTGTTTCTAGATTCTGCTACTCATGAGGTTGGATGTGCCTACTTGTTATGTGTTTGAAAACCCTCCTCTTCTTTAGAATATCCACATGTTTCCCTCCCTGCACATGGTCCAAGTGAACGAAGAAGGAAGTGGTGCTTGTAATCTTGATCTACACCCACTCACAACATCATTGGGCAGATGTGGATGTGCACACCCACACTCAAATTGTCAGGACTGCCGACAACTGTTTTCAAATGGACACACTGCAGGGGAATAAAAAAATCAATCTGCAATGAGCTTTCAATTTTGGAATGAAACGAGTGTTTTCACTGTGTACGCACTATACATTTACAGATGTTCAAAACATATTCCTCCAAAAAAATTCCCTGCATTGCAAGCGGTTGGACTAGATCACCCTTGTGGTCCCTTCCAACTCTATGATTATAACCCTTAACAAACTACAGTGCCCAGAATTCCTTGAGGGAAACAATGTGCTTTGAAGGCACAGGGCAGGTATCACTTAATGAGTCCCATCAGCAGAAGACCTGCACTAGGAGTAGCCACAATGGCATCATTAATAGAATTTTAGGATTGCAGAGTTGGAAGGGACCCTGAGGGTCATCTAGTCCAACCCCCTGCAAGTCAGGAATCTTTTGCCCAATGTGAGGCTCAAAACCACAACTCAGAGATTAAGAGTCTCATGCTCAGCTGACTGAGCTATTTGCCCTGGCGTTTCCATGACCTAGATGATAGAGAGGGCATCACTTCGGTCCCACTAGCGCAGCTGTGTGACTTCACCCCTGGAGGTGCACTCCATTGTTTCTTGAGACAGAAGGATGCCAACAACTCTTGGAAGCCTTGACAAACTACAGTTCCCACGATTCCTTGAGGGAAGCCATGACTATAATGGTAAAGGTAAAGGGACCCCTGACCATTAGGTCCAGTCATGACCGACTCTGGGGTTGTGGCACTCATCTTGCTTTATTGGCCGAGGAAGCTGGCGTGCAGCTTCAGGGTCATGTGGCCAGCATGACTAAGCTGCTTCTGGTGAACCAGAGCAGCGCGCGGAAACACTGTTTACCTTACTTATTTATCTACTTGCACATTGACGTGCTTTCAAACTGCTAGGTTGGCAGGAGCAGGGACCGAGCAACGGGAGCTCACCCCGTCACGGGGATTCGAACTGCCGACCTTCTGATCGGCAAGTCCTAGGCTCTGTGGTTTAACCCACAGCGCCACCCGCATCCCTTGACTATAATGGTATGATACTGCTTTAAGTGTACAGTGCAGGTGGGGCTTTAGTTGGATACAACTCTTGAGTTTATTCATTTGGTTTGCTCATATGACATTTATGCAGCATATTTAAATCACCAAGATGGTAGGCTGGTCACTTATGCCAACTCATTTGCACTGCAAGGCTGCCGCTCCACTGGGGCAATCCTTAGCAAGCCCTAAGGAGCAACACATTTTCTGGCTGTAGTCTTGAAGTCAAAATGCAGAGGCATAGTTGTGTTGAAGAAAAACAGCAGAGAATGTTGTGGTACTTTAAAGACGAAAACAAATGCATCTATGCAACTCGTCTGCCCAATTTGGTATGGTGTCCATCTGCTTTCAGTTGGGGGGAAAAAGAGAAAGAAAGAAAGAAAGCTGTGGCTGGCTACAAAGAAACAATTCCAAAGCACAATTCAAAGTGTTGGTGCTGACCTTTAAAGCCCTAAACGGCCTCAGTCCTGTATACCTGAAGGAGCATCTCCACCCCCATCGTTCAGCCCGGACACTGAGATCCAGCGCTGAGGGCCTTCTGGCGGTTCCCTCATTGCGAGATGTGAGGTTACAGGGAACCAGACAGAGGGCCTTCTCGGTAGTGGCGCCCACCCTGTGGAACACTCTCCCTTCAGATGTGAAGGAAATAAGCAGCTATCCTATCTTTAAAAGACATCTGAAGGCAGCCCTGTTCAGGGAAGTTTTTAATATTTAACGCTGTACTGTTTTTAACACTTGATTGGGAGCCGCCCAGAGTGGCTGGGGAAACTCAGCCAGATGGGCGGGGTATAAATAAATAAATAAATTATTATTATTATTATTATTATTATTTCCCCTGTTCCTAGCATCAGCTGGGGGCAGGGGTGCCAACTTGAATAAAATATTGGGGAGCCCAGGTAACTGATCACATGACACTGCACATGCACACCGTTTGACTGGCAACGCCCATCAACTTGGGAGGGTGCGACGGCCCCCTCAAATATTTTATTGGGAGGTGGGCCGAACAGACCTCGGCCCCTAGGCTGGGAGTGGTTTTAATTAACACAGCTCTCTCAATCCTGAGTGAGGATGGATTTGGCAGGGGGACATGGGAACGGCTGCCTCAGTAACAACTCCAACGCAAACAATCATCAGTGTGATCTGAGCTTGCAAATGCACCCAAGAGTTGTTACGATGAATGGCTCACACACTGATATAAACGGATCTCTTTATCCCTCCTCCTCTCTCCCTCCTCTCTTTCCCTGCCTAATGAGCAAACAGTTTCCTGCAGTACACCGGTAGGATTTCCTCTCTTCTCCCCGTCCCCTTGGGAGTCTGCTGAGTGCTGCTGAACTGAGACAGTTGTGTATATATTATTCATGCCTCTCTGAAACGCAAAAGTAGGTGAGTGCTTCCACAGAACACATAAATACCACAAAGCGTTCCCCTTTTCGTGAAGACAGGAATGGAAGAGATTCTTGGGGAAATGCCTGGGAAGCACATTATTCTCTTGCTATCTGCAGCAAAAGCAAAGCCCATAAGAAAAATCCTTTCGTCCTCATGCCCAACTTAAGTACAGATTGAATTGTATTTTTTCCTGTTCATCCTGTCTTACTCCCCCCCCCCCCCCCATTTCCTTTCCTCCTGTTTTCACCCACTGTGGCAATTCAGCTCAGAAGTTCCTCAGGACACACAAACACACACCCCTTGTTGTTGTTGTTGTTTAGTCGTTTAGTCGTGTCTGACTCTTCGTGACCCCATGGACCAGAGCACGCCAGGCACTCCTGTCTTCCACTGCCTCCCGCAGTTTGGTCAAACTCATGCTGGTAGCTTCGAGAACGCTGTCCAACCATCTCGTCCTCTGTGTCCCCTTCTCCTTGTGCCCTTCATCTTTCCCAACATCAGCGTCTTTTCCAGGGAGCCTTCTCTTCTCATGAGGTGGCCAAAGTATTGGAGTCTCAGCTTCACCTCTCAATAAAGCACCATATGCATGGAAGGCACTGAGTCAGCCGGTAGATTTCTTATCTTGTTCAGTATTTAAATAATAATTTTAATACAATTCATTGATAAATGGCGGTTAGTGACTACTGTTGCATCAAACTGAATGAATTATTGCCCTGAGTTGCAGGTACAAATACACACACGAGGGAGGGAGGTTGTAACGAGCAGTAGACATTCACACAAAAACACAACATCAAAGGTTCATTCACCTGTGTGTCTTCCAGGGCAACATATGTTGTCATCTGCCAACAATGCCTGTTATGGTGCCCAAACTCCACCACTTGAGGTCGTTATCTCACGATAGGGCCTCCTCTGCAAATCAATACAGTGGTACCTCGGGTTACATACACTTCAGGTTACAGACTCTGCTAACCCAGAAATAGTACCTTGGGTTAAGAACTTTATCTCAGGATAAGAACAGAAATCGTGCGGCGGCAGTGGGAGGCCCCATTAGCTAAAGTGGTGCTTCAGGTTAAGAACAGTTTCAGGTTAAGAACGGACCTCCGGAACGAATTAAGTACTTAACCTGAGGTACCACTGTACTATGAGAAAGTCAACTATAATCAGAACAGTAAGTCTAGATTTGCGGCTATTTATTCCCTGCCCCCTCAGCATATTTAGCAGAACTGTTTCTTCATTCAACCAATTAACACCATAATTTCCTTGTTTCCTTGAAGTGGGGATGTAGCGGTAGTGCAGTGAGCCTTTTCTCTCAAGCACACTAAGGTGTAGTTAAGGCAGGAGTTTCAGTTGGCAGTTATTTTAAGTGCTGCAAGTATGCACTGAGTTGGGAAATAACCGTTAAAGCCCAAGCCAGGGGAGTGATGTAGCCCAGGGCCAGGGCACGCTGAGAAACATTCCACGCCAACTGAAAAAGGATTATTGCATGTGAATCCAGTCCTGAGACTAAAGGCAGAAGTTGATTCTCACAGCCAGGTTGACTTACAGCCAATCCTATGAATGTTTATTCATTTCAGCGGGACATTTTTCCCAAGTGAGTGTGCCCAGGATTATGGTCTTAGGCAGGGGTCAGCAAGGTTTATCTTGCCTGGCTCAGATCGGTGCCCATGATTTTCAGTGTCTGTGCGCAGATGCGATTTCCGGTGCCGCAGAAGTGAGTCCCCGCGCTGCGCTGATTTAGTGCAGCGTGCAAGCAGGCAGCTTGGGGCGGCTCGTGGGCCAGTCAAACAACCTCTGCAGGCCGCTTCCGGCCCATGGGCCTTAGGTTGCTGACCCCTGGTCTTAGGTATTCATTACATTTCTATCCAACTCTTCCTTCAAAGAACTCAGTTTCAGTTTCTTCATGTCAAGCAGAGACATCACTGAGCTTCTTTGATATTGCAGCTCAGAGCGGAACTCGACCTCAGAGGCCAGGTTAAGGTGGGCTCAGTTCCCAACAAACACCTGTTAAAAGGAGAAAAAACTTGTGTGCGGGGAGATATTTAGGGTCCTATGTAAAGAATCCTATGTAAAGCGTCCTATGAAAAGAATAGGGACGTGGGTGGCACTGTGGTCTAAACTACAGAGCCTAGGACTTATCGATCAGAAGGTTGGCGGTTTGAATCCCCGCAACGGGGTGAGCTCCCATTGCTCGGTCCCTGCTCCTGCCAACCAAGCAGTTCGAAAGCACGCCAGTGCAAGTAGATAAATAGGTACCGCTCCAGTGGGAAGGTAAATGGCGTTTCCGTGCGCTGCTCTGGTTCGCCAGAAGCGGCTTAGTCATGCTGGCCACATGACCCGGAAGTTGTACGCCGGCTCCCTCGGCCAATAAAGTGAGATGAGCATCCCAACTCCAGAGTCATCTGCAACTGGACCTAATGGTCAGGGGTCCCTTTACCCTTTTTATGTAAAGAATCAGAATGCAAAGACACCATAAAGCATTACATTTGGCTTACTGAGTGACCTGACTGCCCCTTTGAACTAAGAGCAAAGGAAGTCATTACATTTTAAGTGTGCTCAAAGCGGTACACACATTCTGAAGTACGTTTCCAGAGCGCTGAACATGTGTTCAGACCAGTGGTGTAGCATGGGTTGCCAGCGTCTGGGGCTGCACAGGTGGAGGGGGGAGCAGGAGTGAGAGAAACAGAGTACACACACACATTCAACTGCCTAAAGGCATCTGGATCACCCAGGAGATGGCAACTGCAGAGATAAGAAAAGAAGAGTAATTTTGTTGTCTGGAGAGGTCACTTCCTGGTTTGCATGGAGAAGCCGTTTCAATGGAGCCCAGCGTGCAGTTGCGTTGAGGCAGCACCAGGTGTTGAAATATTGCGCCCCTAACAATTTTGCATAGGGACGCGGGTGGCGCCGTGGGTAAAACCTCAGCGCCTAGGACTTGCCGATCACATGGTCGGCAGTTCGAATCCCCGCGGCGGGGTGCGCTCCCGTCGTTCGGTCCCAGTGCCTGCCAACCTAGCAGTTCGAAAGCACCCCCGGGTGCAAGTAGATAAATAGGGACAGCTTACCAGCGGGAAGGTAAATGGCGTTCCGTGTGCTGCGCTGGCTCGCCAGATGCAGCTTGTCACGCTGGCCACGTGACCCGGAAGTGTCTGCGGACAGCGCT